AATTTAAATTGCAGGAAGATGACTTCACAGATTGGATGTACAACTCAAAGGCCATAGCCTGAGTGAACATTGAAAACTTTTAAATAAAATGTTTTATCAATTTTCTACAGCAATACAGAGAGGATTAAGTTTGTCATTTCTGAGCTCCAGAAAAATAATGAATGAGATAATTGATGGCTCTAGATAGAATTTAATTTCTTTTCAATGTCGCAATTTAGTGTGGAGTTAGATGGAGAGGTCCTCAACTATTGCTGAAGCGAGACTTAAATTTAGCGCTTAGTCCTAATAGTCATATTAATTTGAGAAATGTTTAGAGACATATGGGAGGTTGAGCAAAGACGTAGTACGACAAATGCCACGAAGATAGGTTACAAGAAGACCTGATATTTTTACCATTTCCTTAAAACAAAACTCTATCCTTAACAGGTTAAATATTACTGTTTTACAAACTTAGATAAAATTCGTCAGAGAATTAATTAAGTAGTTTAGTAAAACAATGATTCATATTTAAAGATTGTCAATGGACAACTGTGAATTTTCGCATTGACAGCTGTGTCATAATATGCGCAAGAATCTCCAAATTTACCAATGTATTTTGTTTAGAGATTATTATATATTTTGTATGAAGAAAGGAATTCCCCTCTTCTTGTCTTTTTCTGTCTCTTCTCTTTTTTTTTTCCTGCTGTTTTACAGTAAGATATGGTCGTGTTGTGAGTATGTTAAAGTCGGACGATGAGCGATAGTAAGTTTATTAATTAACATAAGTTAAAATACGTACAGCGTACCTGTCGAAAATTCATCAAAGTTCACACGTATAGATGTTCACAAAGAAAATAGTGATTGAAGTGATAAGTATCATGACTAGCCGCTCCCAATGGTCAATAACAACGATAGTAGGGATAGGTAGCCGTGTATCAGTGCTTGCGTAAGATCTACATAGGAATATAAGTACATTCTGTGGTGCTCAGTCTCCTCGCATTTCTAATTGCACTTTTGTCTTCTATTCTACTTTGACAATTATTAGAACATAAACACACGCAAAGTAGGCCAGAGAATTCTCTATTTTCCTTTCTATTTTTCGGGACAATGAGAATTTGGCCGACGCACGGCATGACAAATGGAAAGGGCCTCGCTGACCAGGTCGCACCATGGGGCTGGCTACTTATTCAATCTCCAGTTCAATTTCCATCAGTAGGATAGAGGCACAAATTAGATGGAATGATTCAACGCCAATTAGAGCTTAGGAGAGTACAAGACATGGATGTGAAGGCTGCGATGTTCGTGTGCTCGCCTTAGAGCAGAGAACGATACCAAGGAGGCCCTCTCTACAGTGCAAAGATGATACCAAACGGGCTGTGGTTAAACATTCTGCATGCCCATTTTAAGGTGCTTGAGGTGTAATTTCGGAGTATGTGATATTGACTAGATGCACGCATTAGCCAGTGTGGGCCTCTTATTTGCGATCATGTCCTGATTGCCTTCTGGAGTTGCATTTTTCTTTCGCATTTGACTTGTTCTGTCCCTGTTCTGTTGTGTTACCATGTTCAGTTGCCCCTACTTCATACTGCTTCTGCTGAGTTGTCCCCATAAAACCGAATCCCCAAAAGTGAAAAAAAAAGTTAGAGAAAAAAAAAAAAAATTCATGGCAAGCTTTGAAACGAAATCAGCAAGGTGGGATGAATTCCTGGATGGCCTCAAAACCTCTATAACTAGATGATGACGAAGTGAATTAGCGTTGAATGGGCTATGGGTCAGAGATCGGAGGTTCAATGTTATTTTGTGAGTGGTCCTCACAATGTTGCAAGGTACAGAGTGCCGACTATGGCCATACGATATTGATTCACGCAGCATGCCCTGGACACTTTTTTTGCCCGCAAAAATCGGACATAGAAAAGAACATATGTCAAAGGCAACTTCATTGTCGATTGATTAGTTCTGTGACTATCTAATGTCTAGAGAAGTACAAGAAAGAGTTATGGTTAGATCTTTCATGCTATGTCGTTGAGAGGATTCAAGGCCAATTACGCGCAAAAGCCGTAGCTATTAGAGGAGAAAGCTTACAGACAAAATAAGGCGCTTCAGTGCAAGCCAAATCGAAAACTAGATTTTAACGCCAGTATATTCTCAGTCACAATGGCCTGACCCGTGATACCTTCATGCCCCTAAATTGTTCGATGTTCCTATTGCGCTAAGCTCTAATTCATTCATAATGCAAATGAGTCTCAGCATATGATGATTCAAGAGAAATAATTTTTCAGAGTCGGATTCAGGTTGGTCCTGTCCACCCAAGACTGGAGATTGGACGAAAAAACTTCTGGAGTGAAAGAGAAGTAAATATAAGAGAGTGGCAATGTAAATTGTTTGACGCAGGAGAATGGTACAAATTAAAAACCTGATATGAGATGGTTTCTGAATGCAGTGAAAAATTTGGTTAGTTATCTAAAGAGACATTAAGAATAATGACAAAGAAGAATCTATTGGCGCCGTTGCATGTTCTGTTGAGTATCATTAAATTGCAACTCATGTTTCAGATAAACCGATTGTGTACCTTTTCGGTTTATCTTTGTTCCATAGGTACCCTTGTTCGCTTCACACCTTCTTTCGTCCCCCATTTGCTTAGATTCATTGGATACTTTTGTGCATTCTTCCATCCTTTGTTAAAGGCTCTCGCTTACCATGTTAGCACCTACTGTGGGAAAGAATCATTGAGATGTTGTTTTGTAGACTTTCTCATCACCTGTATCAGCACCAGCCATACGTGACCCGCAGTCTTTCTGTGTCGAGATGCATATTGTTCAAACCGTACCATTTTTGCCTGATGTACCACATTTAAGGTGTTTAGTGCCGGCCCGAAGCCTCTTCAAGACCCGTTATCGGCTCTTCCTTTCCTTTCTTCCCTCTGGTATTAGCAGCTTCTTCATTTTGGCTGGCTCTTGCTCTTCTGTTGTCAATTGTTTAAAAATCTGAATGAAATGGAAAGTTCCTTCAAGGCACACAAACAAACCCATGGTTGGTGGAAAATAAAGCAAGCGATAAACATTTTTTGCAAAAAATTAAACCAATAACACCTTATCCTCTCCTGGACGTGGTCCTTTCTTCCACAGGGTGTCAATTTTTCAACTTTGTGATGACCATTTCCAGATTGTGTAATTTCAGATGGATTAAGGTTTAGATTTCAGAAAAGAAACTTATTTTAATTGAGGCGTGGAATCCCGAAGTTGCCTCGTTCTTGACTAAAACAGGATTTTGCCAGCCCCCCAACTTCTGAAGCCACAAAATACCATGTTTGTGCCGGATGCCGGCATTAAATTGATAGTTATGTGTAAACGTGCAAAATATCACGAGTTACGGAGGGAAAAAAATATAAAGACTTAGGAGGATGAAAGGATGGGGAAAAATAAACAGTTTCCTATGAACAAAAGTGCTAGCGACGAGAACAAACATTATCTTAGGGAGTGGGTAGCAGGATATAAGCGAACATCATTGAATCTTTAGGAGGGCTTCAGCTTCAGCTCACCAAATAAGAAAGGCTGGGTAAGACCAGAAGGAACTGGAAAGAGAAAAAATAGCACCAATCATAGCGGAAGCGAGCTTTTGTGATGTGCTGAGAACTCGTAGTCATGTGGTGCGAAGAAGTACAATTAACTAACTAGCAAAAGTTATCGGAGCGATCTTTTGTGGTTACCATCGCCTCCCAAGAAACTTGACAAAAAGAAGAGGACTTCAAATAAGGATTTTAGCATAGCCCAAGCTAAGCTAAATAGATATTATCTTTTCTAATGTTATGCTTGAAATTACCACAAAAATATTTCCTTAGCAATTCAATTGTTGGCAGGTCATAATAAAGTCCTCAAACATGAGCAATAGAAACAATTTTCAAGCACACCAAATGATTTTTGAATTAAATAAATGTTCTTCTCCCATTGTTAAAAAAGTAGGAGAGGATGGAGAGGCGACAGGAGGTGTGCGGTTAGTCGAGGAAGAGAGAGAGAGAGAGAGAGAGCAGGCACATTAATTAATAGCTTGTGGGACTTATATGGTATTAGCCCTTTTAACTTTATGTTATTATTAATTATATTTAGTTTTTAGTGCGGATCTGCTTGGTCACTTACTTACCATTTTGTTAAACAACCTACATAAACGATAGCGAGTCAAAAACCCAGGCTTAAAAGGCGTTAACAAAGAGGAAATGGATAAGTGTAACAGTAAACCACAAAAGTCGACGATTAGATAATGAGTGCACCAGGTTTGGTAAGCCTATTGGACTCAATAATTTAGAATTCGGAGGAGCAATGGGGTGAAAAAAACAAGAAACCAAAAAAAAAAAGAACATTACCCTGGATGTTTGACAGAAAGGCATATCCAGCCCAAATAAGAAAACCAGACCAAATTGGAGGGCAACAGAAATTATGTTTGTCGACAAACCAGAACGTGAGTTGATTGGGATTACTGGCACTTCAGGGTAGATTAAAATCGAGCTGTTATTACATGGGCAAGATATAACAATCACAGAAAAATGGAAGATACTTCCCGGACCCGTGTGTAAATTACTTGGATTGATCTCAATATTGATTCTGTATCAGAGATCTAATTGTCACATGGATGGGAAGACAAACCCGACAAGAGCAGGCAAGGGACAAGATAATGCCAAGGATTCAGTAGCACAGCCCATTAGCGGTGAAGAGAAGGTCCAATTTGTGCTCTTTGTTATGTTTAGAAATTAGGGGGTTGAACAGGCAATCAATGAATCAGTACCAGAAATCCAGGAGCAAGGAACAGATCAGGAGCATGATAATTTCAAGACGTAGAAGAAAATTGTACAAATAGAGAAAGAAAGTGGAATGCTCAGAGAAGGAAAAGGAGCAAGTTAGAAATATAAGGCGAGCTGTTGTAAAATTAAGAAGGCCCATAATGGAAAAAAAAAAAAGAAATTACAACACAAAAAAAAAAAAAAAAAAAAATTACCCTATGTTTGACAAAAGGCATATCCACAAATAAGAAACAATTGGAAGAAATTATGTTTTCGACAAACCAGAACTAGTTGGTACTGCACTCAGGGTAGATAAAATCATGTATACATGGGCAAATTCACACAGAAAATGACTGACCTGTGATGATTGCATGATTTGGACAGAGATGTACTGGGAGACAACCAACAAGACAGGCAAGACAAGATATGCCAAGGTATCAGACCACCCAAGCGGTGGATGTCCATCCTGAGAGAAATAGGGGGTGAACAGGCAATCATGAATCAGTACCAGAAATCCAGAGCAGGAACAATCAGACATGATAATTCAACTAGAAGAAAATTTACAAATAGAGAAAGAAAGTGAATCTCAAGAAAAACATTAGAAATATAAGGGAAAAAAGAACATAATGGAAAAAAAAAAAGAAAATTAAACACTCTGTATTACTTGATTAAAATACATCTTTAACATGTAATGAATGAGGTCCAGCTTATCCTATAATTTATAAAGCAACAAGATGCCATCACATAGTACGATGTCCATGGAGTTCAAACAGATACAATTTTTTTAGCAAAAGAATTTCAGAATTGAACTAAGGTACTCACAACAAATGGGAAAAGCCAAGAGATGCCACTGCCATTTTGACGAGCCGCAATTGTTGTTGGACCAGCAAGGGAGGGTATCCAAAAGAAGCCCTCAGTAAGAAGTCCCTTCATATAATACATAGACATCCATTTAGAAGACAGTGAAAACAAAAGGCCATAGAGCCAATAAAAAGTAAGAATTAACAAAAAGAGGAAAAAAGAACCTCATCTGCTACATTAGAAAGGGCTCTATACAGCCCAATCCATACTGGTATTGTGGCCAGTGTAGGTAGGCATCCTGACAGAATCAGTAAACAGACATTAAGGAGACCACAAATCTGGATAGCAAGGTATATATACATAAATACACACATACAAACATACAAAGGTAAAGAAAATTTTCCTTAAAAAAAGAAATCACGAGTTCTACAGTTATAGTCATGATAAACTGTGGAAAGGAACACACAAAAAGCATTAATTTGTCCCGTAGAATTCATATTGCACTATTTCTGTAAGTAACCAGAAGAACATTTTCCTCTAGACCATACAGACAAACCAGAAAAGTTCAAAGATAGGGCCTTAAAAAGATTCATCAATTTCTTTTAAGTGGGAATCCAATTATAAAAAAAATTGAACCAAATCTTAGAGATTCTTACCATGCAACTAAAACCAATAACCAAAAGATGATAACTTTAACACTGAAGGTTGCCTAGAAACCAAGTAACATGTGTTTGAATATGCTTGATTCAATCAGTATTAGTAGTCATATCAATGTATTGAAAGCAAAGAAACCAACAAAAGTATAAGTGACGTCCGAAAAAAAACTTATAATTACCCATCTGATCTCATATCAATTTTAGAAATTAAACAAGTGTGCAACAGAAGTACCTGCAAATGGGTTTATGCCAGCAACTTTATACAAACGAGCTGTCTCAAGTTGAATTTTCTCCTGTCAGTAAATAGAAAGCATTGAACTTAGTCAGCAATGGAACAAGCTCAAAAGCTACTAAAGAACTGCTGTTAGATTGTATTTCATGATTTTGCGTCCCGAAACAATGTAGTAGTAGACTAGACTTGAACAAACTTTGGCACAGAGAACAAAATTCACCTGGTCTCCAGCATACCGTTGCTGAATAGCCTTTATCTGAGGCTGCAAAGATCGCATAGCCATTGCAGATTCTACCTGCCCAAAACAAATTTACAAACATATACGAATTCCTTCAAATTACAACTCGGAAAGGAGAGCTTCAGTATAGAAATATACCTGCTTCTTCGTCAAGGGAAATGTAGCCGCCTTAACAAGAACAGTTAGGAGTATAATAGCAAAGCCATAAGCATATGGAACATGCAAAGTAGATAATCCATCTTTTAAAACCTGAAACAGAATTGAAAGAGAACCATTTCAACTGTTAGATATATTGGCGACCATGAGAGTTAAAATAATAAAAATGAAAACAAAAAAGAGCTTACCTTTAAAATAGTTTCCATGTAAGAGGTGATACCAGAAAGCCAATCATTGTTCTGTTTGGTAGTGGTGCTAATAGTATCCGAATTCGAGACAGCTGAATCAGCAATCGTATAAAGAATACTCTCTGCCCTGCTAAACAAATCCATAATTAATCCCTCCGTAGCGCCATCCGGATCCGGAAACAAACCTTTGAACCCGAAACGAGCAACGCAGACAGACCCGCGAAGAAACGGTTTATGGGTAGAAAAGGAACCGAATTGAGGTCGGGGAAGGAGAGGGTTTAAAGTTCTGGTTCGGTCCGGGAAAGGGCAGAGAACGAGGTTTGGTAATGAAGGAGACAGAGAAGCAACCATTTGAAATCGGTCGGGAGTTGAACAGACGTAGTAAGTGCCGCTGAGTATTGGCGCCTGGTCTGACTGGTTGGCCCCGAATTAGAGGAGAAAGAAAGGAAATTGGGGAGGAAAGGTGGCCTTCATACACGTTCCACTTCGCTGATGCGTTTTTTTGATAATTTCCTAATTTGGCACGTATCCATTTTATAAATATCTGCCCATTTCAAGATAGTGTGTTTTTTCTTTTTTTTTTTTTTTTACATAATTCTTTTCACCCTATTATTAAGATGAGAAAAATACTGAAAAAATATGAAAGTCAACATTTTTAGTTATTAATGTTCGAATCTCCAATTGGTAGTTATTATTTATTAACAACTAATTACAAGCTTAATCAAACAAAACCTTAGTTTTAATTACCAAAAATAATACTTTCTCTGTTAATAAACTATAATTATATTAATTATTTCCTTTATTTCTTAAAGATAATTTGTTTTTCTTAACGTAAAAGATAAAATATTGCCTATTTTTAAAAATTATATAAAAAATTTTGAGAAATCAAAATTTTTTATAATTAATGATTACCATGAATAAAAACACAATCAAATTATAATTTTTTAGAAATAAAAAATAAAAAAAAATTAAAATAACATGAATTTAAGTGTAATGGAAAATTATAACTTAAGTAAAATTTTCTTTTCTTGGAGGAATTGGCAAAACCCCAAATAGGAATGTTGGGCCTTTGCCTCTATTTACCAACAAAGCTTACAAATTTTGTTTCAATTGGGCTTGGGCTAGGGCTAGAAAGCCCAAGTGCCATGAACAAAGCCCAGTTTTACAATCCATTTGTACACTAACAATTAACATTAATCCTATGAGATTAAGAATCCTAAACCGAAGTCTTAATAGTTTCTTCAGACAAATATGTGGTCTTTAGACCTTAGCTGATCATAGAACCCACTTAAAAGGAAGAGATAAGAAAATAGAGTGGGGCATGAAATATGAGGTCCTTATCTTACCATTTCCACTCAGTGGATAAGAGAAAAATCTAGAAAACAAATTCAATTGGACCTTATTTCTCTAACTTTAGCTTTACTTCACTTGTCTCAGCAAAATCACACAAAAAAACTCAAAGTAAAGGTAGTAAGAGAGCTAACCCAGCAAAGCCAAGAATCGAGAACTTCTATCAATGGCAGCAACAATGGCAACAATGGCAATACTCAATGCAAAATGTTATTTGAGCATTAGCTCAAACAAAAACATTAACCCTACAAAACAACCAACAAAACCCATTTCACTTCTTCCTATCCAAGACCTACCCAAAGGTCTAACCATGTCAAAACCAGTTCTTGCAAGTTCTGCCATAGCTGGAGCTTTCTTTTCAAGCTTGAGTTTATCTGATCCAGCTATGGCTGCTCAACAAATTGCAGAAATAGCAGAAGGTGATAATCGTGGACTAGCTCTTTTACTTCCAATAATACCAGCCATAGCTTGGGTTTTATTCAACATTCTGCAACCAGCACTTAATCAACTAAACAGGATGAAAGAGACGAAGGGAGTTATTATAGGGCTTGGAATTGGTGGATTGGCTGCATCAGGGTTTATGATAACACCAGAAGCATCAGCCAATGAGTTTGCTATGATTGCTGATGCAACAAATGACAATAGGGGTCAGCTTCTGCTGTTTGTTGTTGCTCCTGCAATTCTTTGGGTTCTTTACAATATTTTGCAACCGGCTTTGAACCAACTCAACAGGATGAGGTCTGAATAATTAATTAATTAGGGTTAATATTTATGTATAAAATGGGTTTTGTTGGGGAAGGTGTAATGGTAAAAATTTTACTTGTAAGTGCACCTTTGTGTTAATGAAATTCTCTTTGCTTTCAATTAATTTTTTTTCTTCCATTTTCCATACCGCTTAATTAATTAGATGTTCAAGTGTAAGAACTATTAATATTTATCTAATGTGTAATTTTGTAATTTTGTATTAATTAGATCTGTGAAATGCTCCCATTTATGTTAATTTTAAATTATATGGGGTAGGATTGTTGAGAGAATTGAATGATTTTTGCTCACTATGTGAATATAATGTAATATGAAATTATGAACCTTTAATTTCCTTAGAAGAATGAATAAGAAAATATATATGGCCATTTGAAGGCAAGTGAATTTCCATCACTGAATTTATTTTTGAAACTACTTGAAAAGATCCTCATTCAAATTGTATATGATTCAATTTAATCAAATAATTTTTTTATGATTTGATTTGAATTGAATAATTAATTCAATACCCTATAAGAAAATAAATTTTTTAATAATTGCTGATTTTCTTTATCAAATCGAGGGATTGACTGAGTATTGGTTTATTTTATATATGAAGTACAATTTAATCTTTGCTTTGGCACTTAAATCTTCATACTTTATCATTTTAATTTTTCCAAACGAGGAGGGATCTAGTGTTTTGGTCATTTGACTTTTACTGTGCAGATCCCAATCCATTCCAATTCAAACCATGTTATAGATGCTTTGTTTTCACTTCTGAAGTTTTTTTCCTTTCCAAATCATAAAATAAACTATTTCTCAGAAAAAGTAAACTACATATAACTTAATTAGCCTACTTTTGTTTTACATAAAGTACCTCAATTTAATTTACATTATTTACTAATTGAATTTCACTTTTTTATTATCAATTTCAGCATGTTTCCAGAATCTGATTGGATGCAGTAGAGCAATGTAGTTTTAGAATCGAAGAAATTTATTTGACGGACTTTGGGGTTTTCGACAATGCAAATTGCTCGTTGAAAGTTCATGAAAACTCCGTTCGTTGTAAAACCATACAAAGTTCTTTGTGGCGGCTGTGGGATGAGAGAGAAATTATCTTGGCAATGCAATTCTCTAATTTTGAGATTCTAAAAGCAAGGATGAACGACAAAAAAAAAAAAAAATTGACACTATAAGTGTGAGTTGGTATATCATAACTAATTAACGAGCAAATAAGCAACAAAGCTAATAGAGTCTGAGCAAAGGTCTTAATTGGCAAAGAAAAATAAATATGGAGGTAGTAATTGACAAAACTAAACTACCGGCTAAATTTAATAAAAACGTAAAAATTCAGATTTTTTTTTTTTTAGGTATTTAACATTTCTTAAACGTTATTGGTAGAAGTCAAACTTGATTCATAAAATAAAGAGCAAATTCATGTTATCAATTGAGTCAACTAGGTTAAACTTTTTAATTAATTACTTTCTTTATTTAAAAAAAAAAAAACAAAATCAATAGTTTAATGATGTCCAAATTTCTAACAATAAAAATTAATTTAATTTTGTCTTGTTTAATAGCCCGTTCCGTGAACTAATTATAGCATAGTTGTTTCTTACATTTTTTAATTACGTTGTCTCTCAACTCCAAGCAATTTGGCATATTCATATTCCATAATTTAATTAATCACACGCTTCTATCCTAATTTCCTAACAGCTCAACCAAATTATCAAAGGAAAATATTATTTCAAGTTTTTGCCAGCCAACCTTAGAATAAGCACAGCCACTGCCAAGATTTCAATTGAATAAGCACATGGATTCCAGATAGGCTACCCTTCTTTAAAGACTAAAATCAAAATCAACATCATTATTATCCTTATATTAAATTAATATTAAATTTACCATTTTCTTAAATAAATGAATTCCATAAAATTTTATACATTCTTTTATAAATTCAAAATTTTGCATTTACTATAAAAAAAATGGAGAATTTAATAAAAAAAAACGTAGATTTAAATATAACTAAACCAAATTCTACTAAAAATGTGAAATTTCTAAATGAATTTTACAAATTTAAATAGTATAAAGCTTTTTTATATAACTCTCCACCATCCTAATCTTCTAAAGTTACTTCACCGAGGTTATTTTCAAAATAAAATCAAATGAATTTTTCATTTTTGAATTTATTTTAAATATACAAAATTCATTTACTAGTGAATTCTATCTAAAAATTCATTTATAAATAAATTATAGATTTTGAGTTCATTCATACTAAATAGAGCTAATGTAATAATATGCATAAACTTGGATTTAAACCTTTGTGTTTGAAATAGGGGTAAACAAAACCACTGACCGAATCGAACTACAAATGAAGCCGACTCATTTTGATTCGATCGGGTCAGCTAGTCAAGGGAGATTTAGTTTGTTGATTTATTCAATTTCAACCAAATTTTCTATTTGGTTCAAGTAGGTTTCATACAAATTCACCAGTTAAGCTAAAAACCAAAATGATATTGTAAAAACCGACTGATTCAATTTTATTCAATTTGTTCAGACACCAATTTCAGTTTGGTTCAACCCATTGTCCAAAAATTCAGTTTACATTTTTGCTTTACTTCGGTTCGGTTTGAAATGAATCCAGAGTTTGCTCGCACCTACATCCAACGGAGGGAAGCCATTCATCATCATCATCAACATGACAACATCAACATCACCATCACCATCATATATATGGAATCAGAATTATGTCTCGCAACCTACAATCCAACGAGGGAAGACCATTCATCAATCACTCATCAACAGTGACAACATGACAACCATCACCATATGCACCCATCATCATATATAGAATATGAGTATATTAATATATATATATAATATGGCAAAAATGATAAATGGAGTTATTATCGGGAACATACTTTTGCGCCAGATGAATTATTCATAACTACGAATGTATATTTTAACCTATATATGACACTCTGAAATAATAGGGACCACTCAGATTTAGAAATATTTTGGTAAAATGCAAATTTAGAAGAGCATAAGCGAAGCGGAAGTCTTAAGAGTGAGGTAGTTGATCAACAGGAAGTTTCACTAAAACCCTGCTTTTATCTGGTAACTTCAATGTTTACATTTTTATATTTGCGTTATCACCCTGTAGATATTAAATATTTAGTCAACCCCGCTATTCAGTTAGACATATGTCTCTATTCATCATTCAAAGCACTAATTTCATCTTTAACCGTTTTCTTTTATAGTTCTTAAGTTCCACCGATTGAAATAAATATGAGGATTTCTTGTCAATTTTTAAATATGAATTATTTGATTAAAATCTTCACTCCATACCTTTTCCTAACCCTCTAATTTGATCTTCACATTTAAAATTACAATATATAAATTATTTGTATACCTTTGTAAGGTCCCAAACAGTACAATGTCACCTAAAATTAATAAATTTCTATTGCTAATAAATTAGACAAATTTATTCAAGTATATACAGACGAAATTTCATATTCTAATACTATTTATTATTAACTTATCAGTATTAATATTCTATAGGCCTATATTTTATTTGCCTCTTAAATGGGAATATTAGAAAACTGACAATTTGATTATTTTAAAATTCAGATATCACATTGCATATCATTGTAAATATAATATAATTACTAAAATCAGATAAATTATTATGTGAACCAAAATAGATCAATACTAACAATCACCGTATACCTAAAATATAGTAAAACCCAACAATTAACTTGCATACTTCAAACTTTCCGTGTCAGACCAATAATATCTAAAAAGTTCTCAAAAATATCGTAATTACAAATAAAAATTTACCCTTTCCACTTATTATCTTAAGTAAACTCACGGGACTTTATATTCTCTTAAAATATTCATATTATATTATCGTAAAGGCTAGTGTTTGTCGAATCATGTGTACGGGTGATCAGACATTACAGCCAATTCCAACTGATCCCCGTTTGCCTTCTAAATAGGATGGCGGTGATTAGCAAAACTCCGTAGATTATTTATTCTAAAGAAACCGGTCAGATTACTTGATGTCGAGGACTCATTTTATTTATAATTCCCTAAATATGTCTTTCATGTGATCTTTATAGTTCACTCGTCTAGAGTTTCCAGTACAGACTTTCCTTCATCCATCGCTCGATCATCTGTGAAGTTCTTCAGCGGGCGAGAAAATTTGAGAATTCAATCGCCTTGTCTCACTTCTTCCGAGGTATTGTTGGTTAGTAGTCCTGATGTAACATTAAGGGAGTCTCTAAGGTTTATATTTCCTTTTAATGGTTCCCCCACTTCCGGCTCTGGATCCCTACCTCTTTGTACGGACCCATTTCCATGGACCGGCAGAATTAAATCAAGTGGGGCAGCATTGTACGGGACTGGGCTGGTTAAAAACGCACATCCGGTTCACAACGATAATGAATCCGGCTCCGCTCTCGAACCTCTCATTATAAAAGTGTTATCTCAATCAGTCCCTATTTCAACCTCTTCCTTCCCACTTACCTATTACAATTGATGCCTCTCTGAGCCCTCCTAAGTTCACTCCCAATAATGGACACTGATACCGTTGAGATCTCACTGTCTGAGCTTCGTCCCTATATCGCTTGTTATATACACTTCATATCCCTATCGTATACTCACCGGCCTCACCTGCATGTCGCTCCGGTTGCCCTATCATTATAACCTTTACTAATATATTATAGATTCTTGTTTTCATTCATGATTTACTGGTCTTCTCATCACGGTATTAAATAACTACCACCTCGTCAACACGGGCTTCACATTACATCTTCTCATTTCTGTAACTCTCACTATTGATTGCGCTCACTCGCTTTCTACTACTATTATATATATATATATGCAAAATGATAATATGGATAAGGGATTGGTGAAATAATTAAAATAGACATTTCTAGCACTTGATGATGAAGAACCAATTAATCAAGGCATTGTAAAAAAATGTTCAAATAATGAATGGCCCACTATAAAAGGTATTTAGCTATCAACTCCATTACATTATTCTTACCAATGACACAAGTAGCCGTCCCGTCCCTATACTACATCCATGTATATACCTATGTGCCTTGCCCTACAACTATAACTACAATATAATAATCACGAAAATAATACACAGTAAAACGCCACATACTCTCCACTTGTAACTCCTAGATTGGCTCACCCTTATTATTTTTCCTTTCCTTTCGTTTATGCATTTTCCCTCCATTCTCGAGAGAAGGAGAAGAAAGTGGATTTTTAAAGAGAGAGATAGACCGCAACAAACATGCAGACAATAAACATGACACCAAAACCTTCTATGCTTAAGTACTTTCTTTTGTCTATCCTCTTTTCTTTTTCTTTCCTTCTCTTTTTCTTTTCTCTCAAACCAATCACCCACCAACCACCCTCCAACGACCTAAGAATCCGACCCGGTTACACCTCCTATGATTCTTACATACAGCGTCAACTCAACAAAACCCTTAATCCTAAACTAAGGAAGATTTGGATAACCCGAGACTGGGACCGTAAAGTTCGAGTCTTTTCTAGTTTCTTTCAAGATTTTAAGCAAAAAAACCTTCTTTTCAACCATTCTAAAGCGTTGAGCATCGGAGCCCGAGTCGGGCAAGAGGTGGAGGCTTTGAGACGTATCGGGGTGGCCGACTCGGTTGGTATAGACTTGGTTCCTTACCCGCCGTTGGTTATAGAAGGTGACTTCCATCACCAACCGTTCGACGATGACAGTTTTGATTTTGAGTTTTCTAACGTGTTTGATCACGCGCTGTATCCGGATAAGTTCGTGGCGGAGATTGAACGGACGTTGAAACCAGGTGGGATATGCGTGTTACACGTGGCTCTTTCCAGACGTTCTGATAAGTACTCGGCGAATGATTTGTATAGTGTTAAGCCGCTGGTGGGGATGTTTAAGAAATCGGAGGTGATTCATGTCCGGAAAGTTGACGGGTTCGGCTTGGATACAGAGGTCGTTTTTAGAAAGAAAGTGAAACACAAGGAAAAGGTAATCCAACGGTCCTGATTTGATTTATTTTTTATATGAACTGTATTTCATTTTCTCTTTATTTGTTTATTCTTTTTATTTTATTTTGTAATCTTGATGAGCTGAGAACTTTTTTCTAGTCTTATTATTTGTTTGTTTACATTTGTTGCTAATGAAATGAAAGTATTTCAACCAAAAAAAAAAAAAAATCAATGAAATGATATCACATTTCCATGTACACATACTTTATAAATACAAATGCAAATACATTTATTTTTTTGTTTGATATATATTGAATCATTTTTTTATTATAGAGTACCGTCACACAATTTTATTAACACGAGACTAATTTAATTTGAATTTTGTAGTTATCTTTTCTTTAAGTATTATTTTTCCTCATGAATTGAACTCTTAACCTTACATTCTTTGCTAAACTCAAATATATTTACGCTTCAATCATTTATGACATGAGAAATCTTTAATAACAAGAAAATGATTATATTGAACTTTTAATTAATATTTTGATGCACAAATATAAATATCAGCAAAGATTGAATATAATTTTGAAATAATTCTTTTTTCTCATAAACTTCATCAGCAGTTTTGTTATTTTGCGAGACCTCAAAGTGCTAAAATACGTAGATTACGTGTAGGAGTAAGAAGTTGATGATGCAACTAGCTAGAGGTGTTTCCCATTTAGGATAAACTGTTAGAAGCTTATGTGGGTAAATCGAAATGTAATTCTTAGAAAAAAATAATTTAAAATTTGTTTGCAGTTTTCCTTTTACAATAACCAAACCAACCAATCCACAGTTGGTGTATACATAATGTGAAGTGGATGCAACATCATTATAAAATGGAAGCCATCATTGGCATTTTGAAATTTATTATTGCAAGAAATAGGGATTATCAGCTGCGAACCAAAGTTTACAATAACAAAGTAAAATTAAATAAAAACAGGAAATAAAACAAGCTGGTTTGCACTTCTAAATTTTAACCGGTCCCTATTCATCATATTATCAATACCAAAGCAAGGTTAAGTGAAATAAACGCAAAGCCAAGAGAATAATTAAGGATTAAGTAAAATTTGGAAGCAAAATAAATTGGTTTTGTCTTTAGCAGACAAGGAAATTCCCATAATAATTCACAATGTTATGTTTTATTTACAATAAGAAATACATTAATAAATGTCAAGCAAAAAAAAAAAAAAAAAAAAAAAAAAAAAAAAAAAAAAAAAAAAAAAAAAAAAAAAAAAAAAAAAAAAAAAGGAAGGGAAAAAGGGAAAAAAGCAGGGTTTTCTTTAAGTTCATTTGTTTTGGGGTTTTTTCTTTAAGTTTTCATGTTTCAAAACAAAAGTAAAATAATTCAGGGAATAGAATTCTTTAAAGGGTTAAAGGCTTTTAATTCTACTTATTCATTTACTAAAATGTATAAGAGGGAAACTGGAGAATCATTTCATTCTTGGCTTGGTGTCCATATGTGAAAATCAATTATAGCACCAAATTCTTTGGAAAAACTTGTTCTTGTTTTTTCCAACCAAAGTTGAATTGAATTTTTCAAGGAAGAATCAAAAACAAGGTCAAAAAACAAAAATCGTCAAGAAATTGCCTGAAGCTTCGCTACACCAACTTCCTGGACCTCAGATTAATACCAAAGGAGAGGGTTTAGGGATTCAAAGTCGTTGTTTTCCTTGGCCTTTGTCAGGACCAAACGAAAAATCAAACAAGGGCTGGGCTTTCAGTATTTCCCGCGCAAAAAAAAAAAAAAAAAAAAAAAAAAAAAGGAAAAAGAAAAAGCAGGTTTTCTTTAAGTTCATGTTTCAAACAAAAAGTAAATAATCAGGAATAGAATTCTTAAAGGTTAAAGGCTTAATTCTACTTATCATTTACTAAAATGGTATAAAGAGGGAAACTTGAGAATGTCATCTTGCTTGGTGTCCATCATGTGAAAAATCAATATAGCACCAACTTCTTGAACTTGTTTGTTTTCCAACAAAGTGAATTGAATTCAAGAAAATCAACAAGGTCAAAACAAAAATCTCAAGAATTGCCTGAAGCTTCGCTTACACAACTCCTGGACTCAGATAATACAAAGGAGAGGGTGATCAAGTGTTTCCTTGGCTGTCAGGAACGAAATCAACAGGCTGGCTTTCAGTATCCGCTGCATTTTGAGAAGCTGTTAGCTTGGCCTTCTTATAGCTGCTTGAGCTTCTAAGAATCATATCCAGGGTTATGCCATGATCGCTGCTTCAATAAAATGGCTTAATAGTTAAGAAACAGAGAGAGATCATATGGAAACAGACAAACATTACAGAAATCAATTTTATAAAGACGTTGTAAACTTTTGTTTTCCAATGTTTGGAAGCTAAATAAAGAAGGTAAATGCAACAAATTAGCAATCATTGCTGGTAAAGCCACTTACATAGGTTTTTTAAATGCTTTTCCACCACCCACATTTCTTTTCCAGCTGTAAGATCCTGGTGCATATTTCAATACATATGAAATCTCAGCACATTATTCAATGCAAAAGAACACGATAGATGATACGAGGTTTTAATAATATTAGTGCCAGATACTCTACGAGTTCAAGGATTTGCTTGAAGAAAAACCAACATGCATTTCCTAGCACACATATTTAACTAGTGTTTGCAAAAATGAGAAAGCATCTGCTATATACAGTTAATGATTTATTCTCAAGATGCACAGCAATGTAAAACTGCAAGTAACCAGATTAAAGTTAACGATTCAGTCGCACAATAACAGGCACTAGTAAGTCTACAAAAACAGATTTCAGATTACCGTTCTGTGACGAGTTCAAATCTGCATTGCTTTCTCCATCCGAGTAGTCAGAAGACAAGGAATTATCTGATGGAGTTCTGGTGCTTGCATCCGAAGTATCATCTTTGATTGAAGAAGCTCCCTCACTGTCATCCTTGAATATTGAACCGGGAGATCCTATCAAGCTCTTTTTATGTTGCGAGGAATTTACAACATCCCCAGAATTAATTGTGGATGTATTTCTGCCATCCATTCGATTGGGGTCCTTACTTGATTTTCGCTCGCTACTTTTTGTATTTAAGAGACCAATATTTTTAGAACTTCCCAAGCTAGAATTTGATTCAGCCATTTTGGTCTTTGAACGAGCAACAATGACAGAGGGCTTGACAACACTGGATCTACTAGCTTCTTCAGGAACAGAATTAAGCTTACCAGACTTGCTTGATGGCAGAGATTTTACTCCATTATCAGAAACTTGCAAAGGCTCCTCGTTTGAGTGGAGCATGGTCTTTTCAGACTCTGTATTTGACAATGAACCTTGAAGGTCAACAGTGCTAGAGTTGCCAGCTTGAGGCTTTGCTCCAACCCCACAGTTTTCATTCAACATTAGTGAACTCTGTAAGTCAGATGAAGGGCCATGAGAATGTTTATCATGCTTCTTATTCTCCTTTTTGGTTTTAATTTCACCATTTACTACCTTTGCTTTAGGAGCTTTGTTCACGGCCACATCACCATAAAAACCAATTTCCCCGCGCTTTTGGGAAGATTGAATATCAAGGGGATCATTTTCTACCCTAGTGCTTTTTTCACCCTCCAAATTTGATTCATTTAACTGATTTATGGAATCTTTATTTGCTAAGTTACCCTGTTTCATCTCTTTAGACAAATAATCCACCTCCCTTGTGTTATCAGCAGATGGTGCAGGAACCTTACTACCAAAATTCTCATTTTCTTTTGCTGATTCTGGAATATTCCTTGCATCTGACCTCTGCTTCTTTTTTTTCTTTCTTGATTTACCTTCACTATTTTCAGCATGCATTTGTCCTTTTCCAATTTGCTGCACTGATTCTACTGCATTCTTAATCACATCATCAATTTCCTTATCAGAAGCCAAAAATGTAGTACTCATTGTATCTATTTCAGATACTTCGGTCCCCGCCTTAGGAGGAATAATGCTTTCCTCTTTATTAATATTATCACCAGAGTGATCTCCATTGCTTGCTTTATTAGGTTCATTCTGATATAACTCGCTAACAAAACCTTTAGTATGCTCTGTAACAGAGGTGGATGGTGTTGCACTTGCAAACTCATTCGTTTTTTCAGACTTCTTTTTTTTCTTTGATGAGTTTATTGGATTCACAGTTTCACTACTTTTCATGCCTATCTCATCTTGATCAGATGGTTTGTTCTTTTCTGAGGGTTTAAGAGAAAAATTAAGCAAGTCTCGTTCTTCTTCAACTTGATCAGATTCTTGGACCTCCAGATTCGGATTGTCTTCCATGTTATTAGCATGGTGATCCTTTGAAACTCTAATGCCTTTGGTGTTTGATGCAATTGCTGATCCAGAGGCATGGTGCACACTTTCCACAATGCCAGTATATGAGTTGTTTATATCAAATTCTACAAAAGATCAAACAAACGTCAGCAACATGATTATTGTTTCCTTCGGAACAATGGGGGAAGGAAGGAAGAAAATACCACAATAAGAAATGAGCAAGAGTTCAAATTTGCAAGCACAAACCACAGCACTCACCTTGGGAAGAGGGTCTTTTACCTCCATCTTGGACAGAATCCCCATGCTTTTCTTTCAGAGAGACTGCATCAATCTCAGAATCTATTAGAGCCTGGAAATGCTTTCTGGAGACCAGTTCTTCACCCAAATCTTTGGGGTCCGCAAGACACTCGTTACAAGCAATTGTCCCAGAAGAAGAAACTACAGCAATTTCTTGATTAGGAGTATCTGATGATTTCTTTTTCCTTTTCCTTGTCCGCTTCCTACTACTTGGATCCACAGCCTCTGAAGTTTCAATAGACGGACCTTCAAAAGTTACATTTGTATTTTTCTGTGAGATTGTGCAAGGCTTAAGCATCTCTTCATGAGAATTGGAAATCAAAGTTTCATCTTGTTTCAATAAATCTTCACCACCTTTGTTTTCCTTTTCAATTTTACGTTTTTTATTTGCCACAGGCTCTGATTGTAAAGTATCTTCCATTGACATATCATATTGCACATCATCATTATTCTTCCCGAATTCATCATTCTTGCCCGTAATATGCTTCCCTAGCTCTCCAGTACCCTCACTCAATATAGCAGCCCTTTGCACTTTAGAGCTTGCCCTTTGCACTTTAGAGCTTGCCCTTTGCACTTTAGAGCTTGTCCCTTGCACTTTAGAGCTTGCCCCTGTAGTGGCATCAGTAATATTCTTATTACATGTCACAGTATCGTGAGAAACTATTTCATGTACATTTTTCATAGAAGTTTTTGACATCAAAATCTCTTGCTGCGGTTCATCTTTATCAGATACAGGCAATGTGACATCGATTTCTTTTAGAGCAAGGTCATGTACAACATGTCTTTTTTTCTTTTTACCATTATGTTTTTTCTTCACATGAGAGCCAGTATCTAAACTGCTTTCTGGCAGTATGCTGCCCTGTACATCACCAACTTCATTCCTGGAGCTGATTTCTCTACCTCCAATTGGTGCTTTCCGAATTTCATTTTCGTCATCATATTGTTCATCTCTCTCCTGTATATGATAATCCAACCTATTATCAGCATCAAGAGGTTTAACTTTGTTATGATCATCACCTGTAGGTTCAACTTCTATCTCCAAATTCTCTGCCATGTCTCTGTCAGCAACTTCAAAAGCCAACTGGTTGGCTCCAGGGGCTTTCCATTTCAGGTGGTAGTTCCCAACAATATTGGACAACTTTTCGGGATGATCATCAGGAAGAAGATTAACCCCATTAGCAGAAAAATTACTGATTGTACCAACGCAAGCAACCATGTTGTTAGATTCAGGATTGAGTAAATGCCTATTATCTTCATGTTCCTTTAGACTCGAAGCATCAACACTAATGAACCAACTTTTATTGACACCGCGAAAGGCACTTTTCACTAAAATGGATTCTGGTAAATGATAAAAACACCCTCTGCGCTTTATCTGTGGTTTAGGAACCCTATCAAAAAATTATTAAAATACAAGTACAAGCCTAATCAAACAAAAACAGTCTTCAAAGCGAAAACAAACACTATACCTTCAAAGCATTGATTTTTATCTCCCCAAATTGAGGAAAGCACAGTGGGTGTTCATGCATTATCTTCTCTGCGCGTTAAAAGCATAAACACATCATCAGAGAAAATAAAACATTGCAACTTTTACACTTCAAAAAGCAGGAATCAGATGAAAAGATTTCAGGCATGGCATAGGAAACAAAGAAATATTTGGAGAAACTGTATAAACCGAACTTCATGGTGTATTCAATGGTTATAATGCTAAAATCTCAAATGAATTGAAGCAGGATAAATTGATTACGCTTGAGATCGGAAACGGTATCGGAGTCGGAGACGATCGTGGCCAAGTGAGTGTCGAGGTTGGTGTCTACGAACACGGCGTTATACGAGGTCGTACCATCGGGGTCGAGTGCTGGAGTCGATTTCGCCATTGATAAGACAGTAGTTAGACTGTGTATAGAGAAAAAGCCACCGTGGTTAGGGTTTTAGGTTTAGCGTTCGGTGTTGTTTGGGACTCTTTTAGCGGCGGCGAGGAGGCTTTGGCGGTTTTCTTCCTTACATGTCTACGGTGGCACAGCTCAGGTTATCAGAGGAAAATAAAATATAAATAATATAAAGTAAAATCAAGTCGAAAACGACACCGGTTAAGGTAGTTTTTGACCTAGTGCTTTCTTCTCCCGCGCCTATAATAATAATATTATTAGCGAGAGAAAATTGATAATTTTGTCCTTATAAGAAAAATGGACAGAAAAATTGAACAATCTAAGGGAAACAAAACAGATAAACTGAATTTATTTTTCAAGAGGTAAGTATAAACATAGTTAATTTTGATATTTCTATGATAATAAAATAATAATTTTAATAATAATACTAACCGCCGATTAGACGTGATCTAATTAATATTTTTATTTTTTTAATAAAGTTTTCTCACTAACATAAAAATCGGGATCTCGAGTCAGTAAAGGAAGGGTAGCCGTTGTTGTAGACTGAGTATTGATAATTTGGGGATAAAAGAAAATTTTAAAAATTAGAGTGACAAAAAAAAAAAAAGTGATTTATTTACTCTAATTTATAAAGTGCAATTTAAAAAGATTTTTGAGTTGCGTGGCGGACTGCCCTTCATTCTACCATAACAATAAGCATAGATTTTTCTCCAATATTAAATAAAATAAAAATTTATACTGGTTTGTAATGAGGTGGTATAAATAGTCATATTTACAAAAAAATATTTTCTTTTGCATAAGCTGAAAAGCAAGTCCAAAGCTTGTTTATCGTTACTGCAGTAATTATTAGTATTAGATTCATATTTAGATAATACTCCATTAATGAGTTAATGGCACTGACAATTTGCATGCCAAGATCCTATATAACCAGAGATTCTAGTGTTCACAATCAGTACAGGACTCACAAGAAGCATGAAGCAGCTTCTAGTATGATGTTTTTAGACAGTTTCCCTGGAGATTGGAGACACGAGAAATGCACGTAAGTTGTTTGAAAGAATCGAATTCTTCAAAAAACACACCACCATGCATGACACAGACCGAACCTAATTTCCGCAGGCAAGGATTCTTGAGTGCCGTAAGAAAACCAAAAGCCCCAAGAACAAGAACAGACGTTCAAAGATGATATAACCATGATGTTGTATTTGAAAACAGAAAAAGAAAAGATGGTTTTTACTAATTAAATAGAGAGACGATGATGGAAAATATTAAATTCCAAGTACATTATCAGCAACCTAAAAGTTCAATTCCTGAACAAATACATTTATCATAAAATCCTCATTCTTTCTTCCTAGAATCTTTCTGTTGTCCTCTCTTTCGAATGCCAAGGCAAAAGCGGAATCGCCATGTATCAACAGCAGATTCTGGCAATGCATGTAACAAACCCCAAATAAAGGAATGAGGCCAGTAAGGTGTGCAGCGAGGTTCATAGCCTATCCAACGCAAACCTGCTCGGGCATAACCATCTGTTGATGGAACGAAGAAAGAAGATCTCTTTATTGATGCCATCTTTGTGGCCACATAGAGCGGAACCTGGATCAAGAAATTTTTTGGTTGGTTAAAGAAGCCTAAAGCAAACAAAATTAAATACATACAATCCACTAAGCATACACATACAATTGTGCTTCTCCCGATCCTCTATGATTCTAATTCAATTTAGAAGTTGGAACTAAATGCTTCTGATATTCAAACACATAAACAGGCTGCGGCTAAGTACAATGAATTGCCGCCTCCATCAGCAAGCCACAAACAAAAACTTGTATGCACCAACAAAGGGATGTAGAATTACCATCTCAGTCACTAGGCAGTTGGTATAAAAGGGAAGAACTGAGGTGAAATCTATAACCTTATGGAAGAGAACCAGAAGAGGGGAAGAAAGATGGTGTCCTTTGATTAATATAAATATGCCTTCTATTACATGAAACATTTTTGCATTATATCCCACAATCAAATAAAGGCTTGTGGCAATAAATTGACCTTTCAGCATGTAGTGGATTGGTTTGTTAAAACTGCATTAGTTCATCAAACGCGGATGACAGAAAATCAAAAACTAGATAACCAGTGCGTTAGATATGGCCAGCAATCATAAGGCATTTGGGAGGGACAGCAATTCTTTCAAACTAACACTCAAAAAGCAACTAAAAAGTCTGAAACACAGTTAAGTGACGTGTGTATGAAGGCATTCTTTTGTTCTCTTAAATTGACCTAAAAAAGAACAATACATATAGCCTTCTACCTAATCAGTGATCAATGCATAAATTATTGAAGGCCATTAACAAAACCAAATAAATCAATCTTAGACTCTAATGAGCAAATCAGTTTTTGATTGGACCAACTTTCCTTAAGAAATATATGTTAGGTGAAAACAGAGGAAGGGTAAAGTGCTCTCAAATCACGGCAAGAAGCTTCTAGCGTTGGACAAATAACTACTTTATTTCTATCAATCTGCTTTTTGTGCAGTTGAAAAGTGTCTTTCAGAGCTATGAGGTTAATAGAGGAGAACCTGCAACAAGTGAAGGGTTCAACTTTGATAACCCCTCTTTCTTTTGAATTTCCAATGTAGAAAAAACCAAAAAAAGTTTCTTCAAGTGGTTAAAATTTGAATAAAGATGAGTGTATTGAGTTCTAAAATACAAAGTAAGTTTGAATGAAACAAAACCATAACATTTCCTTCGTTGTAATTAAATGAGCATAGTACTATAGATACTCTATTACTATCTACTGGTACAAGTATGTCACTTGTTCCAACTTCCAAATTCTCGTTATCCATTAGATATAAGCAATTCTCACCTAGAACACCTTAACAATTCTAACCAAATTCCAAAAGATAATAATCACATAACCATGAATCAAGGATAAAAACTAGCTATTTTCTCAAAAAAAAAAAAAAAAAAAAAAAAAACATAGAGCGGAAACCGGATCAAGGAAATTTTTGGTTGGTTAAAGGAGAGCCTAAAAGCAAAAACAAAATTTAATACTCATATCAATCCCACTAAGCAGTACACATACAATTGTGCGTTCTCCCGATCCTGTATGATTCTAATTCAAGTTTAGAAGTTTTGGGTGACTAGAATGCTTTCTGATATTCAGAAAAACACATTTAAAGAAACAAGGCTGCGGGCTAAGTGACAATGAATTGCCGCCTCCTCAGCTAAGCACAAACAAAAACTTGTATGCTACCACAAAGGGAAATGTAGAATTACCATCTCTTTACTTAGGCAAGTTGGCAAGAGGTTGTCTGTATAAAAGCGGAAGAACTGAGGTGAAATCTATAACCTTATGGAGACGAACCAGAAGAGGGGGAAGAAAAAGGATGGATTCGTGTCTCTACAATGTGCAAATTGAAATTTTAAAATTATAAAGAACAGTGCTCTCTCATACCTAGATTTACATAGAAGAGAACATCAGTTTTGCGATGTGATATGCCCCACGAAATCAAAATAAAGGGGGTATGTTATGGCTGGGAAACAGTTTTTCTGGGAAGTTAAATGACCTTTTCATGCAGTCGTAGATTTCTGACCAATTCTGGTGATTTGTGTTGAAAGTGCTAGCATGTGAGGTGAGAGAGTGTTGTTCATTCACATTACGCTGTTGTATCGTCTCGCATTGACAGTGAATACAACTGCATGAAAATCTAGAATTTATAAAACCTCTAGCTTGGATCTACAAGAATATTTTATGGCACAATGTACACTATATGCAAGTGAAAGGTTCAGTTTTGGGCCAAATAAGATTATCTATATGCCAATTCTTTTTTTTCACAAACACATGAACAATCAAAAAGGACAGACCTATAATACAAAAAGTGTCCGTTGAAACAGACAGTTAAGTGATACGTTGTTCCCAAATTGTTACAAGTTAGAAAGGGCAGACTTATCTTAGCTTACTATCCTATAAACTTTATGACCCCCTAAAAACACAACGTCACAAACAATACAATACTACAGCTCATCTCTAAGAGACTAACTGTCAGGTGAATACAATGCAAATAGAAATATACTTATGCTGAAGCTCAAGGCACTATTTATTACATAAACTGAAAATTATAAGAAAGTATATACATAAATCTTAGAAACCATCATAATTGAAAAGCTCGAACATGCAGTTTTTAAACTTGATTTCGTACCGAATTTCGCTTATGAGAATATTATGTAATCGGTGATGAAATAATAGGACAGGTTCAATGGTATATAAGGAGTGCTGGTAATCGTGCGTACTAACCTGCAAATTCTCGCTTGCTCAAGATAGCTTCTCTAGCCGGTGCGGACAGAATAACTATACCCTAATTTTCTATCAATCTGCTTTTTGTGCAGTTTGAAAAAGTGTTACGATTTATCGAGATCTATGAGGTTTAATAGAGGAGAAACCTGCAACAAATAAGTGAGAAGGTTCAAAATTATGATAACCCCTCTTTCTTTGTATTGCCAAGATCTCTGAAATGTAGTGATAAAAACCAATTAAAAAAGTGTTCTTCAAGTGGTTTTTATCCAATTAAAAGTTTGAAGTTTAAAGGATGTAGAGTCTAACGGAGTTTGCTAAAAATACCAAAGTAAGAAGTATTTGAGTACGAAAAAGCAAAACAAATGGACAATTATCTCGGTTACGTGTGGTAGATTAAATGAGGCATAGTACTATAGATACTCTATTACTATCTCCACTCGGTACAAGTTATGTCACTCTTGCTTCCAACTTCCCATAATTCTACTATGATCGACTCGATCTCATATCCATCTAGATATAAGCAATTTTCTTCACCTAGACACTGAACGAAACTTCAGGCCTATAAGCCTCCAGCTATAAACAATTTAATCGCAAATACCAATAAGCACTTAATTAATCACATTAGACCTCAGTTGAAGGATAAAAACTTTAGCTATTTTTTCTCAAAAAAAAATAAACCACCGAAAAAAAATAAAAAGACACAAAAAAAAAAGAAATGATAATATCTATACTTTATATCCAGAAAAGGCTTAATAATTCTGGAATGTGAAGAATATAATAAGGATAATATCTTTGTACAATACTGCACAAGTTCACTCTCAATCCCAGCATTTCTTGATTCTACTTCAATACTCTTTTAGAGAGTCAAGAACCTGAGGATTTCGATTAGGTGTCTAATATATATAACCCTGTACTGAGACATAACTACCTATATACAGAACTGCAATTAGACAATGTGAAGAAAGAGACTCCAGGATAATCTAGATTGAACTTTTCGATTAAAGTGACTTAAAATCAAAAAAAAAAAAAAAGAAAAAAAAAAAAAGGGTAAAAGAAATTGCTTACGCTTTAAGTTTTGACAGAGCATTAAGAACTGCATCAATTTATGAGAGGAGAGGAAAAAAAAAAAAAAGAAAAAAAAAAAGGGTAAAAGAATGCTTACGCTTTAGTAGCAGCATAAACTGCATAGAGAGGGTCAGAAGGAATAACAATAGCTGCACCAGAACCAATATTAACTATAGCACCTTTCTTCCTCTTCAACATCCCGGGCAAAACAGCTTGTGTTACTTTAGTAGTACCTTCCACATTTACCTTAATCAAATTCTTCAACAATTCCTCATCGAGCTCATGGAAAAACCTCGCATATGGATATGAAACCCCAACATTATTAATCAAGACACCAACATCTAAATCTTCAACAGTCTCCTTAATCCGCTTAACACCATCATCAATATCGCCACTGAAATCAACAACAACGGTCTTGATTTGAACTTTACTGTACCTAGACAGAATAGAATCGGAAACATCTTTGAGCTTATCGGCATTTCGACCCACTAAGACCAGATTGAGACCCTTTCGAGCCAACTGGAAAGCGAAAGCCTTACCAATACCGTCAGTAGGTCCGGTTACCAGAGCCCACGATCCGTACTTCTTCAAATCCTTGGCGGGTCTAAGGAAGTTGACATAGACCCATTTGAGGACAGCGAAGAAGAGCTTCAAAAGTGATAAAGAACCGAGAAAGAACAGCACAAGAAACCATAAAGGCTGATCCTTGAGTTTATCAATAAAACATGCCTCCATTTCTTTGCGTATATGCTCTTGTCTATCTGCTAAAACTTGAGGGATTTGAGAAAAGGGTTTTGCTTAAAAGGATTAAATACAAAGGTCCAGGAGAAAAAAAAAAGTATGGACACCCTTTGTTTGGTGGGAATTGGTGAGATTTGACTAAGACAAAGAGAGGCGGAGAAATAGAGAAAACCAGAGAGCAATAGGATTGAAAGAGAGAAGATCCAGCTAGGCAGAAACCGGTGGGAGATGGTGATTTATTAAGATCTGAAAGGACAAGAAAGAGATGAGACGTACACTGGATGGCGAAGTAGATGAGCAGAAAACCACCACCATTTAAGTAAATTGTTATACTGATACAGCCATAATAACAGAGCATGAGGGCACCTATTCTCCGGTCTACACCAGGGTAATGTTTACCTGCAACTTTGTATGGGTGAGCTCATATACTAAACCAATCAAATAAAAACATACAAGACAAATAAGAATATTACTGACTGTGTACTTGGCTTGATATATAGGTGGTGACCAAAGTATATAAATATTTTTCTATCATTTTTCTTTTTGAAAATAATCATTTTTTTTTTAAATATAGAAATATACTCTCATTTTATCTAAATAGTTTTATTGAATTGATTGGTATGTAAGTGGGAATATGCAATATACAAGTGTAATTTGAATAGTAAAATTTTAAATAAATAATTATTTAGTATTTAATATTTAATCATAATTATAGTTTCATTGCTTCTATTCGATAAGTATATTAATGATTTTTAAAAAATCTACGCTTTGTATAGATGAAAGTATTTTTCTAAGGGAAGGAAAATTAGTATATAAAATTATCTAGAGAAATGTATTTTCTCTTGTTTATGAAAATTATTGAATAAAGTAATATTTCATTTATTTTTTCAAATGTTTGATTCTCTTCGATTTGGAAAAAATAAAAATTTTATTTATTTTTATTAAATTCTCCAAATACTCCAAAATAAATAAAATTATATTTTATGTCTTAAATTAAATGAAGGTATAATTATCAAAATTACATGAAGGTATAATTATCAAATCCAATAATCTATAATAAGAAAATTGATAAATTTTCGCATTATTTTCTTTCCTCTATTATTTTCTTTCTTCTCTATTTTAATAATATATTTTAAGTATTTGATTAAAAAATTATATTTTCTTATATTAAACTAATTTGAGATATACTCATTAATGTAGTAAGGGAAATGGAATAAAAACTTAGGCTTTGTAATAAAAAATACCAACATCCAATCTGTTAACAACATTCTCTACCTCTCTTAAATCTCAGTCCCACCAGAACTTTCCAGGTCAATACCACTTGTCTTTATTTGAATTTCTCGATATATATGTTGGTTTCATTGTATTTTCAGGTTTTCTACCATCCAAAATTTGGTTTAAGACCCTTTTGATGCTAGCCCAAAAAGCCAGAGCTTTGCCAATTCCATCAGCTGAGCGACTGAGCATAGCCCATGGACCATAGTCACTGTATTACTAAAACTTCTTATGGTCGAGGATTCAAAACTTACTCTGATCTGTTTAAAATTTTTTATTTTTATTTTTTATTGAAAAAAAAAATAATTAGCGATAACTAGCGTAGGATTCAATTTTTAAGGTAAACACTTAGAAATAAAAAATAAAACTATAATTTATTCATATATGGTAATATTAAGAAGAGTTAATGAAGTATTGGAATTGTGGGGGAGATAGTCAAACTAGAGTACATATATAGATTGACATAACCTGAATCAGTTTGATGTAGAATTTGCATTCTTGTCTAGGCAATTTATGCAAACACAGCTTTTCTACTTATTTTAGCCTTAATATAAAGTGTTTCCTCAGTTCATACTTCATATAGATTTCCTTTCCAAGTTTGGCTTAGCACATTCATTAATATTTCAAAAGAAAATTTGGTAGTGCCCATTCGTGTTTTGGAATTATTTAGGTACGGTGGTGGTTGTAATTGCGAGTAATTGCGCTTTTAAACTCTGCGAATAACTGTGTTTTTCAGAATTAAATTTATATTATCACTTTTCCGGAAATTGCCGACTTCTTATTTGCTTTATATATATAAACCACTCCCAGCAACTACATTTTCTAGAATTAAATTTGTATTCATTTATAGATATTGATGTTATTTGCTGTGAATCAAACTTTATGACATACAAAAAAATCCAAAAACAAAGGAAGGGTGGGTTTCCCTTAACCGTAAGAAAGAGTATATTCATCTCTTGACAGACAAACTTTCTTCTGTGAAAACGACCCTCTTCCATCTTTTGCCAAACTTAACATCATGTCGTTTCCAAGCTTACAAATATCATATTGGTTCCAGAAAACATGTATATGTCGATGATAATATAAGAATCAATGAGCTTATTAAAGTAGCTAGATTTTCCTATATATTAACTGAACCAAATGGCTATATATACATATTTTCAGGCAACTATCTTTCCCCTCCGGCGGATTCCGAGAGAGAGACGCCAAGAATCAAGAACAGCCTCCGGAAGCAACTGGGCAAAGAACCATTGAAGCGAGTGAGACCAATAAGGAGTGCAACGAGCTTCATACCCTATTTGTTTTACTGCAGCTTTTGCATAATCTTCCGGTGATGGTATAAACAAAGATGATTTCTCTATGAACGCCACTCTTGATGTCATTTTTGTTGCTACATATAATGGCACCTAATAAAAAAAATTAATCAACCAAAAATTTATTTAATTACATTAATATTAATATTAACGTTAACTTAACAACAACGTAATAATACCTGACACTGAACATCAATCCCATAGCTTCTGTATTCCACGTACAAACATCTTGATAGTTTATCAATATACCTGCACTAAGAATTTTCCGAAGTTATTGTTTAACTAAATTATATAGGATTAATAAAAACTTTTTAAACATTAATAGCTTGAAAAATAAATTATATTACCCTTTTGTTGCAGCATAAATGGTGTAGAGAGGATGTGAAGGCACAACAATGGAAGCTCCTGAACCAATATTAACAATGACACCTTTTTTCCTCTGGATCATCCCTTTCAAAACTGCTTTTGTAACTCTACTTGTTCCTTCTAAATTAACCCTAACTATACTCATCCAAGTTTTCTCATCAACTTCATGCAAGAACATGGCTTGTGGATATGTAATACCCACATTATTTATCAACAAACCCACATCTATCCCTTTGATAGCCTCCTCTATAAGTTTGATCCCACTTGCAATTTCACTTGAAAAATCAAAATCCACAATCTTGATTTTGGTATTTGGAAATTCCTCTTGGATTTCATTTGAGACTTTTTTAAGCTTGTCAAGGGTTTTACTTACTAAGATTAGGTTTAGGCCTTGTTTTGCGAGTTGTTTAGCAAAGGCTTTGCCTATACCATCTGTTGCTCCTGTGATGAGAGCCCATGAACCATATTTTTCTTTGAGATTCTTTTGTGGTCTCAGAAATGTTTTGTAGACCCAATTGAGAAGAGAGAAGGAGTAGTTTAACAGAGAGAGAAAGCCAAGAGATGAGATTAGAAGAAGCCAATATGGTTGGGCTGAAAGGTGATTGATGCTTGTTGAAAGCATTTTCTGGTGTTTTGAGTTATTGGCAATTGGCATTGCTTCAATTTAAACACATTCTTTCTTTCTTTCTTCTTCCTCTCTTTTTTTTTTTTTATTTTTTATTTTTATTTTTTTGATAATTTCCTATCTAGAGTGATTTTTCTTTTATGATTAAAAAATTACCAAGAGTATGATTCTATTCCTGTTTAACAGTTACACGAGAAACTAATTCTTTTTTGAAAATCGATTACGTTAAAACCTTTTACAAAATTATAACTCAATTACATCTTTAAGATCAAGTATAGGATCTAATGTATTCTAATTACTAGGCCATATAGAGATTTATTTTTCTTGAGGCATGTGAGATGAATAGAGAAATAATTCAATACATAAATATCTTTCCACTATATTATGAATCTGTTTGACAAAATAGTTATTTGAATAGCGTTCTATTTCAGTGGCTTTTCATAAAATAATAAAAATTACACGTTATATGGGTTAATTTTATATAAAATGCTATTTTAACCTCTAAATATTAATTCAAACATTATATTACCGATTACTGTAAAATATAATCGAATGGTTTAAAAAATCTATTGCCAAATACAACCTATCAGTGAACTTTTCACCCAAATGAAATTTTAATAATAGCCGGGGAAAATTTCATATATCAACTCTCTTCATAAATGTGATATTATCAACTCTCATTTAATTTTATCTTGGAAAACAAAGTAAATTCGGATAAAATAGGGCCTTGAAGGGTATACATCACATTCACATGCACTAGCCTCGGAGGCACATGGACCAACATCACTACTCCATCTCTGTAAGGTTAATTTTTATAGCCATTCACTGATTGTGGTCCCTGTTTGGCTGTTTCCGTTTCTCTTTCTGTGGATGCATTTACTTTACATGCCAACATCCCATTTAAGCTTCTAACGGTTACAGATGGTCATTACTGTTCAGCTCAGCCATATGTCACAACTGACGAGCCTGCAATTATGCACCGGCGAGCTCTGCTGCCAGATTGTCTGGTATTTCAGAATCCCACGACACATGTGAGATTTGGTGGATCGCAACAATTTTCGGTTCATAATCCATGACGTCCTGCCGTTCACGTATCGATGTCAGCATTAATTCACCGCAACACTATGCAGAGAATTTTTTTTTTTTTTTCATTAAAGAAAAAAAAATAGATAAAAGTAACCTTAGACTCGTTTGTTTTTAAAAAATTTATTTTTTTTAGAAAACATTTTCCTAATAATTTATTTTTATTGTTCGTTTATAGTATTAAAATTTATAATTTACAAGACTACAAAAATATTTGGAATTACAAGAATTTCATATTTTAAAATTTTATTGTCAAAAACGAGAAAAATGCATAAAAATGACAAATTTTAGTAGGTGCTTATTAGCTGATTTATAATAATAATAATCATCACTAATCAATGAATGTGGGTTATAAAATTACAATAAGTTTATCAATATCCACAAATATTTTTCCTTTAAAAAAAAAGTCATTTTCTTTTAAAATGATTTAATTTTTCTTTTAAGAGAGAAATTCTATTGACTAATTAAGCATTCTTAATTTTTTTTTTAAAAAAAAAAAAGAAAAACACGAAAAAAGTATGTTTTAGATAAAATATTTTCTCTAAACAAACGTAATTTTTTGAGTACTCCGTTCTGTCCAATCAATCTCTGTCTGTTTTGCCACGAATGTTCATGTTACTATTAAACACTTAATATGCGGTCAGAAATGAAAATCCTGGAAAGTAGGTAAGGGGAGATGGGTAGAAATTAACTCAATGGTGAGGCAGAGGCTGGCCTAACTAGCACAAATATCATGCTCAAAGAGTACAACAATACACTTTTTTGCCTGTACAGCTTTGAACACTAGAACACTCGTTGTAACTAACATTTGTGTGTGTCTATAAAATAACATAGATGTAGTAATTTCCCACCATAAAGGGTTGTTTAGCGTGTACCTCCTTTCTTGCTTTACTCTGTCTGTCCATCTGTTCTTTCTTTTTCTTCTTTTGGGTGCATTTCATCATTCCAAATGTAAATGTTGGGGGTTTATCATGCATCACTTGTCATGCTCAATGTCCATGCTTAGTCCTTGTATGGAAGTTGCGGTAAACCAGCATTATATTCACAATTCTTGATTTGTTGCGTCCGAATCATGATTAGTGCAGCCAGAGCCCTTTACAAGATGTTCTTGGTGGAATGGATCATCAGCACCATGAACAGAACTCAATCTTGGAGAAAAGTTCCAACCTGCCATCTGCTCCAGGTCATGACCATTGGACCTCATACTGGCTTCTTCCTTGAATTTGATGAAAAAAGTGGATGACCAATAATCTTTTGCCAAATTCTTCAAAAAAGAAAAACAATTACTTTAGATATATACATTCGAGTTTCTACACTAATTCAAATCGAAACTAATAGAAATTGATCCCACAAAGCAACATACCGTTTTCATTAGCTGCAACAACTCATTTATTGCCTTATTAAAGAGATCCGAGTCTGCTAGATTGGTGGTACTCAATATTTCTTCTCGTGTTCGATGAGATATATTCACTTCCATTGTTGCACCTGTGTCGTAGAAAAGTCATATTCAGAGTGAAGTGAACTAGTACATATTCAAAGTGAGGAAATTTCCACTTCAGACAACCAAAATTTCCTCGATAAGTAAGAGTTTAGCAGGAAGTTCATTGACTTCACTGTAAATTTTACAGATATGGTATTTAGGTATTCTGAGGTATTCAAGGTTCTTATCATAATAATATATTTGATATTTTCGGACAAAAATAATGAAAGTTAAGCATATTTCGGGCAAAAATAATGAAAGTTAAGCGTACACCAGCCTTATAGTCCAGTAGCACTTATTGTGAAAGCGTAAGCAAGAAACACTAATAAGCTAATTATGCTGATTTGATGGAGAAAAGGGAAATATGCCATTGTCAATGAAAAAAAAGAAACAAGAAAAACCAGCTGGACTGCCTACAAATTAGCTACCATAAATCGGACCATGGCTACATATTCATGCACTTGTTCTAGAGGCAAATGGGTACTGATTTGTTGATTAATGCCAGAAGGAAAATGCGTGTAGGGTGCACTCACAAGTTCCTTTGCAGAGAAGGATTATGCGTACACACCTTTACCCAAAAGCAGCCAAAGAGAACTTGATTTTCACTGTTTTATTTCTTTGTTTGACTTCTTAATTACAAATAGCCAGACAACATCACTAGTTTAATCTATCTCCACTCTGAAAAATGCTTATCCTCATTGAACCATATTTATTCAGCTAACAAATATGATAAGCAAGGATAATTATGGTTGAACGTAAAGCACTAATGAATATGAAAGGTTGATCCTTATAAATATCACATACCTGCGACTATATATTTCTCAATAATATGCCGTGTCATATAGATCCTTCTTACTGTGTCATCTATAGGAATTTTGCAACGTTCATGCACTTCATCGTAGAAATGAACACTCTCCCCTGCTAAACAACTGCAGTTAAGACAAAAACATAAATGTTAGACTTTAATCTTCAAAGACCAATTCTTCTTCCACATTTCTTTTTATCTTTTTTACCCATTCTTTAACCTCCAAATTGTTCCAAGTATCCAAAACCTAATTTCTTTCTTAAAGGAAATACAATGAAACTTGGAAATTCCAAGTTCTATTGCATTAGCTGAGTATGCATTCTATTAATTGAACTATGGAGGAGAGAGAAACCTATCTGCAAATGCCATAAAAGATTGACGAAATTTTTTGTTGAGAAGAAGCTTGTCCAGAGGTTCATTAGGATCTACTACTGGAACCAGATCTCTTTGCAGAAGCAGTCCACTGTCAGGTATACCCAAAGCCTGACCCATTGTCACATATTCTGGACGTTCTCTTTTCCTCAAGCTGATTTGTGAAAGCAAAGGTTGGGAACTTGATATAGAGAAGAAAGCCAGCACAAAAATACTTGCCTGAGGAGTACACCTGAGATATGTTAGAAAATATGTATAAGAAGAAGACTAATTACCTAAATTAAATTGATTAATATTTCCAGCAGGTACATGAAAAGAGAAAAGAGCTGGATAAAAAAACATACTGTAAATAAAAGCAAACATCTGGAGACAACTTGAAGCGATGCGATATCGTCATGAATTTCATTCAAAACATAAGCAACAACCCACAGTCCTGGAAGTACAAAAGAGTACAAGTTAAAAAGAGGTGGATCAATTTCAGGCATCCATAAACTGCATTGCTAATCAGCTTATAAAAGAGTATGGAAATATGCCATCAAACTCAATTAATTAATAGCTTAAACAATTTTCGATGGTCATTTCTCACAATACTTGTATAGTGTACAATCCTCCAAATGAATGTGGACAGCAGCCAAAAGAGCTAACTGTAGGAAACAATTTAATTCTTTAGAGAACTAACCAAACCCATAAATGTTAAGACTAAGCCTAATTATCCATTAATATTGTCCATGCATTGATTTTTCATTCCACCAAATGACTGGTTGATCAAAATAAGGAGCCTGATGAATTAATTGGATATAACAGAAATCAACATTTAAGAAAGAAAAAAATTGCAGAACCTTGTAAAGAACCAAGATAAAATTGTACCAATAGATGATGCTGAGACAAGAATCCCCTGCCACAGGTCTTTGAGTTCATCAAACCTGAACTCAATATGCCGAATCAACCCTGTGAATCCAACCAAAGCAGCAACATAGGAAGTATGAAGCAACAAAACTGGAACGATCCAATGAGTGCCCATGTGGCATCTAGTATTCAGCGGCTTCTTCACATGGATAACTACAAATGTTGAGATAATTCCTCTTGTTAAAATGAGCAATTACAACAAAGAGAGAGAGGGGGTAACATGTACAAAGTGTGGCCCTGCATTTCGTTTTTGGGGGATAAGGAGGAGGCACGGGAGGTACTAGTGATTTGATATGTAAGATTCTTACGTGCAGCCCCAGCAATCCATGGCAATTGAATTAGCGGAAGAAACATGTAAGATCTAATTGGTGGTAAGCGCCTCCTGCAATATTAATACCAAATAGTTAGGAAAAAATTTCTAGACGGTTAAATAATATGGCAAATGGAAAATATCATCTAAAGACTGAACAGGTTGTCTTGTGCTGAGTAACAAATCCAGCAAGTTTCACCAAGTTCTATACTTCAATTTCAATTTCCACAAAGAGTACACACTTTCTACTCACTTCAGAAATATGTAATACAGCTGGAAAGCCTGTGCTATGCGACAGCTCAGCAGCAAACCAAATCCCAATGGACCTTCAACCCAGACTGAGAGGGAAAAAAATCATAAGCATTTTTGTGGGCTAAATGCATTACTGAAATTGAAGCAGCAACTATCCATAACTTAAGATATCTAATTGACATAGAAAGCAGTCAATAACCTGCCCAAATATAGCAAGATTGCCACCAATGCCTCCTTTTGAATTTCAGTAAATTGAGATGCATCTACACCAGAAGAAGACATGAAAAACACAGTTCAATACAATTTTAAACTGCCAATAACAAACTTTCAGTGGATGAAGCCACTGAAGCATAAGCAAGGTCGGTTCATTTATCAGTAGTTTACCACAATTGATAACAACAGATTGAAGCTTGCAAAAACTTGAATTAGTGGAATCCAGAAGCTACTGCCATTAATACGTGGAACTTTGTGGACCAAAAAGGGAAAAATTGACCGCGAAAGAAGCCTGAAAAAAACAATGTCACTCAATAGAAGAGAACAGAATTTATTTTCGTAGTAATAAATTCTTGGTCCTAGAGTACATATCACAACGACATCAAAATAAGATAACAAGATGAACATTGTATAATGGAATATAAAACAAGAGCTAAAGAAAGGGAGAGGCTTAGGTTGAAATTTCTGGTTTCCACAGTTTTTATGTCTTAACAACTACTAGATTGGCCCCAAATCGCTGAAATACAAAAAGATTCAAAGCTCACTGGTCAGCAAATTGAGCTCTGAGAAAGCAACATAGCTGAATAGTGCATCCAAGTACTTTCATGATATTCTACATCATGATCGCCAACACTCTTAAAGTACCTGTTCAAGAATTACTTGAGTTGCTATGGTCAACCTTATCTCAGCTTCCCTCACTTTCTCTCTCTCAAGGCTCAATGAAGCGATTTCTCGCACAAAGGGCTCCATTTAAGGCCAAAACTAGAGAATGACTAAACCAAACTACAAACTTGAAACTGATTCATTGAGGCATAACATCAAACAGGTAACCATCAAAAATGAAAAATCACCACAAAAACCATAACAGAATAACACGATTTCAATGTTGAAGGAAAAGAACAAACACATATGTATTGCAGGTAATCTAGCAATGAATTCAGCAATAGTAATTAGCAAAAATCACAGCTAACCCATCAAAAAGGATATCCACCAACTGCTAAACTAACGCACGGACAACTACTAAGCAAAAAAACTACAAACAAATTAGAAAAGGGGAAACATACAAAATCATGGAGATGATGGCTATGGAAATAGCCATGTAATCGGTAGGACAGCCTCCTTCCACTGCACAGCTTGTCATTTTCTCGTATTTACAAGTATCGGACTTCTTTCATGGACTACTATCAAACAATCAAAACACAAGAAAATCTTTTACCCATTTGATTAAATCTAAAGATTGACCAATCGCCATGGCCGTTGAAGCGAAAAGGAAAAGTCTTTGGATCGTTAGTAAAACTTTGATTTGCGAGTACATTTCTAATTCCACGTCAGTTGCGTTTTTGACTCGAAAAACCAAACACAAAAAGGAAAATCAAGAGATGTCTTGACGTTAATAAGTGGCCTTTGTTAAGTTAATGTCTTATAACTATCAATTTCACTTTCAATTTGTCACTAATTGCAATTTCCCCCTAAATAGTTCTTTAGACACTGAGCAGTGAGCACTCTAAACATTTCAACATGGTTGCAAATTTCATTTGTGCTATAACTGAAGTATTCAAGCAATAAATAAAAAATTAAACTTGAGAACTCATAGAAACTCAAGATTGAACCTTTAATTGTAAGAATTCAGCTAATCTTTAGATGCAAAAATATAATGAGTTTAATAGCAATTCAAGGTTACTTTTTCTAAAATGATAACAACCGTGGGTCACTGTTTAATTTCTTATAAGCTGGAGAGAGAGAGAAAAAGAGGCGAAGTAATTAATTTTTCATTTTAATTCAAACAATGTGTTTTGCATTTATTTAAGTTTGAGTTCACCGTTGAGCATTATTTTATCAAAAAACGCAACTTTAATTTGCTTTTAGGTGCAATTATTTATGATGACCGAATTCGTTTTTAGGAGGCAAGTACATTTTAAAGCAAATTTGTTTAATTACAACTAGATTAAATAATTTCAAAGTGTCCTAAATCATTTTTGTCGATCGCATAGGTAATGTATATGGTGAAATTTTCTCTCCCTAATTTTTACTTTCTATCAACTTATCTTCCCTTTCTTTTTTTTTTTTCTCGATTTTTGAAGAGAGAAATTTGAGCGAGCAGCAAAATGCAATTTATTGAACAACAGTAACTGCTATATGGCTAAAAATGAGATTCTGGATTCTTTTGTTAAGAAAAAAAATTCACTTGGTAATCAAAGCATCACTCATCTTAATAAACGACTTATCATTTTGATCCAGCAACAAAATATTATCAACTGAAACAAATAGTAAGCTTTTTTTTTTGCCAAATTAGGTTATTTTTATTTTCACATTGATGGATTAATTGTAATGGGATGTTGTTGTAATAGTAATTGTATTGTAACTCAATTAAAACTAAAACTTTTAAACATTGTAAATAGAAAATAAAAATAAAAAATAAAAAAAATCATAATATGAGAAATAGTAATTTTTATTGCTGCCTTTTATTCATAAAAAAAAAAGGTCATATAGAGAGACAACATGTATGTATAGTTATCTCCATAAAGGCTTACATCCTTGTGGACAACATTGGATGCAACGGAGTGGGTTTCCTGAATTGCATATGCAGCATGGCTTACCGTTGCAAAATGAGTTGATACTCCAACCAAAAGGCAATAGACCTAGACCTTTTACCTGTGGTTCAGACCATATAATATCTACTTCAGCGAATTTGAGGACTTTGACGTGGTTCGCCACAAGATCCCTCCAACAAGATTGTTCAATGCATGAGAAGCCATTGGCACAATGATGCTCGATGATAGAATGGTAGCATAGCCATATAATACTCCAACAAAAGTTGCCCTGAAACAATGTTGAACAAGAAAATTATGGCTAGTCGTACATTAAGGTAACTGTAATTTGAAGATCATTCTTAAGAAAAAGACCTTAATAATAAAAGTAAATGTTGTAAATATTTTTGTGTTATAAATATTAGGATGTGATTTATCTTACAAAACACTGAAGCAGAGTTTTATTGTGTTAATGTTCAGTGCTTGGTTTTCAAATGAACCATGAAAGTTTGTCCATTTCACAAAATGGTAATATATGCCTACAGAAAGAAGAAGTTTGAAGGAAAAATTTATGCATTGATTTTAGAAGATGAATACCAGAGAGCAAAAGAGTACTTTCGACCGCTGCCCAAGTGCAGAATGCCAAATACAGAACCAACTGCCAAAGCACTCTTCCAATCCATTCCAAAAAGAGGTAGCAATCCGCCACGGAAAAGGAGCTCCTGGGCAATCCATGAAATTATATACTTCAGTATTTATTCTAGAAAAGCAAACGAAAAAAAAACTTCTGATACTTCACTCATTACCTCACTAATCCCTGGCAAAAATGAAATTACGATGTAATCCAAAGGTTGAAGTGATGTAAGGACCTACGTTAGAAAAGCATCATCTTTTTCAATATTCAAGAAAGCAATCAAACATTAAACAGTCATGGAGATACAGGTATAGATGTTAACAAAATAATTCTGATTGGCTGCTAAATAGATGTTAAATGATTTTAAGTCACAAGAAATTCCATTGTTGTATAGCACCATTTAGAGACAGGCAGAAAACTGAGTAGAGCTACCTGCTGATTGGCAGCTTCTGTAGATTCGGCAAAATCTGGCCATGTCTTCACTAGCAAGTATCGGCATGATGATATCAGTATAACCAATCCTGCAATCAACTCAATATGCCACATCTCAATATCAACTGCAAAGAAAGAGGCAAAGAGTGAAACTCCTGAAAGTAATAAACAAATAATCTTTCTTTTAGAATAATTGCTTCTGGATTTGGCGAGAACTCATTAAAGAGGAAAAGAAGTTCCTTTGCATGTATTGGGTCGCCATTTAATAATCTACAATTGAAAGTACGAGTTTATCATCAAATCAGATTTGCACTTCCAAGTTCCACGGGGAACAAACTTGAGAAAATTTATTTTCATTTAAATATGACTATCTGTGAGCGCTAAAACCAAAAGACTAACTTATTTTGTGCACAAACAATGTTAAACTTCAGGCAAACAGCTGCCGTTATTGGAAATTTTGTGCACCTTTCATTGAAAACTTAACCTCCACCTAAAGTTAGGCATGTTCATCCTTTTTGTGGATGCATTCATCATTATAAAGTGATTTCTCTCATCAAACAGAATGAAAATTAAACTTCTAAATGATCAGCAAGCAGAAATGACAACCATAAAATTTATACATGAAACTGCTGTAGAGCAATCAAGGATAGGCAATCCTTCAACTGATGCAACATGAGATACCTGGAAATTACAATTAGGAAATAGAATTTAATACACAAATTATTTACCAGGATGAAGCAATAAAATTTTAATTCACAAAAATTTGAAAACCATAATCCTAAATCATAAATTAAAAGTAGCTTCCATAATCAATCACCATTAAAGTATATAAAAGATTTGTAATTCATCCTGCTTCACAAACATGATAAAAATAGCAATTGTAGCAATTAAATGAAAAGGCTACGTACCTGTCGAATTACTACACCAAAAGCAGCTATCAACCCAGAAGTGACAATGCAAGCCTGAAGCACATCACTTCTTGAAGGGAAATTGACTGAATTCTCCATAGAATTAACATTATTATTATCCTCTAAAGAAGACCCATTTGTTAAAACCTTGCTTTCATCTATTTCTAAACTCTTTTGGGTAGTTTTCAAAATCGTCCCATTTGGCGATTGTCCATTCTTTCTCAACTTTTTCACCGATTTCTGTCTGGCAAAAGCTGTTGTGCAAAATCTATACTCCTGAAAAGAAGAAGAAGAAATTAAGAATCCAAAAAATAAAAGATTTTTTTATTAGAAGATGAAAAGTGAGTGTCTTTACCCTACTCGATTTGGGTAGTAAAACTTTGAGTGAATCGTATGGGAGAGTCTGCTTCCAAGAGAAATTGTGGGTTATGGTTAAAGGCATGGCGGTATCTGCTATGAAACCCTAGCTTAATTCTCCAACTACAAACCAAAATAGAAAGAGAGTAGAGAGAAAGATAATTCAAAGTTTAGATGAATTTAACCTGTCTTGAAACGATTTTATTTTGTATTTCTGTTATCTGTTATTCATTCTCTTCCCTCTAAATCTCAGATTCTTGCCACGTGGATGGTCATTTTTTTAACTTGGAAAAAAAAGCTGGACTTAAAAGTAAGTACATTTCCTAAGAATAATTCTTTTTTTTTCTGAAAAAAAAAATCTTATTATAGAATACCCGATGATTAAATTGAGAGGAACATTTAATAGTTTGCCAATTAGAAATTAACAAGTTTTTCCTTGATTTATTTAAATAAAAGTTCGAGTTTTCGAAATAAATAAAATTTATCAAATATTAATTACACAATTTAGTGCACGTGTAAACACAACGACACAGGATGACATATATAAACGCATAATATATACAATATATATTCAAAGCACTATCAATTTTCACATGCCATTCACAAGTCTATCTCAATTTTCCAATAGGAGATAAGGGGAGGAAAATGTGTACTATTATTTCCCAGAAGGCTAGAGGCTTGGATTCTCTCAACCCTAAAATATAATTGCAGAGAATCAATGGGAAAGAATAAGCATATAAACATCTTTGGAGGGGGAAAAAGAGGAAGAAATGAATGGGAAAAAAAAAAAAAAAAAAAAAAAAAAAACAATAGAAGTAGTCAGTTAGAAGGAGAAGATAATCTCAAAGTTTAGCATGGTGGAATTTAACCTGTACTTGAAAATCGATGTTTAGTTTTTGTATTTTCCTTGTTATCTGTTATTCAATTCTCTTCCTCTAACACTCTCATCAGATTTCTTGCACGTGGATGGTTCATTTTTTTGAACTTGGAAAAAAGAGCCTTGGACCTTAAAAAGATACAGTACATTTCCTAAGCAATAATTTCTTTTTTTTTCTGAAAAAAAAAAATCCTTTTATAGACATACCCGAATGATTTTAAAATTGAGCAGGAACATTTCAATTAGTTTGCCATATTCGAGAAAAATTAAAACAAGCTTTTTCCTTGATATTTAAATAAAACGTTTCAGAGTTTTCGAACAATAAAATAAAATTTATCAAATCCATTTAAATTACACATATTTTTTTTCGTAGTTCACGTTGTGAAACACACAACGAGCACCGAGCATGACACTATATAACACGCATATTATAATATTATACAACTTTCATATATATCATCCAAAGCACTATCCCAACAATTTTCACATCCGCCCATTCAACAAGGTCTTATCTCAATTTTTTCTCCAATCGGAGATAGGGGAAAGGAAAATTTGTTTGTACTATTATTTCCCAGAAGGGCATAAGGAGGCTTGGATTCTCTCAACCCTAAAATATTAATTGCAGAGGACATCAATGGGACAATGAATAAGCAATTAAACATCTTTGGAGGGGGAAAAAGAGGAAGGAAATGAATGGGAAAAAAAAAAAAAAAAAAAAAAAAAAACACCTCTAAAAAAAAAAAAAAAAAAAAAAAAAAACTCTATGATACAAGTTGCTATAGCTGACAAAGAAATGCTGCAAAAGTGATTCAGAGAGGTGAACTTGGTTACAAGATGGTTCCCAATAGCCATATGTGCAAGACAAGCCAATATGCAATGAGGCCCAGCCTCGCTCTAGGACGACTCATTAGGACTCGACCACCGGATACCCTGCATAGGTTAAAAGGGAAACTTAGTTTGAAGTTGATACAAGTATCCAATTCCACAAAATTTACCCCTGACAGCAGCCTTGGATCCTAATCATGTAAAATTAACTTCATTTCTTTTTTTATTAAATATATATATATTTCTTTATTAACTATATATTATATATATATAATTAATATATATATATTAAATAAAAAAAGAATGAATATATATATATTTAATAAAAAAAGAAATGAAGTTAATGACTAGAGAACCTAGCATTAGTAATTGTCCCTACCACCTTATACAAATTTCATTTAAAGAACAAGAGAAATTAGAAGCAACATTTTCAGTTTTCCCTCATCCTTCCCAATTTCCGCTCATTTTATGTTTAATGGACAATCCAAACACTTTACCATATTCCATCAACTCGATCTGCGAGTGACTTTCCTTGCCTGGGAATAAGACCTGATGTGTTTAGAGACTTGAATACATGACCTGCCACGGAGAAAAAAAAAAAAAAACTAGTATAACTATCCAAGCTGTGGAACTTATTTGGGTACATAAAACCAATGAATACTAACCTTTTTCCTCATCTGTTTCCTCGTTGTTGATCAGAGTACCAGATTCTGAATCAATACTGAGAACAAGATGGTCACCTGATCCTTTTCGCATAGTTCTCAGTTGAGCAGCTGAGGGAGCAAGAGATAACCCATTCCCATTCTTTCCAACTGAGGCCTGCATAAGCAACAAGGATAAATAGTTGAGTAGATGCAGCTTCCTTATGTTATGGTCAATCAAAAAAGCAGTAACAGCAAGCATCTTAAGAGAAAGATACTGATGCAAGACAAAGCGTTTCATGCATTTGCTCGTATTACTCTACTGAGTTTTATGCATTTGCATGTACAGAAAAATCACAATATGATATACATTTGGAATGGCTTTAACCATTAGTGTCATCAGATCTCAAGACTTCCAAAGGTGCAGACAAGTGGAGTCTTAGAAGATTCCGGTAAGTGCATAACAAAACATGTGATTTACCTTACAGCAAACATAAAGGTTAAAAGCATGCAGAAGAACTGTGGCGGGGAAAAAAAGGAACTCAACATGGTTGGATTGAACAAATTGATACATACACACCCACATAGCTTGACATAAAGTTTGAAGGTATATTGGACACAAGATGCAACAAACCAATCAATTTTTGGTTTGGTTGTGTAGTTCAACACTGAGCAGCTAAGCCATTGGCATTTTGGGTAACAAAACCTCTAAAATCAACACAAAATACCAACTTTCTGACAGGAGGAGAATAGTATGGACCCACAAAACATAAGGAGGCAAAATTTGGGACGCATGAAAAAAGGAATGGCAGACCCGTTGCCTTTCACAAGAACTGAAGCTCCCATGATTGAAGTTAAGGTATTCTCAACAAGCAAAACTACACATGATTAATTAGCACATTATTGGAGCAGACAAAAACAAAACAGAAAGAAGCTTCTCAAAAACTATCAAGTTGATGTCAACAGGTTCCCTAGCGCATCCTTTGTTCATTTCATGTGTTTTAACAAATGTATGTATATATATATATATATAAACATTAGTCTACTTTTGTTTTCTCTAACTAACCATAAGGTCAACAACTATTACGAGCTAATGGAATTTACCAAATTCTAGCAGCAAGTAATGGCAGTGCATGAAGAGAAAAATTTAATCACGGTAGCACAAAGACAATATTTTACCGCATCTTCAATTTCAGATATTTCTGAGCCAGTAGGCAATGAAGGAGCTTCAAAGATGCTCCTTTCCTGCACAATCTCTGGCTGGACAGTTTTACTACGAAATGAATCTTCAAGCAATTTAATCTTTGTTGATAATTCCTCTATAACCTTCTGGCTCTCAAGCAACCTTGTGCTAAGTTCCTGAGCTTGGGAATTTGAATTTTTGGCTTCCAAATGCAAGGCCAGAATCTGTTTTTCTAGTACTGGCAAAAGTATCTGCACACTAGTGCTTTTTGGGTCTCCAAAAATTTCGCTACATCCCAATATATCAATGATTTTCTCCAAACTTAATGTTATCCCAGACATTTCGTTGCTTATCTTTTCAGAAGCTTGGTTATTTCTAATTTGTTTCTCAATTTCCTCCTTTAGGTGTTCTATATCATGAACCTGCATTGATAGAGTTGACTGTAGCCTGTCTTTATCATGAGATAATTTATTTATTTGATGCTGCAACTCAGGTACACTATCGATGATGTGAAACAGTTTCTGTACATCAACTGAACTATAGGGCTGCATATCCCAAACTTCTGACTGTGCAAAAGGAATTTCGACCTCCCTTATCTTATCAAAAAGGGTTTTCAATTCAGATGCAGACATAAGAGCATCTTTTGCCTCTGGAACAAGAAACATCAGTTAGTAAAACAACTAAATTTGATAGATTCAATAACATTATACAAAAAATATTCACCTTGTTCTTTCATCAACAAATTGTTATGTAAATTTGAAAGTTCAGCTTCTTTTTCTTTCAACTTCTCCTCTATGGCTTGGTAATCCCCTGTTTTGAGCCTCAGCTTTTTGCAAGAATTTTGTAAGGTTTCAACATCGCTCTCCAACTCAGAAACCCTATCCAGAATTAGACCTCTTTCTTCTATGACTTTCTCAAAAGCTTCTCTGCTTTGTAGCAGTTTCTTCTGCAAATCTTCAATTGTGGCAGCAGCCGCGTTACTCGTGCTCTCAAATACTTGCATTAGAGTTTGAACTTTTCTTGTAGCCAATACTAAATTTTCTGCCATTTTGGCATACCTGCTGCCATCAAAACTTTGTTGGTGCTCCATGTCCTCAGCTTCAACTTCCATCACTTCTAGATTCATACTAGGACTTAACTTTTCAAGCCCAGAAATTGAGCCAAGTTCTTCAAATTCTAGTTTGCTCGTGGCATTAGTGCAGGCAGATAGTAAAACTCTACAATCTGTTTCTAACATGGTGATGGTTTTCTCTTGTTCCTCTTTATGCAATTCCATATTCTTTATCTTCTGTTTCATGGACTCCATGTGCTCCAAAACAATAGTTACTGCATCCTCAGTTACCCTTACTTTTCTCAACAGATCTTCAATAAACTCAGCTATTAAAGTAGAGAAACATTCAAAATTGTCCACAAGAATTGTGTCTTGTGACTTTAACCTCTCAACAATTTTCTTAAAGTATATGGAAATGTTGTCAACATCTGAAGCATTAACATCGCCATTATCCATTTCTCTGTGTACAATATCACCAAGGTCGTGTGGAAAAGGTTTTATCACATGCCAATTTTCCTGGAATGAATCAAAACAAGAAGTTAGAGGAAAGCCACATAAACTTAATCAAGAATACCTAAAGAAGTATGATAATTATAAAACATACGGTGTTACCTCCATGATAGGGTGACTTGGCAGCACTTCTAAACTTGCATTTACAAAATGGCAATTTATGTTTCTGAGAATGAGATCCATGTTTTTCAGGTTCTCAAATTCCCTCTCAAAATGTTGTCTAACCGTGGGCAATAGACTCTCATTTCTGATAAGCATCTGAAGGTCACTAAGGTGATGGATGAATTCTGCAGACCTGGTTTCTAAGCTTCCATTTGTTCCAGCTAATTCATCCATGCATGCCTTCAACTTGGAATTAAGTGTAGAAATTTCCTGCTCAGCAATTTTCTTTTCACCCTCAAGCACAGAAACATTGTTTCCTGCCTTAGACAATGCATCTTCCAGTGATCTCACGGTTGAGGAGGCATCTGCCAGCCTACTAGCCTGTAACTCAGCTTCTTCTTTTAGCTTTTTTAGTTCATCCTCTAAATTGGTTCTACCATCTTGGACATGATTATTTTGTTCAGTAAGCAAAGAAATATTGGCCTCAGCCTGAGATAGTGCATCTTCAAGAGATTTTATAGTTCCATAAGCCTCTGTTAGCTTGCTAGTCTGAATAGCAACTTCCTCTCTCACTCTCTCTAGCTCGGTCTCTGTAGCAGCTCTGCTCAATTGAGCCTCTTCTCTCTCTTTGATGATCAGAGCAATATTATTTTCTGCCACAGACAATGCAGCTTCGAGTGACTTTCTAGTTGCATAAGCCTCTGTCATCTTGCTAGTTTGGGCGTGAGCTTCATCTCTTGCTTTCTGCAAGTCCTGCTCAACATTGTCCTTGGCAGCTTCTACTTCCCTCTTCTCTACAGTCAGCTGAGAAACCTGGTTCTCCGCAGTTGACAATGCATATTCCAGTGAGTTCATAGTTTGTTGTGCCTCTGTTAGTTTACTGGTCAGAATACTGGTTTCTTCCCTGATTTTATTCAGCTCTTCTTCTGCATGGGCCTTACCCTGCTGGCATTCGATCATGTACCCTTTAAGCCAATTCACTTTTTCTACAGGCTCCTCAAAAACTGAATCAACAGGAAGAACAATCTGATCAATGGATTCAATAACTTTTTGTAACATGTTGTTGCTCTCCAACAAGAACTTCTCAAGTTCATCCCGCTGATTTTTCATAGCAACAAGATCAGCTTCTAACTTTGGGACCCGTTCTAGATCAGTAGAGAAACTACTTATCTGATCCCTGCAGTCAGCAACAATAGATTCCTTTTGTTGTAAATCTAGCTTCAGCTTCTCAATTTCTGATTTCTTTTCATCCAGTGTGAGTTTCAAGTTTTCCCGATCTTGAACCAGGCCTTTTCCTTTCTTAACTGCCAAAGACAATTTCTCCCTTAGCAAAGCAGACTTCTCTTCTGATCGTTCAAGATCTTTCTGCAGAGAGTCTTTTTCTTCCTTCAATGCAGCAAGTTCTACGGATGTCATTCTTAACTCATTAGAAAGATTTTTAACCTCTGTCCTCACCAGTATGTCTTCTTCTAGAAGTTTCTGACAGAGCATCAATTCTTGATCCTTGACATACAAGAGATTCTGCATTCTTTCAAACACCTCAGCATGGGCAGGAGAAGTATCAAAAGAAGCATTGATTTGTTCTTTTATCTTCCCAAAGCATCTGTCAATGAGTGTAGCCACATCAGAATAAGTCTCTGTTATCCCAGAACCCGCCAACAAGAGCCTCACCATCTGATCCTTTTCATATGAAGCTTGATGCGCTTCTTTGGCAGCCCCTTCAAATTTGCATGCAAGGTCATCCAGCTTTGTTTTAATGCATTCCTTTTCTTGTGATTCCGCCAAAAGTGTAGCACTTAAGCTGTCAATCTCCCTTTGTGCAGCTTCCTTTATCCTAGCAATCTCATCATGCAACGAATTTATTTCAACTTTTGCCTGGTTGACTGAATCCTTTAGCCAACATATTCGAGCTTCCAAATCACATGGTGAAGCAGTTTCTGGCATATCAATTAAAGATAAGGCATCCTTCAGTTTGTGGAATTCCAGTGAATCATCCTTTAGGGAATTTCTCTCCTCCACAATCCATTTGAATCTTTCAACAGTATCCATTGACTGAACTTCCACAGGTGCACTGGTGTGAGAGAAAATTTCTTCAAGGCTGTCTATAGTACTGTTCCTTTGAGAAAGCATTTCCTGCAGTGATGCAACCAAATTTACAATCCATTTCAATTTCTCAATCATATCCTTTGATTCTATTTCCTCAAAGAAACTAGTTTGAGAAAAAATTGCTTCAAAATTTTCAAAAACCACGTCTTTTTGTGACAGTGTTTCCTGCAGTGATGCAACCACATTTACAAGCCATTTTAACCTCTCGGCAATATCCATTGACTGGAGTTCCGCAGGCATATTGGTCTGAGCAAAAACTTCCTCAAAACTTTCAAGAATAGCATTCCTTTGAGAAAGCATATCCTGCAATGATGCAACCACGCTTTCACATTTGGCCAACTCCCCCTTGCATAGCTCAGCAGCATTAGCTGCATTTGACTTCTCTTGCAATTCAACCAAACATCTGTCAAGTTCCCTCGTTTTATCAGCCAGAGACTGCTTTAGTGAATCTCGCTGCTGAACCAATGCTTTGCCTTTGGTGACGGCCATACTGAGCTTTTCTTTGGTATTAGCACATCTATTCTTTTCCTGCTCAAGCTCCAACTTTACTTTTTCAAGTTCGGAACTCGCCATCTCTGCCTTTGCTTTTTCCTGCTCAACTTCCTCAAGGAATTTCCTATTTATATCTTCCAGATGGCTTACTTTTTCCAACATCTCTGCTTCTGTTTTCTTGAGCTCCAGCAACTCACCACGGGCCACAGCAAAAACTGATGCATATCCAAACTCCTCTTGCGCTCCGACATTAAACCCTCCCTCCAATAAACACTGCCTGAATTGATCAACTTCATAAAGAAACCATCTATACTGCTCCACTAACAAAGAAGTACTTCTCTCAGCATGAGAAATCTTCCCCATAACAGAATAATCCAACAACTCTTCTTGATTAACCAACATACCAAGAGAACCCAGCATCCTATCTGCAACAACTTCAACGTTCTGTTCCACCTGAACCTTCTCATTAAGATCTTCAATCTGTTGTCGAAGCTCCCTTATAGTGCTCTCAGCCTGCAACCTCTCCTCTAATGAAACTTTAACAAATTGGGAGCACTCACTTATCATATCACTCAACGTAGCACCATCAGCCACGTCTTCCTGGACCTCATTATCATCACTACGCAATGACTTTTTATTCGCCAAATCCCTAAGCTGGCGTCGAAGATTAGCAACTTCTCTTGCAAATTCCTCTCTTTCTTCCTAATAAAAAAAATCATAAAAGTTAGATTCCATAAAACAATTAGCAATCTTATTGACAAAGAAATTTTTAATTTTCAAAAAGCTGACATTGTACTCTTCTCTAACAGTGTCTTTCTCGGCGAGTGTAGAGTCATCTTGAATACTTCCGTTGTCCATTTCCTGAAACTGATTGTCTTGCATATCATCAGGTGCATCAACGAACATATCTTCTTTACTTTCCACGTGAGGAATATGCTCGGACTCTACCTCTGCTTCTGGTTCATTTTCTGTTTCCGCTTCCGGTTCCTGCATTTGCGCTCTTCCTCACTTAGCCCAATCCACGTACACATAATATAACAAGCAAGAGCAAGGCTCTAACAGGAAAAATATTAGAAATTTAATAAAAAAAAATATCAGATTACCTTATCAATGAAAGTTTCATGATTGATCGGTCCATTAGATTCCTCTTTTTCTTCTAATCCATTGGACACATGATCTCCATTTTGGGGAGATACCTCCACCGAATCATTACTCTCTGACATTTTAATTTCAATCAATCATAACAGAATTAGGAGGGAAATTTGAATTATCGGATCTGCAGATTTGAAAAGGAGTTGGAAGAGAAACCCTAGAATGAAGAGCTGAAAGATTGGGGATTTTGACTATGGAAGTGAAAACAGAAGCGGAAGCTGGATTTGAGTCGCGATGAAATCAACGGTGATTTATTGCGTGTGATGGAAATTGTTGGTTTCTGATCCGACGGAGACGTGTAGTTAGTAGAACACATGATTAGTAGAGTATCACTTTTCCTTGGGATCAGTAATTTTGGAGTTGATCTGTTTTTGTTCGTTGCTGTGAACTGTGAAGGTCCGCACATGACGTTAGGAAGTTAATTTGTCGCGCGGTTTCGCTTGGTGTAAAACGGTGCCGTTACAGTTTGCCAATGTATACAGAAACGCAGCCGTTTAGCTCTTTTTGCCATAGAAAGGGGAAAATATGGGAATAAATTAAAAGAAAATCTGTAAACACCTCAACCTCTTGCATTAAAAAATAAGCGAATGACTAATCAACGGTGAAATGGGATGGCAGGGATCTTTCTCTCTTTAACCCGAGATTTTGGGTTTGAATTTATTAATTAAAAATAAAAAATTTATTTTATGTGATTTATTTAAATACATATCTAAATGAATTAATGAAATTGTGTCATATTGCCTATATGTAATAAACATAGAGCGGTTAGAGTTTAATATTTGTTGACAATAAATAGATTTTTTTTTATATTTCCTATATTTCATGGGAAATTTTTAAAAGAAAAAAAAAAAAAAAAAAAAAAAAAGCGGTTTAGAGTTAATATGTTGTTGACAATAATAGATTTTTTTTTTATATTTCCTATATTCATGGAAATTTTAAAAGAAAAAAAAAAAAAAAAAAAAAAAAGTTATAGCAAGTTACTTTAACAAGATTGAAAAAGTATGGTATCAGATCATATTTAAATAATTTCTGCATGACATATAGTAAAAAGTCCAGACCTTTTATCACATTTTAAATGCCAAATAATATAAAAGTTCCTCAAACCATAAAACACTTTTTTTATACTATAAGAAAATTATTTTTATGTAAAGTTAAAAAAAAAAAAAAAAAAAAAAAAGTTATAGCAAGTATACTTATACAAGATTGAAAAAGTATGGTATCATCCAAATTTAATAATTCTGCATGACATATAGTAAAAGTCCAACCTTTATCACATTTTAAATGCCAAATAATATAAAAGTTCCATCAAACATAAAACACTTTTTATATATAAAAATTATTGTTATGTAAAGTTTAAGTAAAATACTTGAGTTCACATAATACAATTAAGAATACTAGCTAATTGTTGTCTGGACCAATTGAACTTGGTAACAGTAATTTTTTTTTTTTTATATAGGATAGAACATTATGTAAGAAAAATAAATAAATTAAACTTTTTTTGTGAATCAATTAAAAAAAAGAAAGAAAATTTCTAGGAGGAAGACACGGGGCTGATTAAGACCAATTCAGTATCCTATAACTATGGAGGTTTACTGCCAAATTCTAGGAGAAAGAAAGCTATAAATACAAACATCAAAAAACACAAGACAAAACAAAAACATTGATTAGATAAATCCTACAAGATGAAGAAATTTGAGTGTCTTTTCTTTTGTATTTCACTCTTTATTGCCTTTTCTTGTTGTTTTGCTCATGAGCCTCCTGCCCAAGATACTCCACAAGCTCCTCCGAAAAAAGAAACACCTCCTCCAACCCAGAAAAAAGAAACACCTCCTCCAACCCAAGAGAAAAAAACACCTTCCGGTGAAACCACCGTTAGTAAAAATGTTGAAATCACCTTTAAAGGATCCTTTACAAAGATTTATGCATTTGGAGACTCATATACAGATACTGGTAATTGTTTTTACGTGGAAGGCCTCCAATCTGCTCTTATTAAGGTGTTTCAAAGTTCTCAGTATGCCAAAGTTACTGGCTTGCATGGCCATAGATTAAGCAATGGACTGTTGGTGATTGATTTCCTCTGTAAGGATATTGGTTTGCCTCCATTAGACGCATATAAGGAAACTAAACCTAATTTCACTGCTGGTGCTAACTTCGCAGTGGGTGGATCAACTTGTCTTTCTAGTGCATTTTTTGCTAGTCAAAAGAATTTTCGCAGTCTAGTATGGAAACCAGTTCCTGATAACACTTTGGAACAAATAGAATGGTTTAACAGTTACCTTCAGAGTGTGGGTTGCAAAGAGAAAGATGATGAAAAATGCAAAACTCAAATTGAAAACTCCCTCTTCTGGATTGGTGCTTTAGGTTCTAGTGATTATGCACGTATTTTGGGATCTTCTTTTTCTGCTAAATCACTTTCAGAAGCATCTGTGGGTCATGTCGGCCAATTTCTTGAGGTACATATTCAAAACAATAAATTTTCGAGTTTGTTTGATTCCAAGGTTCCAAACTGGATCAAGACCAGAACTCTTGATTCTTGTTTCATCTTCTTTTTTGAGTTTTTCCACCCAATTTTCATGACTATAATTCAAGATTTTTACTTTCTTTTTTTGGAAACTGTCTCAAATGGAGACTGAACCGTCAATTCCAATTTCCAAGAACTGGTTTTGATTCTAGTTCAAAACCAAACCTTGGTCACCCCTAGCTGGTGGGTATTGTCTATAGTTTGATGTTTGAAATCCCATCAGACACGTATTTATTCTCCTATCAGAACTTTTTTTTCCCTTTAAAAATGTTACTACAGTTTGTTTGTTTATGACAGTCATTGCTAGATAAAGGAGCAAAGTACATTGTAGTTCAAGGGCTACCACCAGTTGGCTGCTGTCCAGTACAACTGCTCCTGAATAAAGCAAAAGAGCATGACAAATTGGGATGTTCATCAGAAGTTAATTCTAAGATAATGTCACATAACGAGCTTCTCAAGAAGAGTTTGGAAGCTTATAGAGAAGGAAACAAAGATTGTGTAATAATTTTTGCAGATACATGGAAAGCATACATGGAAATATTAAAAAACCACAAGAAATTCAATTTTGAAGAGCCTTTTAAGGCATGTTGTGGAGTTGGAGGAGGAGAACTCAATTTTTGCTTGAAAAATCTCTGTGGATCAGTTGGCTCTACCACTTGTACGGATCCTAACAAGTATATTAGTTGGGATGGGATTCATTTCACTGAAGCTATGAACAAACATTTAGCGAAACTCTTATTCCACGAAAAAGGCTATTGTTCCCCAGAGTTTAATGTTTTGATCGAGGCCAGGAAGAAGGTCTCTGTCTCAGGTGGCGCCTCAGCTTCAGGTGGTGCTGCTTAGGCTAAATGTAGTGTTGCTCATTATCAGATGAGCTTATTAAAGCAGCAAAAAGGGCGCTTGTGTGCTTATTGTTCTGGCTACAGATGTAGCAGCATTGAATAAGGCCCTAGTTGAACCGCTTAAGAATAGGAACTTGCACTTCAAATTTTCTTACCTTGTTTCGTTTGTATAACAAGAAAGGTTTACTTCATTTTTTTGACTTGCCAATTAAGGGATCCAATTAATGGATTTGAAACGTTATTTTACCTGTTTATTCTGTCATTTGTGTTTTAACATGATTATTCATTTTTCTAGCTTTGTAAAACAATTCAAAGGTGAATCATATAGCTCGGAAATGAACGCAACCATAAATCATTACTCCCCCAATCCATTATCCAATTCGCGCTATTATGATCATTTGATTTGCTCGTTACAATAATAATAACTAAGCCTTCGTCCTAAACTAGTTGAGGTCAGCAATATGAAATATTAAATACGCTCCAATCCCAAGTACAGATGTGGTTTCATGTACAGCCTCAACACACTTATAAGCTTACAATGAAGCTTCCCAGAAGGAAATTTAAGATGACGGAAAAATATCATTCTATAAATTAGAGCTTTGATATTAAGTATTTGGGCAATGTACTCAGAAGCTCAGACAACTATGAAATAAGATTGATTTATTTTGTCTAATAATCAGAAACAATTGTGCTTACCAGACTCTATTTACATTTGAAGGTCGGCTTTTGTAATCTGTACATGTCTCTTCTTTCATCTACCCCACTTCACATTAGATATTCATAATATACTAAGAAAAGAGCATCTGGATAGTTTTTCGGCAAGCTATTGATATAGAGGTAGAACCGCAACAAATCTTCCTTGGAGATTGTTTTCGTATCAACCACATCATTGTCACAAGTTAGCACCCATAGGTCTTCAGAGTTCACTCTTTTTAAGCTACCTCGACAAAAAGGGCAGGACTCTGACCTTGTATTCCTGTAATCAAGAATAAATGTCAATATCAAATTCAAGTGGACGAAAATCTATTTCATACTGAGAACTTATAATGAAAGGGATGTAGATATAACAAACATTTTGGCGTTTGTGGTTACCAATTGCGGTAGCATTTGATGCACATTGCATGACAACAATTAGGCATGACCATTTTGGTGCAAGGCTCCAAGCAAATTCCACATTCATCTTCTCTCTCTATATCAAAATTGGAAAGCCTAATATCTCCTTCCACACTATTTTTCTCCAAACTCTCCATTTCCATATACCATTCCTTAACATCATCCAACTCCTCCAAGTTACTATGAAGCCGTTGAAGAGATGGTAATATAACACCTACATTTTGATTTTTATAGAAATGAACAAAGTCAAAACATACACATAGCAATTATCGGAAAGTATTTGATGTTCATTTTTATATATATCCAAAGTAGTTGATGTGCAATAAAGATTTGGTATCTTACGCACCATAGAAATCTTTAATTGTTGCTTTCCTTCCATGAGTAGATAATTTTGGTCTACTATCTGCATATACCTACATGACATCAAGAGCAAAGAAAACAAAATACACAAATTATATATATGGCTAGAAATGGAGAACCATGTTATGAAAATCAGTAGGATAAAAATAGAACCAACCTTATATATAAGTATGTGAAAGAGATTTAGGTATCTGGGGAGTAGACATATGCAAGAACAACTTAACCGTTGTAACAGGAAAAGAAAGAGAGGAGTCCATTGATTGTATACTAATTTCATCTGAAGGCGTGCACCACTCTTGCCTCTTGGAATTGCAGCAGCCCTAATTGACCATAGTTGATATCAAATAGCAAATTAGTTCACCTAATCCCCATTATAATCTACCTTCTAATTTTAAAACATAAAGATCAAAACTTTCATTCCATTTTGCTAAAAACAGAGAAGGAATTTGTTTAACTACAAATTCCCATATCCACTTGAATATATCGATCGTTCTAAAAATTACTAAAATTTATAAATTCTAAAGACCCAATTTAAAATCTAATATGAAACTACATAAATGCCCAAAATGATCCCTTTCTTTCCTCAATTAGCAAACAGCCATATCGTGAAGATGTTGATCATCACAGATATAATTAAAAAATCCCATACACCGTATATACAGAAACAGAAAAATCGGTAAAGTAAAAACAAAAAACAAGAATAACCCGTTTCAAAAAATCAAAAGCAGAAAACACTAAATTGAAAACAAAGTAATAAAAGAAGAAAATGTTAATGATAGAAGAAAACTCACAAGGCATTAGCATGTTGTATATCAGCCTCTATAACTTTAAGGGACTCCTGGTAGGAGGACGTGCCCAGCTGCAAATACATCATCTCCATCTCTCTAATTCACGCACATACACACACACAGTCCAAAAGGAAAATTAGTGTTGATGTCTTAAGTACCTAATCCACCAAAACCCAAGCTCAAAAAGCTTTCTTTATGGGGCGGCTCTGATAAAGACTGTATTCTTATGGTTTCTAATGGCCATTTGTGGTCAGAGAAAGAATAAAAAGATCCAAATAATGAAAATACGTGTATTTTTATGACGATGATGAGGAGGTGAGGTGGGTGGATGCTTGTGTCGTGTGCTGTTTGCCTGTTGGGGATGCTTTGATTTATAATCTCTATTTGTTGTTATCTTAGTCTTTTCCATTAGATGCCTTTCTTATTAGATAACATTCATTATTTTTATATTATATGGTCATTAATATCATTATCCTATCTTTCATGTACCTTATCAATTATGCTAACATTTGAAATATCTTAATGTGGCTTTTATGACATGTTAATGTTATGGTTTATTATACAATTATTTAAAGAGTAGAATTCTGAGGATTCTTGAGAAGAAAAAAAAGACAAATAATAATAATAATAATAATTTTTAGCATTTATAAGTGGACTTAGGCGTCGTTGGTTTTGAAAATTAACTTTTAAAAACTATTTTCTAAAAAATTTATTTTCTTTTTTTTTTTTGGAATAATTAGTTAAAGAATATTAAAAATTTTAATTTATAAGGCTATATAAATAATTTTAGAACAATTCAAAATTCATATTTTGACAATATATTATTAAAATATGAGATAAAATATATAAAATAATAAATTCGGGCCCAGCGTTGATTAGCAATGATCAATATTAATAATTCTTCTCATTTAGTGAATTAATAAATGAAATTTTATATAATTATAATCTATCTGTCAATATTTTAAAATGTTTTCCTTTTATGATAATATGAATTTATTTTTATTTAAAATGACATAATTTTTCTTTTTACCAAAGATTATTTTACATCGCACAGTTAAGTTCCTTTTATTTTTAACTTATTAACTGAATATTTCAGGTACACTATTTAAAAAAAAAAAAAAAAGAAAAAATATTATATTAGTATTATGTATACTAGTCCGTGATTATTTGAGTTGGCTTTCAATATTTTATATTTTTGTGGTTGATGGTTATATAAGTTGCCCAGCAAATTTGGTGACAGTTAGGTTTCTGATACAAAGTAACCTCCAACAATCAGGTCAAACAATATTTTAATGTCCACTCTTTTAGGGAATATTTAATTAATGTCTTTAAAACCATAATTTATTTTTATTTATTTATTTATTTATTTATTGGAGATCAAATAATCCAAAATTACAATATGTGTTTTCTTTCTAAGAAAAATCAAATTTCTCATTCTCTGTTTTTTTCAATTCAAAGGCCAAAGCTGACTCAGCCTTATTATTTAAGATCTTGTTTGAGGCTGCTGCTCTCCATGAAAAGCACTGATTAACAAAAAATTCTTTTAATTTAAAAATGCTCAGGCTTGATTTTAGTTTAGGAAGAAATTATGAATTTTGATTATTTATTGCAAAATAAAACAAAATAAAAGGGAATATAGATAGAAAATATGAGAATAGATAGAGATTAACCAACAAGACATCCATTATTTCATAGTACTATGAACTATCCATTTTCTTATAGGTCATAATAATTCAAACTGATAAATTCTAGTTCAAAGTTCTTTTTTGGGCAATAAAACATCTCCAGACAGAACCTAAAACCAGCTTGGACCACAAGGCTCTCCAATATACCTAACCATTTTATAGGGCAAAAAAAAAAAAAAAAAAAAAAAAACCCATTTCTTATAGGTCATAAATAATTCAAACTGATAAATTCCTAGTTCAAAGTTCTTTTTGGGGCAATAAAACATCTCCAGACAGAACCTAAAACCCAAGCTTGGTGAATCCACAAGGCCTCTCCAATATACCTAACATATTTTATAGGGCAAAAAAAAAAAAAAAAAAAAAAAAAAAAAAAAAAAAAAAAAGGCATCAATACAAATTGGAAAACATCATTATGAAATGGCAACATTGTTTGATTCTTCATAGGAAAACAACAACATTAGCATGCCAAGTCTATGGTAGGTGGTGCCTTCTATTTATTATTTGTTTTTTTTTTCTTTTCTCTTTTGAATTGTACTATTTTCAAGCAACAAAAATAATTAAAAACCGATCACTTTTTTGAAAAAAGTTTATCATATAAACTAAAAATTTACTTCCCAAGGAAATAATTACTACTTGATTGTAAAAAGACAAACTTATGGCAAAAGATTGGAATTTTTACAAGATATCTTAGCCTTCAAATTCCATATATTATAAAACAGTTGATATAAAGAGAATTATGAAAGAAAGAAGAAAGCTACTTCTTATATAGTTCATTGAATAAGATTAAGAAAAGAATGTAGAACAAGAAAAGTCTAACTTTACACTTAGAAAAATAATAGAAGGATGAGAGTGAGAGAAAAGTAAATGTAAAACTGTGTTCAAAGTGTTGACCTTTGTATAGCACATATTTATATAAGGCCAAAAAAAAAAAAAAAAAAAAAAAAAAAAAAAAAAAAAAAAAAAAAAAAGAAGGAACAAGTGAGACGAAGAGAGAAAGCCAAAGAAACACAGATACGATGATACACATGGGAGTATTTGTTACAAAAAAAAAAAAAAAAAAAAAAAAAAAAGGAAGAAGAAGAAAGCAAAGAAACTACAGAAATGAACATGGTGAGTATTTGTTACAAAAACTAATTATCTGGCTGCTGGAACAAGACAACCATTAGATAAGTCAGGGCTTTCAATTTCAAGAAAGCTTGTGAGTAATGTTTTCCTGGAAGATTGTGCCTTGGAGCTACCGCTACCAGAAAGTTTATGAGTGGCGTCAGTTCCTTTCTCAATCTTGATAGCTTCTTGTATAGCCAAAATCACTTCTTGCATCTTTGGCCTAGAAACTGCTCTTTGTTGAACACACTGGATAGCAACTTCAGCAATTCTCCATATTGATTCTATTTTAGCATTTCCTATTAGAACAGAATCCACTATGCTCACCACATCCCCTTGTCTAATCAAGGCCCTTGCCTACAAGATATATAACAACTCAGGTTTCATTCTTCTGATTCAATGATTGCAAGAAACAACTATCAACACACATGAGAAAGAACAAAGTCCCACTCATGTTTAGGAAGTTCTTTTAAAAAGGTGAACTATTATTTACTCCTTGAGTAATAAGCAAAATTTACTAGTTCAAACCTGTATTGTTAAAAAAATCAAACTCAAAAGCTCTCAATTATCCATTCCTTTAACTATTCAATCATTTGTTAGATCAGTTATTAATTTAAAGGGTAAATTACTATTTAGTATACAAGGTTTGTCAAATACCTAACTTTAGGGACTAAATAGTAATTCAACCTTATAAATTTGCATGCTTTGGCCTACCTTTAATTTCAACTAATGGAAATTACAGCTAAATTGTACGGGAAGGTTAAATAGTTGACATAGAGAAATGTATTAGAGAACCATTAGTTCCAGTTTAATGTAAGTTCTTACTAGTGAATCTTGACTAAATTCGGGGACTAAATAATTATTTGCCATTTTCGAAGAGAGTGGAATTTTCAAGTATGCATACCCAGTGAACAATGTTCAATTCAGCACCAAAATCTTCTGTGGATACAGGCTTTTTTCCGGAGATAAGTTCCAGGAGAACAACTCCAAAACTATAGACATCACTCTTTTCAGTTAGTTGCTGATTGGCATAGTACCTGTTAAAGGACACACACGATTACTTATTAATACAGAAAGCAAGAGAAAGTAGTTAACTCTGCAGACCTGAAGACTCTAGCTTACTCAGGATCAAGGTAACCAACTGTTCCTCTTGCCACACTTGATATATGTGTTAGATCTTCTTCAGCTTGCCTTGAAAGTCCAAAATCTGACACTTTTGCTCTCATATTGATGTCTAACAGAATGTTGCTTGTTTTTACATCTCTGTGTATGATACTGGGGTTGCATCCTGTATGCAAGTATTCAAGGCCTACAACATATCTAAAATTGTGTTTATTCTGTGAACTTGAAAAAAACTAAATAACGGATAAAGAAATGACAAAGTTTATACTGAACCTTTTGCTGCATCTTCAGCAATCTGTAGTCTAGCTAGCCAATCCAGTCGTTTCTGGTGGGTACCTACAGTAGATAATGCATTGGATTTCAGTTCCAAACATTAATATTAAAAAAGAAAAAACAGAAATAAGACAAAGATTGATTAATTGTTGCAGACCATGTATGTGGTCGCGCAAAGTTCCATTGTGCATGTATTCATAAACCAGAATACGTTGATGTTCTTCTTCACAGAATCCGATTAAAGGAACCAAGTTCCTGTGATGAATTCTTGACAAGAGGGCAACCTGCAGGTATTTCTCAATTACGGTGAACTTAACATGTTCTAGCCATAAAAACTTTAAAATAGTTAACAACACTTGAAACTGCTTTTTCCAACATCATCTAAAGTGGTACATTTTCAGAAAAGCAGTTTCAACCTGAATGCTAAACAAATGCATATGGCATTACCTCCGTCGCAAATTGCTGTCTCATATAACTAGTTGAATCTGCCATTATTTTGACTGCCACTTCCTTTCCATCTTTCATTTGGCCATAGTAGACAGTTCCAAAACTTCCTTTGCCAATTTTCTTGGAAAAACTTTTTGTAGCTTCTTCAAGCTCAGAGAATGAAATACAGTACAAAACACCCTCATCCATGAGATGCCAACCCCGACCAATAGAATAACCAGTTGAAGGTTTGGTACTCATGCGCATAGAATTACCTAGTGGCCACAACAAAAATAAGAAAAATGCAGAAGATTCTGCAATATAACAAGAAAAAACTGACTTCTGCATACCTTGGTCATTGGTTTTCTGATTTGACCTCTTCCTTCGCAGACTATGTAGGTATACTATACTTCCTAATAAGAGAACTGATAGAATTGCAAGTATGCCAATTGAAATTCCTACTATCAACTTAAAATGCATCTTTTTTGTTGCTTCCTTATGTAGTCCAGGATTATCTTCATAGCTGCAAGATAAGTTCCTTATGAATTCTCCATGATATACCAGTATTCGCAAACTTAAGTCCAAGTCATTTCAGCTAAAGTAACAAGAAACATACTCACTTAATAATTACTTTCCCAGATAACAGTGCTGAAGGTATTTCCCCACTAAAGGAGTTGTTCTGTATGTACCTGCCACGTATAATTTTTCGTAATTGCTAAATATTATGTTCATATATCATGGTGAATATGTAATGAAGTATCAGGTGAAAAATAAACTGCCCAATATAGCAAGTAATGATATTTGAGAAAATCCAAAAATGTAACTTACAATTCCCTCAAATTTTGCAAACTACCCAAGTACTTAGGTAATGAACCAGACAGTTTGTTTTTCTCCAGATGCCTGCATATGCATTTGAATAAGGCAGGAAATGGATTAGTCAGATTTCTCCAAGCGACTGAAATTGACAGAAACATGCACCATTCATAGGTACAGTTATAGGGTAAATGAGAGAAATGTAAAACATAAACTGCAAAACTTACACAATTTTCAAATTAACAAGATTGCTAATTTCAGGTAGTGATCCTGTGAGGAAATTACCATCCAACCACCTGAGAAATTGAAAAGAATTATGATAGTGATCAATTAGAAGAAGTATAGATACTTTAAGGCATAATAGCACTTACAGCTCTTCCAATTTCTCCATGTTATTAATCCCAGGTGGGATCTCCCCTTCCAAATTTTTTCCTGACAGTGCACTGCTCAACAGGTCAGTTCAATCCATCTCCTGTAAGGCTACTGTATTCTAGGATCAAATAACTTTTAATGAGAAGGAGGATTTATTTACATTTTTGTGATTCTTGGCGGGGTAGTTAAGGAACATTTCACCCACTCCCACTGGGCTGGGATACAAGGGTCACCGCCTTCATTTGTCCATGAACTTCCAACGGACATGGATCGAAGGGCATTGAGAACAATCACTACATTTGAATACACAGTTACTTATATGCTTAATATCATTCAAGCACATTCTTTCACATATTCTTAAATGATCATGCGCTTACCATCTTTGCTATCAGTCTTTGATGAAATCTTCAGATATTTACTGATCTCAATGGCATTTAGGAGTGGTCCTTGAGTAGAATCGTGAGTCTTAGCAAAGGAAAATGACAGAACAAAATCGAAAGACACATTCATGTAACTGGGTTCATAAAGCCTGAAGCTTCCATTGGCATTTTCAGCAATATTCACAACTGCATTGCTATAGTCAGAGATATAAGGTTGTATCAATTTAAATTTTCTTGTCTCATTTTCTCCCAAGTCTTCAATTTCAGCAAAATACGCATATGCTCTTGCATTTGCCGGGAAATCTTCAAGATTCAATCTATAGCTGAGCTTTCCTTGTTTGCCAACAACAGCTGTTTGCATTACTTTGACAGGAGGGTATTCTCTTGTCTGAATATCTACATTCTTCGATGTATTTATTCTAACTGTCCCAGGCGCCACCCCTACAAGGAAATTTGGCCTTTTAACAAGATCTGAGTCCCAAATTCTATCATAGGGGTCATCTGGGTACCTGAGATAGAGATACCGTCATCTTCAAATCTTTGCACTAGTAGCAAATTTTGTGATAATATGTATTACATTTGCAGAAGAACCAAAACTTTTAAGAGTTCATATTAGCATTAAAGTTGAAACTGCTTTCTAAAAAAAGCACCGTTTTAGATGCCATTGTAAAACTCAATTTAGGAGTGACGTTTAGCTGTTATGGACTAGAACATGTAAAATTGTAATGATCTTCAGTCAACGTTTTCAACAGAACAACTTAAACAGCAATACAAAACGAATAAATCAGTTTACCTTAAGGCATATTCATTTGGAGCGCCAAAATTTACTCTAGCTGCTAACTTTAAGAAGAAACTATCCTCATAATCAGTTGCATACATTGAAAGGTTGAGAGGTCGAAGCTCGATAGTTGATACGAAGGGAGAACCTGTAGTAGCACAACAAATGCACACATCGATGGAAGTAGAGGGAGCCCTTATGATCATTTCCTTGATATACACCCTTGAAGAATCCAATACTGTCACAGTTGACCACTTAGTTGCATCCAAATAGAGTTCAAATTTTGGGTATGAATCTTCACTTCCTAAACTTCCATATTGAAATGTTGCACGAACAAGATACCGCCTTCTCTCTTTTGTGCCAAGATTGTAACAATACTTCTTGCTGTCGATAGGAAAGTCTCTGCGTTTTCGATACTGTAATTCCCAGTTTCCATCTGGATTTTTTACATCTACAGACTTGCCATAGTTCATGATACCATTGTCTGATATCCATTCTAACCCAGTTTTTGGATCAGTATAGTTACTTGCACTTCCACAATCTATGCTAATGAACTCTGTAGATTAAAATCGATAATAAAACATGTTATTAACACTGTTAGAAACAAACTAAATTACAATTCTAATGAAGATCACCACCAAACTGCCATTTTTATAATTTCCACAGCAACATTTTTAAGGGTAAATTTGATCAAGCAGGCAAAAGATTAGAGGAAATTAAGTGGGTTTCATACTATTTAATTTATTAATTAGTTATTTTCATATAGCTAGAATTTTACAACGACTAAGCCTTAAATCCCAAACTAGTTGAGTTCAGTTGTATATAATTAACACAACTAAAACTTCTCTAATATGAAAGCAATAAAATATGTTACTGTTTCTAAAAGAATAACATTGTTCTATCTTTCTACAACTAATAAGAGCAAGGAAACACTATGCTTATGATCAAGTAGGAACTTTTTCTTAAGAAATTAATACAATCAAATGTAAATGCATTTACAGGATGAGTTTTTCTTTACAAATATTGGGTTTATCTCAAAATTGGATGGAAAATCCTTCAAGAACAGAATTAATTGCAGAATATCAGGAAGAACATACCTGTAACTTGGCATACAATAGAGGATACAAAGAATAGATAAAGAACCAGAAAATGAGAATATAAAGCCATTGAAGAGAAGGAAGACAAATCAATCCTTTTGATGTATTGTTGAGTTATAATATTTCTTTTTTTTTTATTTCTTAGTGATAGATAAAAATCTTTTTTACACTGTTTCTTAAGCTGAGCATCAAGCCCATCTTCCTCTCACCCAGTGTCTACTACTACTCAGAACTTACCTTTCACCTTTGGGATTGATTGACGAGTTTATGAAATGTTCACTCACAGTTGTATCCTTCTTTTATTCAATTAAGAATCTGCTTTTCCCAAAAAATAAAGACTTCAAATTTGGCACTTTATTTCTTTTGAAAAAGAGTGTAACACAAACACAAGAAGCTGAATCTATAAAGTGAAAAGAGAATATCAACTTTCGAGGTTCCCCTGTTTATTTTTATTGTTTTCGGCTAAAAACAGAAACTTTCGCAGTTGAGAAGATAATTTATCCTAAACAAAAAAAAATTGTTAATTGTAAATTTCAATTTTTAATATTTTAATTATAATTTATAGTCACGGAAAAGTTACATTCCATTATTTAATTATTTTATTCTGCTTTTCAAAATAAATAATATTATAGTATGTAACGGGAATATAACAATGATGATTTTTTTTTTTTTATTACTAAATTGACGAAAACTCTTGTGATTAAAAAGATAGAAAGAAAAAAAAGATTGATCGGATCCTCTTGTTAATATATAAAAATACAAAAAGAAAAGAAATATATAAAAAATATTTATGGGATTAGGAAAGGAACATTGGCCATGCAAAAAAAAGCATCTGTAAAGAAAGAGAAAAGAGGAAGCATTATGATTTAAGGAGCTATTTAATTATATTCTTTGCTTTAATTTGCTTTTGCTTTTGCTTTAGAAAACAAAAAAAAAAAATATATATATATATAACTTTTATGTTCCTCTGGGCCAACTTGTCTCTGCCTTTCCAAATATGATTTTGCTTGTTTCAATCAAGAAATGAATCAACACGGTATTGGTCCCCATTTCCATGCTAATCTATCTATCAACTTAGACAAATTAAAGAAAATTAAGCATCCCAATGTCAACTCCATCTCCAATCAAGACATTGACCAATTTCTTTTGGAGGGATGTAACGAATTTTCAAACTGAGCACTATAAAAGTGTTGCTACATTTCATGATGGGTGAAAAATAATTATAAATTTTTAAATTTTCGAGTAATTTCATTATGCTCTTAAAGTATGAATGTTGCGAATATTGTGTCTATCTCTTTTTTTTATATTCATAAAAACAAAAACATTAAAGTTATGAAGGAATACATTGTAAAGAAGCAAAGTTACAAGAATTGGTTGCATAGTAACAAGTATTCGGACGTGAAATGTAAAACGAGTGGTTTTCTTAATATACGTGAAATATTAAATGTAATAAATATTTAAAAATAAATTACCGAGTATTTAGGTACATTGCTGTCGACAACATAGTACTTGAGTCCACATTAATGACTGGGCCCCTTCAAACCCAAAACCAGTTAGATACCAAACCTGGCCCTGGGTTGGTGGGTACGACCACAAGATTAATCTAGAGAAAAAAGGTCGTCCATGAAATACCATAACAAAAGTCATTCCAGCAGTTAGGCCTACACACCAAAATATAGCCTTCAATTTCCATCTAATCAGTATTCCAATCCATGTTTTTTGTATTTATACGTATTTTTACTCGGAAAAAATTTTAATGGGAGAATTTAGTTTTATTTTCGATTTCGTTTTTTTTTTTTTTGGAGAAATGTGAATTTAAGAATTAAGTAAAATATAATTGAATTTTCATATTTCATTAGAAATAAAAAAAAAACAAAATTAATCAAAACTGTCTTTTCATATTTGAATTTGTATACCCTAATCGTAATTGATTTTTCATATTCGACTAAGAATTCAAAAATGATCAATTAATCATAATTCACTTTCCATATTTGATTATTTATTCAATTTTAAAAATTGAATAAAACCATCTTTCTATATTTAATTAGGAATTAAAGATTGAATAATTAATTAATATTATCTTTTTATGTTTATTTTGAATAATTACGAGATGACTTTTCATATTTGATTGAAAATTAAAAATTAAAAAATTAATAAAAAAAATCCAGTTAAATTACTTTTTTATAGACCGGTTCGAATAAGACCAGAATACCAGTTCGAACCATCGAGTCTAGCCCGGTTAAGGTGCATTCTTGTCCTCCCTTTGAATCTGAACCTGGCCGTAGATCACTGATTTCAGTTTGATCCTTGAAACCAACAATTTCAAACTAACTTCGATTCATAAAAATACAGGCTAGTTTCGGTTCAAACCGAACTAGGGTCCACGCCTATTTGGAATAGCCTATAAACTATAAAGCGTAAATGCCAAAACTAGGCCTTTGGGCCTCCTACTCTTGGACCAGGCTAAAACTAGGCCTTTGGGCCTCCTACTCTTGGACCAGGCTTGGTTAAACTTCACCATTTCAATATAATTGGCTATAAAGTATGAGATCATATTAAAAAGGTTACAAAAATTATAAAGTAATGTCAAAATTATTAAAAGAATGTTCTGAACCATCAAATAATTGAAATTAATTTCCACAAGTTTATTCATTAAATATTGAATTTTTTTCTAAAACTTATTATCAATTTTTTATACATATAAATTTTAAAATTAAATGATTAAAAATAGAGATTAGGTTGCAGTTGGTTTAGTTCAAACCGAATTGAATCAATACTCATTGAATCCATATGTACATTTAAATCGAATCAGTTCAATTTGATTTAATTTTAACTTTTTTTTTTTGAAAGATTTAAATTGATTAGAAGTAGAGTTAAACCAAAAAATTTCAATTTTTTTTATTAAGAACCGAAAACAAATAAATTATACCCAGATTAAAATAAACAAATTTGATTCAATTCAATTAGTTTGTTAGATATTACCAAAATTTGCTCACCCTAATGAAATCATTACACCCCATTTCATTTTAGAAAGGAAGGTACCTAAAAGATTCATCTTAGATCATCAAACTCGAGCAAATTATCATCTTTTTGATATTATGATCATCATAGTTTGTGTTATATATAGAAATAAATTTGAGTTGGACTCCATCTTGTTAACTAATCACACAATATACTCAGAGAGGATAAAGAAATAAATAAAAATTGGGTCTGAGTAAGAAAAGTCAGACAAGGAAATAATTGCAATGCCAAATAGCAGCTAAGAAAAGGTGAGAAAGATAGATAAGATTAAGATGGATCAGACAGACAAGGCATCCCTTTCTTTTCTTCAAGTGCTAGAGGTTTCAATACAAAGCAAACTTGCACTCATTCTCTCTCTCTCTCTCTCTCTCTCTCTCTCTCGCATCTTCCCATCTTTTCTTGAAAGTCCCCATCTTATTCTTTCTAATCTTCCAACATTCTCTCAACAGAACAAATACCACTCTCCTCAAAAGCTACCCTTTTTCAACATTCTCTCTTTCTCCCTTCTTTCTTTTTTGAGTTCTTTATCAGTTATTTTCGTTTCAAGACTCGAAAAGAGAGTAACAGATGTGGCAAAAACAACCCAACAAATCTTCTTCCTTTAGAGAATCTCTCAAAGCTGTTGAAGCTGATATACAACATGCCAATAGCCTGTGAGTTGTGTAATTTTATCCATTTACTACTTTATTTATTTGATTTTGACATAATTTTTCCTTATTAAATTCTATGGTATCTGTATTCGTTTTGATATTTGATTAACTGATGAGGAATTAATTATCCTCGTTTCTATTTACCTTTCCTGGGTTTTTTAATTGGTCCCATTCATCATTGGTAGGTGGGATGCTAAAATTTCTCATGATCAAAGAAATAGTTGATGAACTTTGAATATGGAAAATTGCAGTAATTAGATAGAAATTAAGAAAATAAAAAGATAAGTTGGTGCATTTGAATATAAATTTAGGATTATGAATGTGTGGGTTACTTGGCATATGCTTCTTTATGAATTTTTGGTTAGAACTTAAAAGTGCTATTGTTACAAATGGGATATAGCCAAATGTACTTTTAATTTTGTTTATGGAATATGTTGAGCCATAAAGTTAATTTCTTTGATAACTTTTAGTATTCAGACAGTACCATGCCTTTTTATGTTGAATGTTTACTGGTAAAATGTTCATTTCCAAATTGGGATATTGGTGGGATTTTGCAGGGCAGCTTCTCTTCCAGGAGATGACGGTGGGGATCGTGTGCAAATGAGACTATCATATAGCCCTCTTGCCCCTTTCATTCTTTTTTGGGTTGAATGGATGAATTATAGTTGTACAGATGCCCTCCCTAGTTATTTAGGCCTCCTCCACATACTTGTGTACAAGGTAATTTGATATCTGTTTTTTCTCTTATTACAGAGACTGATTAGAATTGTACATATATTATATTGCAGTTTTTTTTGCTCATTCTGTTTAGCCTTTTAAAAACTCAAAAGAAGCTCTTTGTACTTAATTCAGGTTTATGTTGATGGGATGCCAACATTATCCTCTAAAGATAGGAAAGCCTCGCTAACTGAATTTTATGGTCTGTCTGCTCCTCAAGTTTTATTCTTTCTTTGCAAGTTGCAACCATTTTTTTCCTTGCTTGACATCGGAATGCAATCAATCGTAAAATTCTTGCAGCTATTATATACCCTTCGCTTAGGCTGCTTGAAGGAGAGTGTATTGAAGTAGGAGATAACCCAAATAGAAACCAAGGCAGTGAAGTTCCGCGCAGAAAGAGAGTGGAAGACGAGAGGAAGCGAACTGATAATGGTTTCGAGAGAGATGAGGAATGTGGGATATGCATGGAAGATAGTGCAAAGATGGTACTGCCTAACTGTGGGCACTCCATGTGCATTAGCTGCTTCTACGACTGGTAGCACCTGTTTTCCATTTCCGCTAATTACTTCGTGTAAATTGCTTATATATAGCATTTCAGTGACTAGTGGCTGCTGATAGACATTTCTACCATTTCTGACAGGAATGCGAGGTCTAAGTCCTGCCCCTTTTGTCGCGGTAGCCTAAAAAGAGTGAACTCAAGAGATTTATGGGTTCTCATTAATAACGGTGATATAGTCGATACTGCAATTCTTGCAAGAGAGAACCTGAGGCGTTTCTACCTTTACATTGAGAAACTTCCTCTTTTAATGCCCGAGACCCATGCTGTTATCTTTGATTACATGATCTGATTCTGATTTATGGAGAAAGAATGTAGTAAACCATAGGTACAGCCAGCCAGCTGCCCATTGTACATAAAGTATTATGTGGAGAACTTTGATCCCATTCACTGCAGCGGGTTGAGAAGATGTTTCAAGTCAGTCGTATATAATTAACTAAACCAGTGGTTACATTCCAGATGAACTTCAAGCCATTTGATTGGCAGATGACTTTGAAAGTTCATGAAACCATCGAAGATAAGCAGGGGCAAAACCAAAGATTACGTGCCTGTAAGTATTACAATATGGCAAATGAATAGATGTAAATAAAAAAACAATAGAAAAAGTTATTCTTGGCATTCAACTCAGCTTTTTGGAACCTGAGTATTGGAATGGAAATAGCTTGAAGTTTGCTTGTGCATTTGGGTTTCTGCTGCTTATTATTAAGTTTTTTGACAAATACCATAAATAAAAAATATTAATGTACATTATGAAACAAAACCTTCTGAATGTCATCAAGAAATTTCTGATATTGTAGATTGACAGTAGGGAAAGAGCCTTTCTGCACAGCTTTATGGGGATATTAGTGTTCTATAGTCTGCTTGCAGTTTAGTTCAACCATTGGAATTCTTTTCTTACTGATATATGCACAGGAATTTTGATTCATCAATTGATTGTAGGCATATAATTAAGTTTTTTGGAAGATATCTTGTGTGTTTAGCTTGCAATGGTGAATAATTTTTGCTTACTAATCCGCTTACTGCAAGCAAAATTCTACTCTTTTTATATTAATCTTGATTGGTTTAGATTCATTGAATTGATTAATCTGTATCTTTAAGAATAGGATCCTCCTTGTAGTTGGATCTTTTGCACTGTTAAGTAATAATGCGTTACTTTTGAAAATTAAAAAAGTAAAAAATATGAATAAAAATTCGTTCTATTCTTATTTTTCTTTCTCCATCTTCAACAGCAATAGTTGGATTTTTTTTTTTTTATATATATATATATTTTAAAAGTTGAAAGTTCAATATACTTATTATTTTTTACCAAAAAAGGTGGTAAATTAATCATAAATTCAAATATTATATTTTAAATTAACTTAAATTTTTGTTCGATCTAATGAAAATTTAAAATTTAAGCATCAAATGAGCATTTATAAAAAAACATACAAGAAATTATGGTTGAATATATGAATCAAATCTTAAATTTGTAATTTAATATTGGATAAATGCTCAATTTGATGCATAAATGATATATTTTCACGCATTTTTTTTATCAATAACTGAAATTAATTGATTTAATTACTACATATAACGAGAATTATGAAAGGGGACTTAAAATAAATGAAAAAAACAAACAAAGCAGACAACGAAAAATAAGCAAAATGGAAAAAAGTTGTGATTAAGACGTAATAAAGTTTTCAACGTTTCACACTTGATCCAGCTGGTTGCGAGGAAACTTCTAAGGTTCAAACATATCTCTAGTTGGTCCAAGAAAAGGAATTATAAACTTAATTCTGCCATTTTTATTAAAATATATAATTAATTAATTAATTATAAACATATCTCTAGGTGTGAAAAGGAATTTTTTAGAATACATTAATTAATTGATTTATCAAGTGTGTATTAATTTACTTTTGAAAAACACTATATCAATGGGTGTCAATAAATATTCTTTCTTTTTTTCTTTTCATTTTTTTTTTTTTTTAAAACTTTTCTTGCACTTTCCCATTCTTTCTTCTCTTGAAAGTTAGAACCCAAACAGAACAAACAAATTGCAAATACACACATTTTATCTTTCTACATCTCACAATTATGGAGAATGGTTCCTCGTCTCCTCGAAATGATGCGTTTCCTGCTGGTCTCCGTGTGCTCGTCGTCGACGATGATCCCACCTGGTTGAAGATCCTTTCAAAAATGCTCAATAAGTGTTCTTATGAAGGTTAATTTTCTTGCTTCTTAACTGCTCCTTTTCTTTCTTATTGCTTATAAGACTTGATCAAGCTTGCTTGTTTCCACTGAAACTGTCTATTATAAATTGTTTTTATGTTTTCGTTTCTGGAACACAAGGATGTTCGTGACAGGAAACTTCGATAATGTTATTCAAGGCTGCTATTTGCCTAAAAATATGTTGAGATTTCTTGCCTACATTTCTACTATTAAAGCATTTGACATTTCTCTTTTGGAATGCTTTTGCATACTCAGTGACAACATGTGGTTTAGCAAGAGAAGCTCTGAACCTGCTTCGGGAGAGGAAAGATAGTTATGACATTGTGATCAGTGATGTAAACATGCCAGACATGGATGGTTTTAAACTTCTAGAGCATATCGGACTTGAAATGGATCTTCCTGTGATTAGTCAGTTTTTTGCCAGTAACTTGCAGCCTTTCATCTTGAATTAATGCAGATTTTTATTCATCTTGAAGCTTGTTTCTGACAAAATGTATTTATTTCCATTCACAGTGATGTCTGTTGATGGAGGAGCAAGTAGAGTAATAAAAGGCGTTCAGCATGGAGCATGCGACTATCTCCTTAAGCCGATACGAATGAAAGAACTTCGAAATATATGGCAGCATGTATTCAGAAAGAAGATAAATGTGGTGAGAGACATTGAAATTCTTGAAGGAATGGAAAGTATACCAATGGGGGTAAGAAATGGATCAGACCAATCCGATGATGGGCACTTTTTTTGTGGAGAGGATTTTACTTCAACCAAGAAAAGAAAAGATGTCGAAAACAAGCATGATGACAAAGATCCTGGTGACAATTCTTCCACAAAGAAAGCCAGAGTAGTTTGGTCCGTAGATCTTCATCAGAAATTTGTCAAAGCTGTAAATCAGATAGGATTTGATAGTAAGTGTCATATATATCTTTCATTTCAAAATTTTCAGAATATGGGATCAGACCCAATTCCGATGATTGGGCCACTTTTTTTGTCGGAGAGAGGATATTTACTCTCAACCGAAAGAAAGAAAATGAAATGTCGAAAAAGGCTTAGATGAAACAAAGAATCCTGGATGACATTCTATCCACAAAAGAAAGCACGAGATAGTTTGGTCCGTTAAGATCTTCACTTCAGAAATTGTTACAAGCATCGTAACAGATAGGATAGTTTGATAGTAAGTTGTCATATATATCTTTCATAATTCACAAATTTTGGAAACATTCCATATTGACATGTAAATGTTTGTCTTGGCAGAGAAGTTAGGTTCCTAAAAAAATACAATCCGGACTTGATGAAATGTAACCATGCTTGACAAGAGGGAATCTGTTGCAAAGCCATTTGCAGGTATTCTTCTTCTTGAATTTTGCTGTCTAATTATTCTCTACGAAGAGGTTTTTTATGAATTTAAACAAGCAAAGAGAAAATTCCTACAGGAAAGATTTCCATTATGCTAGAACATCGTCTCTATACTGAGCAGATTAGACAGAAGGGAAAATAGAACTTGAAAACTATCATATCTGGTGGTTGATAAACTGGATTCAGACGTATTCATGTCTTGAGAGATTAGAAATGGATCAGACCAATCCGATGATGGGCACTTTTTTTGTGGAGAGGATTTTACTTCAACCAAGAAAAGAAAAGATGTCGAAAACAAGCATGATGACAAAGATCCTGGTGACAATTCTTCCACAAAGAAAGCCAGAGTAGTTTGGTCCGTAGATCTTCATCAGAAATTTGTCAAAGCTGTAAATCAGATAGGATTTGATAGTAAGTGTCATATATATCTTTCATTTCAAAATTTTGGACATTCCATATTGACATGTAATGTTTGTTTGGCAGAAGTTGGTCCTAAGAAAATACTCGACTTGATGAATGTACCATGCTTGACAAGAGAATCTGTTGCAAGCCATTTGCAGGTATTCCTTCTTCTTGAATTTTGCTGTCTATATTCTCTACGAGGGTTTTTGATGTTTAACAAGAAGAGAAATCTAACAGGAAAGATTTCCTTATGCAGAAATATCGTCTCTATTTGAGCAGATTGCAGAAGGAAAATGACTTGAAAACTTCTATTGGTGTGATAATGGATTCAGACTCATGTTTGAGAGATTCTGCTGGTAGTTCTGGTACCCAGAAATCCGTCAACAAGCAGCAGAGCGATGGTAATGACTTGAAAACTTCTGTTAGTGTGATAAAGGATTCAGATTTACCTTTGAGAGATTCTGCTGATGGTTTTGGTACCCAGAAATCAATCAACATGAAACAGAGCGATGCTTCAAATTACAGCTATGGATTTCCTGGACAACCCTGCTTCAAATACAGTAAGCATCATTTATCTTCCAACACTCGCATGTGGCTTACAATTAACCTAAATTTTCCATTTCTGGACAAGATATCAAAGGCTAATTAACCTAAATTTCGATTTCGATCTTATAAATTATTCAGATTATCCTTCAAGTGACTCCTGTCAAAGTGAGGGCACCCAGTCTTCACCGGACATCCTGCATTATGGTGTTCTGCAGGATAGCTTTCTTCTCCACAATGTGGAACCCAAAAGCTATGGAAGTGATCAAGAAGAAACCATTTCAATGGCTGATCCTTGGAAAGATGACGGGGTGGCCACGGTTCCGGAACCGGAATTCCGGAACCGACGGTTCCTGTTCCATAAAATTTATAATCAGAACCAAACTGAAAATTAACGGTTCCGGTTATGGTTTGAAACCGAACGGTTTCAGTTCCTCAATGGTTCTAAAATCGACAGTTTCAGTCAATTTTTTGCCCGGTTTCAGACGGTTCCGACCGGAACTAGAACAGTCGGTTCCAACTGAAATTAGAACCGTCAATTCCCAGTTCCAAAACTGATGGAACCGGAACTGATCCGATTCGGACCGGTTCCGGTTCCGGTTCCCACCGGTTCGGAACCAACGGAACGTAACTTTATCGACACAGTAGAACCCCTTTGAGAGGGTGAAGAATTATATATAGCAATAGCAATGCATTATTGTTTATGTTTTTTTTTTTTAATCTCTAATACTGTAATTCTTTTCTCTTTGTATTATCTATAAATAGACCTATGAAATCATTCATAAACTTTCTCAAAGAAGAAGAATCATATATATTGGTATGAAATGTCTGAAACAGCTCGCCAAACACTTCAAATTATAAATTACATCTATTAAAAACTTAAATATGTAAAATCAATTTAGTGCAATTTCCAATTACTAAAATTGAATCCATTAAATATTTATTATACAATTAAAAAATATAAAAAATTATTATTTCAAAAGTTATATTAACTACACATCAATAAATCATCTTTGAAATTTGAGATACCACCAAATAAAAATTGTAAAATTAAAAGGTATATTTCTACATTTGTCTTGGGCGATTGGGTAATGCCCATGCATTTTTGTGTTGGATGATCAATAATTTACTATTTTGCTACATAATTATTTTTACAATGAAACTTGCTATTAACCTCGTAGATATAAAATATGTTAGTATTTAACAATTTTCATTTTTTTTTTTATTCTCAATATATGATGGATGTTAGTTATAAGCATTCAAATGTATACTTTTTTTATCTTTTTGTTTTGGTGAAGAGTGAAAAATCTCAATTTGAATTCTCTTGATTAAAAATATAACATATGTATTTTTAAAAAGTGGGTTATATGTATTATATTGTACATAATGTTATTCTGATCATCGAGCTTTCTAATGAATAAAAAAATTTTATATTTTTCACATAAAAAAAAACTAGTGTCTAATGACTAATTCACCCTTATGAAGACAACAACTGGCCATTGAAGTATCATTATTCAGCACCTTCCTACCAATGAGGAAAAAAAATAACAGTGAAAACATGAGAACTGAACAAAATAAAAATTTAAAAGAATAAGCAGGTAATGATCAAGCATCTGATGCATCAAAGGTAGAAAACATTAAGTATTGCTGTAAATTCTATCTCTCTACCTTTTTTTTTTTTAAAAGTTTTTAATTAATTAAACTAATAAAATGAAACATCCCACTTAAAGGGAAGTTGAATGGAATTCATGTCATACCCCAAAATCAGAGCTTGATATCATCTTTTAAGAATAAGTCCAAGATAATACGAAGCTTCCTAACAAATTTCTAATAATAAATTTCTATTAAAGAGTGTAACTTTAATCCCGTGATATTCTGGAATTTTTATGAATAATTTATCGTGCACTTAAATTTTCAGGATTTAAAAGTTTAATGTTCTTATTTGTCCAATAAAATAGATAACAAAAGCTATGGAGAAAATGCAAAGACCAAAAAGATTGTCTGAAGAGGCAGTAAAGTTTTCAACGTTTCACACTTGCAAAAAAAGGAATTATAAAGGTTATTCTGCTATTTTTATTAAAATATATACTTAACATTTATTCCGTAATTATTCAATTAAAGAATCATATGCTCATATATTAAGTTTTCATTTTAACAAAGTTTTAGCATTTGAATTCTCAAATGGAAGATTCTTTTTCTTTTTCTTTTTCTTTTTCTTTTTGTTAAATAAAGTTTTAGAAAAAGCATATATCAGGAGGAGGATCATAAAACATTGATTAATTTATTTAAACCAATGGGTGTCAATATTCTTTCTTTCTTTCTTTTCATTTTTTAAAAAATTCTCTTGCACTTTCCTAGTAATATCGTAAAGGCAGAAGTGGTAGAGGTTGCAAACTGGACGGGACACAACTTGGTTTTGGAGACATGGCACTAAAAGTTGTAAAGCTGGTCGTCTTTCATATCGAGCCATTGAAGCAGAAGTGCTGATAGTTCCCCTAATGCTACCAGCTTTTCTTCTCTTGAAAGTTAAAACCAAACAGAACAAATAAATTGCAAATACACCCATTTTCTCTTTCTATATATCACTATTATGGTGGAAAGTCGTTTAACATTTGCTCCAAAAGATGAGTTTCCTGCTGGTCTCCGTGTGCTCGTTGTCGATGACAATCCCACCTGTTTGATAATGGTTTCACAAATGCTCAAAAGTTGTTCTTACGAAGGTTAATTTTCATACTTCTTAGCTGTTTTTACGTTTCTTCTTGCTTATAACGCTTGATCAAAAGCTTGCTTCTTCTCACTAAAATCAGTTTTTTGTTTCATTATATAGTAATGTGTTTTTGACATTTCGGAATGCTTTTGTGCTGTACAGTGACAACAAGTGATTCAGCAAGAGATGCTCTGAACCTGCTTCGTGAGAGGAAAGATGGATACGACATTGTGATCAGTGATGTCAAAATGCCTGACATGGATGGGTTTGAATTTTTAGTGCATGTTGGACTCGAAATGGACCACCTTCCTGTGATTAGTCAGTTCTTTGCAATGCCAAAATCTTTTTTCTTATTTTTTACATCTCATATTTACTCCAAGTGCTTCTGAAAGAATGTATTTATATATGTCCCTTCGCAGTGATGTCTGTTGATGGAAAAACCAGTACAGTAATGAAAGGTGTTCAACATGGAGCTTGCGACTATCTTATAAAGCCAATAGAAATGAAAGAAATTAGGATGTTATGGCAACATGTACTCAGAAAAAGGATATTTAAAGTGAGAGACATTGAAGGGATGGAAAGTATACAGAAGACTAGAAATGAAGAAGATCTTACTTCAGCGGAAAAAAGAAAAGATGTTGAAGACAAGCATGAAGATGAAGGTGACAAGTCTTCCATAAAGAAAGTTAAAGCAGTTCGTTCCAGAGATCTTCATCAGAAATTTGTCCAACCTGTAAGCCACTTGGAGGTATATACATATATATATATTCCTTTGGAAAATAACTAAACAGCATTCACATCATTCTTTAATGTTACAGTCCATGATATTTAAGAAGAAGAGAATTCTTACTGGAAAGATTTTCCTTATGCAGAAATACCATCTCTATTTGAGCAGCTCGCAGAAAGAAAATTACTGGAAAACTTCTATTGGTGTGATAAAGCGTTCAAACTCACCTTCCAGGGTTTCTGCTGGCAGTTTTTGTAGCCAGAAAAACTCAGCCAACGTGCAAGAGAGCGGTGCTTCAAATCACAGCTATGGATTTCCTGGACAACTATGCGTCAATCAGGGTAAGTATCATATATTTTCAAATACCTGCGAGAGCTGGTAGAACACAACAGCTAATGAATATTAAAATATTTAATATTGCCGAAGAGACCCTAATTCCCCGGTATTTTGATTTTGATCGTATGATTGAGTTATTCAGTTTCTCCTTCAAGCAACTCCAGTCAAAGTGTTGGCACTCAGCACTCGAGCAACATGCTGCATAAAGGTGTTTTACATAGTAACTTACTTCCCCACAATGTGGAACCCGGAAGCTCTGGAAGTGGTCAAGAGGGAACTATTTCAGTGCCTGTGGCTCCATGCACAGTATCTTCAACTACTGATATTTCTGATCCTTCGAATTCTTGGAATTCACAAACTAAATTTAGTAATTCTTCAACATCTTCAGGATCAGATGTGAACAATGTTCCAACATTTGATTCTACTTTTCTATTTGTATCAAAACCTGATCAATGACATGCGAAGAAAGTGGATGATCCTTTGAATGCTGATGTGACAAATTTTTCAACATAATGGGACCCATTTCAGGGGGTGAAGAATGACAGCAATAGCTATACATATTGTTTGGATTGTTGTTCTTATATCTAACAGTGTATGAAAAGGAAAATACTTACCAACATTCGTTGCATGGTTCACTAAGTGAATAGTTAATTGAAATTTAAAAAAATTATTATAATTTTTATATTAGTTTATCCTAATAAGCATTAATATATTTATTTATCGAACACTTTTACTTGATTGTCGGTGAGTCTTACTCGTATGAAATTTTTCTTCCTAATTTCAAGCAAAATACTAATTTTTTTTATACTGGTTTTAGTTGGTATAACTTAATTAGCTTACCAATTGAATAGAACGTCTCACAAAAATTTTGTTAATTGACTACAACCTTTGAAGTTTAGTTGAAATTATTATTACATTCTGTGATAAAATTACTAATTCGTCCCCGAAATTTAATTTTTGTTAAATGATTTAGCCCTTCCATTTAAAAGTACCATTTGTGAAGAAATAGAAATTCAATAATGTATGTAAGGAATTAAATATTAACGTTGTATTAAATATTAAGGACCAATTAATCAAATATTGTAGTTATTATTTAATGATGAAAGGAGCCGTTTCTGTATAAAAGTATTAAATAGTTTAAAGAGCTAAGTTTTATGGACAAATTAATAATTTTACTGAATGATAGAGATGTGAAAATAATTTTTACCAGAACTCAAGGACTAAACTGTCCAGTATCCCAAAAATATATTTGCCCCCCATCGGTACACTTGTAATGGTATTAAGAATAGAGTACTACGGTAGGATTGGGCCGATTGCGCAAGCCCAGATATTGGTGTAGAATCTCTGAAGACCTCCCCTAAAGCCTAAAGGCCGGCGGGGAAAAACTTATTCCGATCTCGTCAAATTTGTTATAAGAAATATAACAAATAGTAAAAAAAATAGTAAAAAAAAGAAAATACTAAATAATATACTAAATAATAAATTATACTACTAAATAAATAAAGGCCGGCGGGGGAAAAAAAACTTTATTCGTCTCGGTTCAAATTTTGTTTATAAGAAAATATAACAATTGTAAAAAAAAAGTAAAAAAAAAAGAAAATTACTAAATAATATACTAAAATAAATAAATTATACTACTAAAATAAAATTAATTTATACTACTAAATAATAAATTATACTTAAATAATAAATAAAATACAAATAATAATACCAAATAATAAATGTCCTGTATAAGGTAAATCAATAAATTTAGTAAAAAAAATAGTAAAAAAAAGAAAATACTAAATAATATACTAAATAATAAATTATACTACTAAATAAATAATTTATACTACTAAATAATAAATTATACTAAATAATAAATAAATACAAATAATAAATACAAATAATAAATGTCCTGTATAGTAAATCAATAAATTTAAATATTTTTATTAAAATTAGAGTATTTTTAACTATACATTTGAAAAAAAAAATGATAAAATCGAAATACTTTTTAAAAATCTTTATTTTCGTTTACTTAGTTTATAAATGGGATGGATTAGGTCGAGGTAAGTTTTTTCGGCTTCAAAATCTCTAAAATTATATTTAACTATTTGAGTGATAAATTATTCTAAATAAAATAAAGAAAAACACTAAAAAATAAAATAAAGAAAAACAATAAAAAAGAACTAAAATAAAAACGCTAATTCGGTGTTAAATTCCGTGTTATTCTAGGTTGCTTATCAATTCCGTGTTAATTTACTTTAGAAAAACGCTAGTCGGCGTCAACGTTCTTTCTTTCTTTCTTTCCTTCTTTCTTTTTCATTGTCTAAAAATTTTCTTGCACTTTCCCGGACTTTCCTCTCTCAAGTTAAAAGTTAAAACCCAAAACAGAACAAACAAATTGGAACCACACACATTTTCTCCTTCTGTATCTCACAATTATGGTGGAGAATAGTTTCTCACATGGTCGAAACAATGCACTTCCTGCTGGTCTCCGAGTGCTTGTTGTCCATGCTGATGCCATCTGGGTGATAATCCTTTCAAAAATGCTCAAACAGTGTTATTACGAAGGTTAATTTTCTTACTTTGTAACTATTTTCCGTTTCTTATTCCTTATAACACTTGATAAAGCTTGCATCTTTTCACTAAAACTGTCAATATTATATTGGTTCTTGGTTTCATTTCTGTAATATAAGCATTGTGTTTTTGACATTTCCTTTTTGGAATGCTTTTGTGTTGTTCAGTGACGACATGTGGTTTAGCAAGAGATGCTCTGAACCTTCTTCGGGAGAGGAAAGATGGTTACGACATTGTCATCAGTGATGTCAACATGCCTGACATGGATGGTTTTAAACTTCTAGAGCATGTCGGACTTGAAATGGATCTTCCTGTGATTAGTCAGTTCATCTTGAATGCCAAAAATTTTTCTTATTATTTGTATCTCATGTGTATTTACTCCAAGAACTAAATGTGTCTATGCCCCTTCACAGTGATGTCTGTTGATGGTGAAAAAAGTAAACTGATGAAAGGGATTCAGCATGGAGCTTCCGATTATCTTCTCAAGCCAATACGAATGGAACAACTTAGGAATTTATGGCAGTATGTACTATTAACAGAAAAGTTAGATAAGGTCAGAGATATTGAAATTGTTGCAGGAATGGAAAGCATACAAATGACTAGAAATGGAGAAGATCTGAGTACTTCAGCCAAGAAAAGAAGAGACCCTGGTGACATTTCTTTCATAGAGAAAGCCAGAGTAGTTTGGTCCGCAGATCTTCATCGGAAATTTGTCCAAGCAGTATGTCAGATAGGATTGGATAGTAAGTACCATATATATCTTTGATTTCAAAATTTTGGACATTGGATAATGACATTGATTGTCTACCTTAGGCTTGTCATTTACGAGGTTTTGACATGTAAGGATTGTTTGGCAGAAATTGGTCCTCAGAAAATACTCGACTTGATGGATGTGCCATGGTTGACAAGAGAACATGTCGCAACCCACTTAAGGGTATTGCTTTAGAAAGTAACTAAGCAACAGTCACATCCTTCTTTAAAGTTTTTTGGTTTTTAAACAAATAATTAAGAGAATTCTGACAAAGAAAAACTCTCTTTTATGCAGAAATATCGTGTTTATTTTAACAGATTACAGAAGGAAAATTACTTGAGAACTTCTGTTGGTGGGATAAAGCATTCAGACTCAGCTTGGAAAGTTTCTACTGGTAGTTTTAGCACCCAGAACTCAATCAACATGCAACAGAGCTATGCTTATGCTTCAAATAACAGCAATGGATTTCCTGGACAACCACGCTTCAAATATAGTAAGTATCAAAAATTTTCAAATACCTGCAAGTGGCTTTCAACGTTTCCTCTGTTGTCAGGTTGAGGCTATATCATTGAAAGCCATATAAATGATAAAAAAATTCCCATTTTTGGACAAGATTGCAAAGCCTAATTTTGATTTTGATTGTACAAATTATTCAGACTTTCCTCCAAGCAACTCTAGTGAAAGTGTTGGCAGCAACAAGCTGCGTAAAGATTTTTGGTACGATAGCTTACTTCTCTACAATGTGGAGACCAGAGGCTATGAAAGTGATGAGGAGGAAATTGTTTCACTGCCTGTGGGTCCATCCACAATTTCTTCTAGTACTGATCTTTCTGATGCTTCAATGTCTTCAAATTCTTGGAATTCGCAAACTGGATTTAGTAATTCTTCAACATCCTCAGGATCAGATGTGAACAACATGGCAGCATTTGATTCTACTTTCCTTTTTCATTCAATCAAAACCTGACCAATCCTTGGAATGATTGTGCAATAGGTTGTTGTTTTGTAATTCTGTTCTCTTTAAAGATAGACCGAATGTAATTCTGTGAAGGAAATCATTCAGAAATGTATTCATAAACGTTTTGAAAGAACACTCAAAAGATTGGCAATATTTTAGCGTATCCACACGCTTTGTAACGAAATTGAAGAACAGGAAACTATGGTTCAGTTTCTGAAATTTTTTTTTTTTGTGGTGTTTGAATGCAAAATTTTGTAATTAAATGCTTGAATTAATTATTTTGTTACAATTAAGTTCATTTAGCCAGAACTTTCCATTTCTGGACAAGGTTGTTATGAGCTCTTTATAGAACTCGAGCTTAATAGAACTTGGCTATTTTGATTCATTTACACTCTTAAATTTACCATTTCTGGAAAAAGATTTTTGGTATGATAGCTTACTTCTCCACGATGTGGAACCTGGAAGTGGAAGCTATGAAAGTGATCAAGAAGAAAAGAAATTGTTTCAGGGCATCTAGAATATCTTCAACAACTGACATTTTCTGATTCTTTGTATTCCTGGATTCACATTCTGGGTTTGATAGTTCTTCATCTCCAGGATCAGATGTGAACAACATTGCAGCATTTGATTCTACTTTTCTATTTGTATCAAAGCTTCACCTTGGGCCAATTGTGCAAGCCCATACATTGGTGTCAAATGTCTCAAGAGGTCTTCTAAATGCCTCAAAACCTTCAAATTAGGCTTTGGGTTGGATAGTCAATAATTTCTTATTTTGCTACATATATATATTTGTCATTCAGTTATTATACACTCTGTGATAATGGCAGCAGATATAACAATTTTAATCTTCCTTTATAGTCTTAATATACAATGAATGTTGGTGACAGGCACTAACATGTGTACTTTTCACAGCATTAACAGCAAAACAACAAATGGTTAATGTCTAACTCACTCGTATGAACGCAACAATTAAAAATGTTAAAAAAATATGAAAAGATGAAAAATCTGTTAATAAACTTGGCTAAAATATAGGCTTTGGCATATTCCAGAACAATTGGCAATTGCATTATCATTGTTCAGAACCTTCCTACCAATCAGAAGAAATAATAGTGAAAACATGAAAAAATGGGGAAAAAAAAAATAAATTAAAAAAAAGTTAAAAAGAATAAGCAGGTAAAGATCAGCATCTGAAGCATCAAAGAAGAGAGCATTAAGAAGAGCTATATATTCTTTCTCTCTTTTTTTTTTTCAAAAAATAACATTTTACTTATTAAACTAATAAAAAGCAACATCCCACTTGAGAGAAGTTGCATGGAGTTCATGACACCTTGAAAAATAACTCCAAAGTACAAAATGCTAATAAAAAAAGAAGTTCATTCAATAATCAAACTTCTATTAAAATTATAAATTTCTAAAAAAATAAATAATATGTTTTTCAAAGTAACTTGTAGAGAGGGGCATCTACTAATTCTAAAACGAGATTAATTTTATACTCAAAAAGAACGTGAGAATACCACTGAAAATTCAATTTTTATATATATATGAGCAAAATTCATAATACATGAGCTTTTTTAGAATATTCAATCCCTAAAACAAGATATCATCTTTGAAGTTTTCTTGTGTTATCATACTTATCTTTTAAAAAAATATATATATAATTTTTAATATATATTTAACAAATTAAAAACTAGTCCTAATAAAACTCAACTGAGTTTTGGATTGGGTTTTACAGTTCATCCTTCCAATTTGTTAGTCACAAATCATGCTCATCCTTTCTTTCATGTAAAATAATATTTCTCTTTGACATAAAGTTGTTTCTTAGTGGGCATTTCCTTTTAGAGCCATTGAGTTCATTTTTGAATCCTTTCTCTACCCCACTCCTTAAAAGTACCTTTACACCCTAATTATATTATACTTTGAAAGTTAAACTTCAATCAACAAACTCAAATCCTCAACTAAACTCAATAATTACCAAATTAATTACACCCACATTAATTAATCTAATCCTATTTAAGAATAATAAGTAGTATTAAAATCCACCAATAAGGCACCTATAAGTTGTGGCTCAGTTAGCAAAAACACCAATAAGAGCTCTTAAGTTTGATTCCCGCTAAACACACTTGTATTATTAAGCCTAAAAACCTAAACTTTTTATGGTTTACACCAAGACCATGTTTTTAATTTTTACTAATTTACATAAGTAAGAGGGTAACTATATTTATTTATTTCTTTTTCTTTTTCATCTAATATAGTTTAATTAAATTCTTAAAGTGGCTGAAAAGAAACTTCCTCTAGTTGGTATATAACTTAAATGATCCATTATTGGTGGAAGAACAAAATAAAAAAAAATAAATTATTGTGCTTATTTTAAAATTGTGTTTTAATTAAGAAGATGCTTCCTCCCTTATCAAAACTTAATTTGTTGCAAAATGGCATTATAGTGACCTCACATCTTTCTTTTGGTTATCATGGCCTCAATCAACGACATAGATTAACTCTTTCTTCCTAGATTATCAACTAATTAATTTTCCTATCTCTTTCACATACATTCAAAAGCACATTAAAACATTAATTAGTATTATTCTTCCTCCAATGATGGGAAAACATTACCAAATGGATTAGTAACTAAATTCTTTGAGAATTTTAAATTTTTTTTTCTTTTACGTGTGAGCGCTAAGTTCAGAACTCGATAAAATTATATAATTATATAAAATTTATTTATAACGAGACTAAAACATTAAATTTTATACAACCCATGTATGATAATATTAATAATATCATTTTTCCCCGTAAAATAAAAATAATTTTTAATTAAAATTTATTGCTCAATTACAAGATTGGAAAAGGAAAAAAAAAACGCTTTTTGTGAAAAGTTTAATGTCCTTTCATGGTAAGTACTATACATAATAATCAAACATCATGAATAAAAAAAAAAACATGCAAACAAAAGTGACAATGAGGATTAGTAGGATTGATTAATTAGAACCCACTTCTTAATTAATCACCATTTTCATATAAGACCAAAGCGTGTAAACCACGCTCCAATGAGATTTAGACAACAGAAATTATCAGGTTTCTTCCCACTTAGAAGAAAAGAAGATGGTTTGTCGCTCAGTAATTGGAAATGTATGTTTTAAGCTTTTTCTTTTAAGGGACCAAACACTTGTCTATATGTATATATATATATACTGCCATTAAACTGAAAAATATTAATATTAAACAGAACCTTAATCTTCCACAAGTACATAAAGATAGTTTAAATTAAAGGAATTATTGAGAATCAAAAAGGTTTCCATTCTTCCACTATAAATAATTAATGGTTCTTTTTTTAATTAATTAATTTTTAATTCTAAAATTAAAAGAAGGGTTGGGTAAGGATTGACTACTTATCAAACACTTGGATGGAAAGGGAAAAAGAAGTTAACAAATTGCCATTTATGCATCACTTAAAAAGGGGAAAAAAACTATAATACAACTTTTCATTTCGTACCATTTATTTATTAAATTGATGAGATCAATATTTCAAAAGCCATTACCCATCTGCAACAGCCAATTTCAGCCACCTATTAGCGAAGAAAGTTTAGTTATCTTATTGAAGTGATTCAGCGACCGTTTTATCAAATTTAGCAACCAATCTGGTGGTCGTCAATTACTGATAAATGCCAAAGTCGGTCCCTAATATTTTAGCGTTATAGTCTGATGATCGCCTTTCGGTCATTATTTCTATTTTAGTCAACAGAAAAAAGGATTAATCGGTTGCTAAAATGCTAATGCAATGGATATTATATAAATGCTTAAGAAAAGAAAGAAAAACAAAGAAAAGAAAATAGAAAAGAAAGAATAAAATCTTGTCTTGTCTATGCTGGTTCTTGATCCCAACCCAAGTCTACATTCTTTCTTGAATTCATACTCAATTTTATCAAAATGTCTGCACCTTATACCAAAAATGGGAATACAGCAAAACACCCTCAGGGCTTCTCTTTCCTGCTTTTTTCCCCACTAAAGCTATAATGCAACTCCAATAATATTCACCACCTTTTTCTTCATCTTCTTTTTTATCTATGTATTTATTAATTTTATATTGTCTCATTTATCCTGTCCAACAATTTTATTTATTTATTTATTTATTTATTTAATCAATGACAAATGTGATTGTGTGTTCCATTGTTCAATTCCCCCAGAAATTGCGTTTCTATTAATGAATCACTATCCAAACTATACGTACACAAATATGGGTAGAAATCCAATCTTCAAAAGTTAGAGGACCACTAATAAAAGTGAGAAAGAAAAAAAAAAATTAGAAGTTAGGTGATAATATGAACAAATTTAACCTTTCATGTGTTATATTTGAAATTTTACACGAGCGTGTACGGAAAACTCCAAAAGGAAAATTTAACATATGCAAGTAGGGATGAAAGTCGGACGGATTTTCACGAATTTTAAGCTACATGTGATCGTATTTGCTAAAATTTTAAGATCTATGTCTGTTTTAAACTTATTTAAATACACATTTAAATACATGTATCTGAATCCATTTTAAATTTTTACTATTTTCACTCGTTCGAAATCCATTTAAGATACCATTTAAATGAGCCATGAATTTTAACTTATCAAAATCTAAATTCATTTAAAATACATATTAATAATAGGATATCAGCCGATTGTCACAGTCAAATCCACTTAATATAGGCGGGTGATCAAAAATAAATATCTAAGATACATGCCGATTCCTATATTCATATCGTACTCTATATAATAATTTCATTAATCGTAATCGTCTCAAATATATTTATAACTGTATATATTCTTTTAAAATAAATAAAAATAGAATGAATATTTTAAAATATCTGTACCACTTTCATCCCTCCGTACAAGTGTTAAGATTTATCTCAAATTTTCCACTCAAAAAAAAAAAAAGATTTACATCAAATTTAAACGTGTCTCACCAAGCGAGGGACTTAGTATATTACTGTTACACTGTTATTGAAGAGATAAAGACAAACTATACATCTCTTTTTCTTTTTTCTAAATACAAAAAGGCAACTGGCTTGTGCCGTCAACCAGTTTCACTCCAAGTGATAAAAAAGAAGAAACAGAAAAGTAAGGAGAAGCAGCTGGTTACTGGTTAGAGGCTAACGTGCGCGCCACAGGCACCATATTTGCTAGCCGGCGCCAAATATTCGTTGCGCTTCCTTTCTTTCCATTTTTTTATTTTCTCACACTCCTCGCTCTTTCTTCTCTAAAACCCAAACAAACAAATTAAAAACCCACACAAACTCTCTCATTTTAAGACCCCTTTCTCTTCCTCTTTGTCTCTCTCTTCATCTCCTTTTATATCTTACACGCACACTGCGTCTGTCTCTGTCTCTGTTTCTCAATTCTTGAATCTGAGCCGGTCATGATGGAGAGTGGTTTCTCTTCTCCTCGACACGATGCGTTTCCTGCTGGTCTTCGTGTGCTCGTTGTCGATGATGATCCTACCTGGTTGAAAATCCTTGAAAAGATGCTCAAAAAGTGTTCTTATGATGGTTAATTTGCTGCAACTCTGTTTCTTATTATTGTTATTCTTTTCTTATTGCTTATCTAATTCAATCAAGCTTGCTGCTTTTCACACTGTTATTGCTTATTGTGAATTGGGTTGCTTTTTGTTAGATGTTCTTCGGTGTGTATTTGTCAGGTTGTTTTGTGTTACGATGATTTGCTTCATGGGTTTTTTTAGGATAGCTAGCTGTATTTTTTGTTCAAGCATGTGGGCGACCTGAACCTGTAGGAGATCATGTTAGTATGGCTTTGAGAATGCTTTTTTGGGTTGGATTTATTATTATCTTTTTTGTTACTAGTTGAAAATTTTTAATTCTTGGACTTTTTGAGTGAATACTCGTTCATTGTTGCAATCAGGCACTTACTATTGAGAATGCTATGAGACTTGGAAAACTTGGGTTAATTTTTCTTTGCTTATGGAATTTTGACTGTTTAGAGTCACCCATCCTGAGTCAATCCGGAAATTTTCCCTCTTACTGCTGGCAACTGAAATGAGTATCTCCTATTTTGGTTTGGACTAATCAGATACAAGTTGTAATTGACGTAATTTTGCTAGCATTTGAAGATATTTTCTAAAAAGACCGAAGTACTCAGATTAGGAAATCTCATATATCAGGAAAATTTACAAGTTCATGACGTGAAAGTCCTTATCATTAGTTGTGTCGGTTTACTCTAAAAAGATGTTAGATTAATTAACACAAAATGTTTGTCATGGGCTGTGTTTTGTCTCATTATAAGGGTAATTCAAGTCCTTCATCAATCAACTATTTTTTTTTTTTTTAAATAAATTAAAAGGACAATTACATGAGAAGTTCTTGAATTTTAAACTATTTTCTAATTGAATTTTCATAATTGAGTACTGGACTTCTTAAAATGCATCAACCAAGTTCTAAATGAATGATGTTGTTGTCTACCATGCCTTTTGATTTGGATACATGTGTTTTATTTCATTCAGTTTGAATTAAATCAATGGGTTTTGAAAAAGCTCAACTACTCAGTTGGGGCTAAAAAATTCCAGATAATCAAGCAACCATTTGAATACATGTGTTACCATTGTTATGATTACTCTTAGATTTTGACACACAGATTGACTCGTGTAATGCTAATAATAAAAAGCATGCGGACATTAGCTCATGTGCAGCTTTGCTTCCATTCACTTATCTTCTGACCTAAGTATAAACATAGCCACTAGAGATATGATCCAATTGTCATATTAATTCTTGCTTCCTTAGGCTCAACTGAGATTGGATTGAATAATCTATATCCTGGAATGACTAATATTTTTACAGAATCAAGTTGGCATGCTTCAGAAATTCATTTTATTTAGATTGAAACAGAATGAGAAAATAAGCTTGATCTTCATTGGTCCAATGACTTCTATTACTTTTTAATTACTTCAGGCAATATGCTTTAGGCCTTACGGCTCTGCAAACTCTTTTATGTTCTCCTCGTGATTATAACTTTGTTTGGTGAAAGCAATTTTTGTATAGGATGCTTTCTATTTGTTCAATGATATATTTTGCTTTCTATTCCTCGTTACCATGCAATGGAGTTTTTGACATTTCCCTTTTGGAATGCTTTTGATGTGCAGTGACGACATGTGGTTTAGCAAGAGATGCTCTGAACCTTCTTCGGGAGAGGAAAGATGGTTACGACATTGTTATCAGTGATGTCAACATGCCTGACATGGATGGTTTTAAACTTCTAGAGCATGTCGGACTTGAAATGGATCTTCCTGTGATTAGTCAGTTCTTTGCCATTAGCTTCTGGACTTTCATCTTAAATGCCAAAATTTTTTATTATTTTTGAATCTGATATTTACTTGAAGAATCAAAGCTTGCTTCTGACAAAAATGTATTTATGTCCGTTCATAGTGATGTCTGTTGATGGAGAAACGAGTAGAGTAATGAAAGGAGTTCAGCATGGAGCATGCGACTATCTACTTAAGCCAATACGAATGAAAGAACTTCGGAATATATGGCAGCATGTATTCAGAAAGAAGATACATGAGGTTAGAGACATTGAAATTCTTGAAGGAATGGAAAGTATACCAATGGGGGGTAGAAATGGATCAGACCAATCCGATGATGGGCACTTTTTTTGTGGAGAGGATTTTACTTCAACCAAGAAAAGAAAAGATGTTGAAAACAAGCATGATGACAAAGATCCTGGTGACAATTCTACCACAAAGAAAGCCAGAGTAGTTTGGTCCGGACCAATCCGATGATGGGCACTTTTTTTGTGGAGAGGATTTTACTTCAACCAAGAAAAGAAAAGATGTTGAAAACAAGCATGATGACAAAGATCCTGGTGACAATTCTACCACAAAGAAAGCCAGAGTAGTTTGGTCCGTAGATCTTCATCAGAAATTTGTCAAAGCTGTAAATCAGATAGGATTTGATAGTAAGTGTCATATATATCTTTCATTTCAAAATTTTTGACATTGGATAGTGACATCCATTGTGGATCTTCATGTATTCGATGAAAATTTCTTGACATAGGTTTGTCATTTATGTGGTTTTCAATGATATAGCCTACATCTTTATCATGCTTCCATGGAGCCATGACATGTAATGTCTGTTTGGCAGAAGTTGGTCCTAAGAAAATACTCGACTTGATGAATGTACCATGGTTGACAAGAGAAAATGTTGCAAGCCACTTACAGGTATTCCTTCTAAAAATAACTAAACAGCATTCACATCCTTTTTTAATGTTACTGTCCATATCGTCTATGAGGATTTTTTATTTTTAGACAGTAAGATATTTCTTACAGGAAAGGCTTTTCCTTATGCAGAAATATCGTCTCTATTTGAGCAGATTGCAGAAGGAAAATGACTTGAAAACTTCTGTTGGTGGAATAAAGCATTCAGACTCACCTTTGAGAGATTCTGCTGGCAGTTTTGGTACCCAGAACTCAATCAACATACAGCAGGGTGATGCTCCAAATCAGAGCTATGGATTTCCTGGCAATAGCTTCCAAAATGCTGAGCCTAGAGGCCATGACAGTGACCTGAATGGAATTGTTTCCAAGAATGCTGCAGAACCCAAAAGGGTTTTAACTGTTGAAGTTCCTGAACCCTGTAAACCCAGGAATTCACAATTGGAATTTGGTCATTCTTTTACTTCTCCAGGATCTGAAGTGAACTTTTCAGCATTTGATTCAAACTTCCCAGCCCGATTTTCATGGTGTGAAATTCCACAGATTCAACTGAAGCAAGAACATAACCCAGTTCACATAGATGATGGGTTCAACCAGCTATCTTTTCCTGGTCAACAACAGCACATCCAACCTGATTATCCACAGCCAGCTCACCCCATTGTTTCTGGTTCTTCTGTAACTGAAAGAGAGATAGGTGGCTCTATTAAAACAAAGCCTTTGTATGATGAATGCAGGCACAACACCAGCCATGTAAGTTCAACAGGAAGCACAATCAACTCCACTGATGTCCAAACCAAGACCCATATGGCAAATCATCAACATCAAACTTTTCAACCCATTTCCATGAACTCATCAACCATGAAAAGTCAAAGCTTCAATCTGAGTTGCGTATCGGACTTGGAATCTTCCCAAAAAAGTATAAATTGGGGAATGCATCCTTCTACAACTTTGGATGATGACTTTCAGGTCTGTTGGTTTCAAGGTGATTGTTATGCTATGAATCTTGGACTCCACAATATTGAGCTGCCAGAGTACTGTGATCCAGGGCTCATAACTGAAGTTCCAACACATTTACATGATGCAGTGAGGTTTGACTATGAGAATCTCTATGATCCAACAGAATATGCTCTAATATAGCAAGGTTTATTTATAGCATGATCTTGCTCCATCTGCCATGGAACTTCATCATTTTCTATTTATTTTAGATGACCTATCTATCAGAGGAGTCTCTTATCTCCTATTGATTCAGGCATTATTTCCTGGACGGTCAAGTCTTGGATGTAGAAACATGTATAATAGGGATGATGACAAACATTAAGCATAATAAGCTTGCTTCTGGAAGTTTCTCTAACATGCGACCTTCTAGTTTTGTATATGTATCTATGGTCAAAACGCACATGTTCGTGCTGCAACTGTCATTATTCCTTTGAAATTTTGTAAACGAAATGCAAAGCCACTAGAAGTTAATTATATCATATTCTCGCAAATCGTATTCTAATTATAAAGTTGAAAGGCATTGCAATTGCTATATATTCATTCTTCTTAACCAGTGCACTGTTCAGGCATCAACAAACCTTTGAACTTCCGCTCAACTGTTTTAAAACAGAAAAAAAAAAAGAAACAGTATCAAATTATGCAACAACAATGCAAAGTTATATTTCATTCAGAATTGCATGAAAGCACATCACTTTTTACATGCACCATGTAACAATATTGCCAACCCTAGATGCAAAAACAAAGCATTCTTTTTATATCCCCAAAACTGCTTACAACTAACTATCCACTAGTATTACCCTAATCTGAATCCCACTGTCACTGCAGGTTTGTCTTTCTTCTTTGTAGTGTGTAATTACAAATGAAAATCTTCATAATCAATAGCCGGGTCAATCAATTCCTTGAAATAGCTTCTCTATGGGAGCTCAATGCTGAATATTTGGAGAAGCATTCTCATGTGCTTTTTTCCTTGTTAGCAAAGTGATCGAGTGAGTTGTGCTTTGGTTACCTTTCGGTACAACACGCTTAGAGCTTTCAGCATTGACTGAAGGCCTTTGAGGATGCTGAAAGCTTGCTTCCTGGACCATATAGGAAGAGGGCTTTCTTCCAAGTTTAGGAGATCGAGGCCGTGTCAATGGAATCTGCAATACATTATAATTCGAAAATTAAAATGCATGCAAATCTAATTTCTGCTAATACAAGCAGCATTATGGTAAGGTTTTACACAGAACCTTCGATTTTACATGCAAATGTGATTTCTCTGCCTCCTTTGCATTGTTTTTCTCTTCAAGCTTCTGAAAGAACTGGCAGAGCAAATGAAACAATGTGTCAAAGCCATAGCATACTTACAGATAAGGGGATAATACAAAGAACCAAAGTTTCTAATCTTGCCTCTTTACGTTTTGCAGCTCTTTCGCCACTCCTAAAGCTAAAAGGAGAAGATATAATTGAAGACCGTACTTTACTTCCACTTGCAGTTGAAGATTTTGTGCGGCTGCCATACAGTTAGTCAAGCATAATTTAGATAGTGCAATATATGGTGCTTTTGTATTTTAGTGCTAATATACAAGCTCCAAAAGAAAGCAAAATAATGAAAACGTCTGAAAAGCTGTTTGCCTAGGCATGCAAATTCGTGCCTTCAATTATGTCTTTTAATGTTTACTCACAATATGAAATCAATAAGGATTAAGCCAATTAGCAAGTTTCGAACAAATTCCTGAGAAATGTTTGAGAAGTGAGCATGTGCATATTGCTTGACTAATTATGGTAAGCATTATAAGTTCAACACAAATATGAACTATCTTTAAATTTAAGTAGCAGATTCTTACTCCCCAGAGATGGCCTGCAATATCCCGCCGGCTATTCTTCCTCCAGAAACTGATTTATTGAGTAGAGACTGACTTCTGCAAGAATACATCTTCAATGTGAGCACAAAAAATATTTAGAAAGGACCAACTTACTAGGCATTGTAGAGCATAAATACCTTCTATCTTCTGACTGGCGATTTATTGAAGGAAGAAGCTTTGATATCCCATAAACAGATGCCTACAGTTTGCAAAAGTAAGTCATCAGCTTGTGTTTATAGATATTTTCTGAGAATAATGCACAGGAGGGCAGTTGTGTGCTGCATATGTAGCAACTGAAAAGTAATCACAAAGAGGAACGGAGATACCCTTGTTGAATTTTGTGGCGTAGCTGAACTCTCTTTTGACATTCTGGTAGAACTTTTGCTCGTTTCTCTTGTGCTAGGAGGCAAATTAATCGACATGTGGACAGGTTTTGCATTTAATCTCTTTCTATCGATCAACTCTTCCAGAGATTTCTTTTTGCTTGGATTGACATTTGTTCCACCCTTCAGCTGTGTGGAATTAACCTGTTTGATAGAAGGCTTCGGGACTTTAGAAGCTCTACTCTGACTTGAAGATTTTGATGACGAATTCATTTGTCTTTTATTACTAGGTACGGCTACATTCTCCTTTTCAGCAGTTTCCTGATTCAAATGGTAATAACACGGAGTCGATAATTTAGCAGAATGCATGAAAAGAAGGCATAAAATTGAAGAATTTACCTTATTGGGCATTTTTGCTTCTTGAGTGGCCAAAATCTTGTCAGATTCCTCAGCATTATCAAGCTGCTTTGGATTTTCAATCTGAATAGAGCTTCCCACCTCAATCATTTCTCTTATCACTTTTTCAGTTGTTTCCACTATTGCATTTTGTAACCTATCCTCTGGATGAGACTCAGGAGACTGAGCTAGTGCATGGACATCTTTTTCCTGTTGTACACCAATAACAGTATTGCCAGTTGCCTCAGCTTCCACAAAATCTATAGGAGTATCCTTGTGAGTTCTGCCCACTATCTCTACTTCAGGAACGTTATTATCTGTAATTTCTGCTTCAGGAACATTATCAGCTGCAGTTTTTGCTTCAGGATCATTATTGGCTGCAGTTTTTGCTTCAGAAACATTATTGGCTGCAATATCTCCCTCAGGAACACTACTAAGTGCAGTATTTGCTTGCTCAAGCAAGGCTGCTGCTTTCATTGCAGCTCTCTGCTTGTAATGAGCTTCAAAATAAGCCTTCTTCTGAGCAACAGAACCTGGCTTGGAAAACTGCTCAACTTCTTCCAAATAGCGATTGTGAGAGAAAGTTGACCACTTTTCCCAAGCTAAAGTTTCCGACATAAATCTCCCAAATGAGATTGATTCAGTTAAGGCACGAAGGGGGTCCCCCTGTAATTCAAAAATTTTCCCAGTGAACACACAGCTTTTATAGTCTTTAATGTTACAGAAACCAAAAAAACATTAAACATAGAGCTGCCTAAAAACTCCAAGAAGATCAATAAGTACACCCATGATAAGCTATTAACCCAAATCAAGTCGCTTACTGCTACAATATAAAGATATTAATGCCAAGTAAAATAAATAAACTCGGATCAAAGGATTTCAATGAAGAAATATTAATTCATACAAGTCCAAGGAATGGCAATTATCAGTATCAATCCGAACATGTCTAATACATAACAGGAAGCACTAAAATCTGCATTTAAACACATAAAAAAAAAGACAAAAAAAAATTGAAAATATGCACCTGTAAAACACCCGAAAGTCCAAATAATCAGAAATACCTGTTTGGTTATTGGGAAAAGTTGGAAATAAAAAAATGGGATAAATTAATTCAACAAATTTTCTGAAATTCATTTGGAATTTCCTAGTTTCAAGCTTGGCACAAAAACAAAAATGCTCATTTCACCCTTATCAACTCAATTTATGGAATTTAACTAACTAACCAAATAAAATTATACCATTTATCAAATGAATTCTAAACTTCAAAAGCATTTATACTAAACAGAGTTAAAGTAAAATATGTATTACAAAGCATTAAGCATTTAATTAATAATTTATGTGATATAATTTATTCTAATTGATGACTGTCAAAAAAAGAAAAATTTACAATCCATATATATTCCTTAGCATAATTGATGACTGTCAAAAGGAAATATCTCTTCCAGATTACTAAAGCCATCCCATGAAAGCAAAGAGTCTACATTATCAATCCAATTCTGCTGAGATTCTTCTTTGATGACAGATTCTTCAATTCTTGAACAAAAAGATTTAGATTTATTCAGATTCGAACCACATATATTTTCCAAGACCTCTAAATAACCAAACTGGGAATAGAAGCAAACTGATAACAATTAAAACAAAACCCACGAAAGGTTACAAAAGAACTTGTTTTAATAGCCATTACTTAAACATAATAAAATGATAAATATAGCAACATAGAACAAGAAAATTTTTAAGGACTAACCTCTTTGGCTTCACGAGAAGCACTAGATGGGTGAGAGAATGATCTCATAAGACATGTTGGTTCAGCCATTTCACTCTTGTATAAAAAACGAAACCCTTTCTTTTCAAAACCCTTCTTTTTTCTTTCTCTTCTTTATTTCTATATATGTTTATTATAAAACTCTTCAGTCTCTTATGGACAACGGCTTCAAGGGCTCTCTGATCGCTCTTCCTTCCACTTTAAATTTGAAAATCTTAAAGCTGATGGCCCAATGGTTCAATTACATGTCCAGGCGAGAAAGACACAAGAAGAGAGAGAAAAGGGTTTCTGTGTATAACACTGTAAAGTGTAAACTGCTTGAAATTCAAAGTAACTGAAATTTGCAGAGAAAGAAAGAAGCTTTTAGTGTGCAGGCATTTTTGTTTGCCTTTAAAGTGCAGGGTTTTTATATATATTTTTGATTTTTGATACTCCAAACAAATTAAATAAATAAATGAAAATACCTACCAAAATAAGTTTTTGGTTGCAACCAGAATATTAACGACAATATTATTCAGATATAAATAATAAATCAGTTATAGATAAATTTTATTCATAAATATATTTAGCATTTTATTTTCTAAAAAAATCACATATATATATTATACAAATCAAATATATAAATACATTTTCACAATTAAAATATTGGTGTATTTTCACCGAAAATAGAAACAGAATAAATACCAATATTTTTTTTAAATAATAATTAATTATTATTAATTTGTATAAAAAAAGATATACACTAAAATTTTTTTTTAAGTTTTTGCAAGAGTGTGGAGGATGTGGGACCCACGTGGAAGCTCCTAACCTCTAGTGTTTTTTTGTCCTATTATTTTGGTTCTCAGTTCTTACAAGTGAAAAATAAGAAAAAAAAATAAAAAAAAATGAGTGTGTGAAGCGAATGAAATGTGGGCTGACAGATGCCTCACACTCACAGATTGAGAGAATCTGCTTTATTATTATTATTAGGAAATTACGGTTTGGTCCACCATCGTTTGAATTTGAAATGAGGAAAGGCAGACAAATCAAGTCCAGTAATAGAGATTAAGCAACGGCTTTTCTCTTTTTAACGGTAAAATTGTACAAAGTGATTATTATTTTTAATAAGCAAACAAACCCTATGTATTATGAATGTTAAGATACATAATTCGTTATTTTCATGTGCACCAAAATAATATTCAAAAAATACAGTTAAATATTTTCGATGGTTGAGATGAGATAGTTGTCACGATCTATTTCCACGGGCCGGACCGGCACTAGGACCTGGGTGGGCTTAAGTGATTATTATTTTTAATAAACAAACAAACCCTATGGATTATGAATGTTAAGATACATAATATTCAAAAAATACATTTAAATACTTCCAACGGGTGAGATGAGATGATATAAATTTTTTTTTTTAATTAGATATCCCGATTTCGAACTCTAAATGTGAAATCATTTTCAACACTCGGAGAAAATAAACTCTAAACGTGAAGACTTTCAAAACTTAGAAAAAGTGTTTTTACCCCCTTTTATATGTCTGCCTAATGTAAATTCAAACTATTCGAGCCAATGAGCTATGGATACCGAATCATTAAAAAAAAAACATTGTTGAATGTTAAAACCTTGAGTTATATTAGGACACAACCTACTTTTTGGTTCTATTGGATTTTGAATCAAACACTAATTTACTTATAACTTTTAACTTAAAGATAAATTTAACTAAATTAGAAGTCAAACTAAAAGACCATCTATATTAGGAAAAAAGGTTTTATAAATATTGAAAATTCATATCTATATTAGGAAAAAAGGTTTTATAAATATTGAAAATTCATGAAGATGTGTGATTTATCTCAATCCATTAAAAAGAAAATCTATTTTATCTGGGAAAAAAAATGAAAATTCAGCAATTACGTAGGGTAAAAGTTACTGAAATTCAATTTTTTTATGGAAACTTATTTTTTAGAAATGTAAAATTTGAAAAAAATTATTATAGGAAAGTTAAATATTGTATTGGAATGACAATAAAAGTTTTCCCTTGAACAATAAATATTGTATTATTTAAAATTTCTTTTTTTCTACGAGAATTTAATTTTCCACCGTTTAAAACGAGAAATTACTTTTCAGTATACATAAAAACACTTTCTACACGTAAAGACATAGCCTAGTGGTAATTCATATACAACTTGGCAATATATCTAAATTTGAATTCCCCTTCCTCAATTAAAAAATAAACACTTTCTAATTTTTAAACTTTTTTATTTTAAAAGGCATTGCAAATTTTACGACCAACCATGATATATGATGATGATAGTGATAATAATATAATCTTAGCAAAAGATCAAGATAGTGTCAATTTAATTACCAATATATCATTTTTTTTATCAGTAAATTCATACGACCAACCATGATATATGATGATGATAGTGATAATAATATAATCTTAGCAAAAGATCAAGATAGTGTCAATTTAATTACCAATATATCATTTTTTTTATCAGTAAATTCAATTTATTTTATTAATATGCCAGGAAAAATTTAACTTATCTAAGCAACAAATACAAATTAATAGGCTTCTAAATACGTCCGAACTTAGCCTAAAATAAGTGGAAAAACCTGAAAGAAAAATTTTAATATTTCATTTGTAGTTTGCACAAGTTGAAGTTGGTAAGGAATCAACATACACAAGGTCACAACCAGAAGTTGCATCTACCAAAATTTTCAAAGCTTGTTGATTTGGATTGGAGACCCCTCCAACTCAATTCATTCAACCAATAAAGAAAAATTAAAGAAAAATTAAAAAAAAAGGCACATTCCTTCTTATATATAATATAAAAAACCTGAAGAAAATTGAAATTTCAGTTAGGAGACATGAATTGCAGTTTTTGAAGCATCCCCAATTTTTCTTTTTAAACGAAGCTTATGGTATTCCAAATGTAGAATAATGGCGGAATGTATATAAAGGATCCAGTGATATTTACTTACATTCGGTGTACGAGTGATCGCATAGGCTTAATTTAATTAAAAAAATAATTATTTATATTACTTTTTTTTACTATATAATTTAAAAATTAAAATGTCATCCTTTAAACTAAAATACTGTTTAAAATTGGTTTGATATATAAATAGATGAAAAAACTTATTTAGACCCGTTCCGTAGTCCACTTATGGAGTAAACAAATGAAATTCATGATTTTCAAAAAAGTGTTCCGACTTTATCATTTTTTTTCTAAATGTATGGTCAGAAATACTCTCGTTTCAATAAAAATATTGAATTTCATTGATTTAGGCTATAGGTAGGGATATAGATTAGATCTAGCTAAGTTTTTCTCGTAAATGGAGAGGAAAAAAGTTATCTAGACCGGATCCATGACTCTACTATAAAATCAAAATATTTTTTAAAAAATTTTTAATTTTATTTATTCGATTCGTATATGGGATACGGACTCGATCTCAATGAGTTTTTTCCTAAATAGATAAGTCCTATCTGTAAAAATTTTTTGCTGCAGTAACTATTGTCTGCTGACTTCGAAAAGTGTTATCTTTTGAAAAATAATTATTTCATTTTTTAGATTTATCCGTCTTCGATTAAAATATTTGAAATGTTTCTGAAATTTACCCTGTTTGGTCATTCTATAAAAAAAAAAAAACACATATTTTCCATTAATTTTAAAGTAAAACGATAAGGTTAACTTTTGTAAACTTCTTTCCCATGTCAGTTGCTTATCTTTTCCCTTATATTTTCTTTCTTCTAGATTTTCAGATCTCGATGATGAAATAATTGTTTTCCCTCATCTTTTCTGGTTCCTTCACGCATCCAAAAATATGCCTCAGATCTGCTTCACTCGTTAATCAAATGATCGAATAGAAATGTATTTTGCGGAGATGCAAAGAAGAAGGGATAGCTTATCTTCTACAGCACTAAACGAAATAGGTGAGAGTCGTTCTTCTTCTTCAGCTGATTTCGTTTCAATATATCGAAGTCTTCCTCATTATCTCATGTCCTGCTTAGACTATTGGGCTATCTTTCATAGAGGACGATATCCTCTTCTTTTTTCGAAGGCTGAGATGGCTCGGCTTTTATCAGCTGAAGCTCTGATACCGGAGAAAGAAGGGGAACTCATAGATAATGTAGCAAATAACGTTATCGACGAGTTAATTCATCTAGGACCGCTGAGAGAAACATACATATATGGAGATGGGCCTTGTATTGCCTTTAATGAATCATATGTAAATTTATGCGTTGTCGAGGTGGATGAAGTGGAATTTTTGGCTGAAGCTGCGAATTTACCTGTACGAGCTATAATACATCAATACCGCAACAATATTCCTCCTGATTTCAAAACCCTTCAAATTCGTTCTCTATTTTTGGATTCAGTCGGATTTTCTCGGGCCTCTATGGAAACTATTTGCAAGTTGCAATATTTATTGGTGTTACATTTGGATGGCCGCCTTTTGGAGAGATTACCTGACGAAGTGGGTGACTTGTTTCACCTGAGATATTTGGGGCTGAGTTCTTTAGATATGGATGAACTTCCACAGACATTAGGCAACCTTCAAAACCTACAAACTTTGGATATAATCACCCATAGAAAACTGAAGGAATTGCCTTTACAAGTCTTTAATATTCAACAGTTGAGACACATCAATATCAGAACAGGCTACCCGAGCACTTCAAGTGGAATTAGAGTTCCAAGTGGAATTGGAACATTGAAAAGTCTTCTTACTTTAGGTGAAGTATATGCTGGAGGCGTCATTGCCAGTGAACTAAGCTCGTTAACCCAACTGCAACAACTCAGTGTCGGCTGTGTGTCTGAAGATAATTCCACCCAACTATTTGCAGCCATCACGAAGATGGAAAATCTTGTCTCCTTGTCACTCAAAGCAGATGAATTCTACTCCCTTAATTCATCTGTTCTAGATTTGGAATCATTTTATTATGCAGCTCATCACGACAGCATGAGAAAATCTTGTCTCCGTTGTCACTACAAAGAGAGCAGATGAATCTCTACTCCCATTGAATTCATCTGCTTGTCTCCTTGTCACTCAAAGCAGATGAATTCTACTCCCTTAATTCATCTGTTCTAGATTTGGAATCATTTTCCCCTCCATCTTCTATTAAACATCTGAGGTTATATGGTGCCCTTGTTGAAATGCCTGCTTGGCTTGCCTCCATGGAAAACCTCACTGTGTTACATTTAAGTTATTCCAATCTGTTAGAGCCCCCAGCCCCTACACTTCAATTTCTCCCCAAATTAAAGGTTCTTCGTCTAGGTCGTGCTTATAAAGTACGCTGCATCGGTAAAGAGTTCTGTGACGCCGGTGGGTTTCCAAAGCTTGAAATACTTACTTTCCATGGTGTGGATATCCTAGTGGAGTGGACGGAGATAGGCCGTGGAGCTTTTCCTAGTTTAAGGTATCTTGAATTTTGGCGTTGTAAAAACTTGAGGTTTCTTCCAGAAGGCTTACAGAATATTTCTAGTCTTCAGGTGTTGAAATTGTGTCATACACATCTCGACCTTACAAGGCGATTACTGGGTGAAGAGAGTTACAAGATCAAGCATATTTCAAAAGTCAGCTTCATCGGTTGCTGAAAGAATTAATAAAAAATAAGTTAAAAAAAAAAGAAAAAAAAAACTCTCTATGTTATTTTATTTCATTAGGTGATTGTACAGCTAATATGATATATATATATTTTTATAAGTTTTCCTTGAATGACAATTAAAATATCGGCCACTCCAGAATGCAATTCCATGATCAGAATATTATTAGCCACAAAGTTTTGGTTCTCTTCACACCCAAAGCTTCTTACATAGTACTATACAAAAAAAAAAAAAAGAAAAAAAAAAAAAAAAAAAAAAAAAAAAAAAGAAAAACATCATTATGGAATGAACTTCACATACATTAGGAAGTGAAAATGATCATTGAACATTGGATATCAAAGATATCAAGAATCTTGCCAGTGGTAGAAGCTTTAGGAATGGTTATATACAAAACTCCATCTTTAACCTCAGCTTTTATTTTCTCAAACTGTATGTTTTCAGGTAATGCAATTCTGCAGCTATATTTCCCATAGCTCTTAGCAGACCATCCTCCTTCTTCTTCTTCCTCTATTCCATTTTGTGCACCATTGACATTATTTTTCTCGGGCACCTTCTCTGCCTTCACATCTTCTTTAGTCATTCCAGGCATGTCAAATCTCATCTTGTACTCTGTTTCTCCTTCTTTTATCTCCCATGGAGTCCTTCCTCTGCTATACCCACTTCGTTCAACTGGTGATGGTGGCTCTGATGGCCAAGTAGCCGTATAGGCAAAAGGGTCTTCCATCATTCTCTCCATCGTCTCCATCATCTGCTGTACTGTTCTAGCTGTAGGAAATCTGTCCCATAGCCCTCAAAAGGGTCTTCCATCATTCTCTCCATCGTCTCCATCATCTGCTGTACTGTTCTAGCTGTAGGAAATCTGTCCCATAGCCCTGCAATTCAAGATTTTTCTGAAAATCTTAAAAACCCCACATTTTACAACTAAATTTAGACAATTAAGAGAGAACAATTAATTTGTAACTAATTAATTAAATTAATTACATACCTACTGGAGCAACAGGAGCCGTTCTTTTCTTGGTTTGGGGGTGTTGGTGGTGGTGCTGCTTGGTGGCTTTCCGTAAATGATAAAGATTGTCTCTATTTTCTGCTGCCTTTGCTTTGACAATGAAACGAAGGTTTCTTGATCGAAAAGAAGTGCTTTTTGATGATAAAGGAAGAGAAAAGCTTAAATTGGAAACCCGAGGAAAATTGAAATTTCAATTAGGAGGCATGAATTGCAGTTTTTGAACCATTCCCAATTTTTCTTTTTAAATGAAGCTTATGGTATTCCAAATGTAGAATAACGGCCGAATGTATATAAAGGATACAATAATATTTACTTACATTCCGTGTACGAGTGATCGCATACGCTTAATTTAATTAAAAAAATAATTATTTTTAAATATTACTTATTTTTTTTAGTATATAATTTAAAAATTAAAATGTCATCTTTAAACTAAAATACTGTTTAAGATTGGTTAATATATAAGTAGATGAAAAAACTTACTTAAACCTCGTCCATAGCATTGTTTATAGGAAATTACGGTTTGGTTCACCATTGTTTGAATTTGAAATGAGGAAAGGCAGACAAATCAAGTCCAGTAATAGAGATTAAGCAATGGCTTTTGTCTGCAATTATTGATGATAGAGTCCGCCTTTATTTTAATGGACCACCCAACCCTTCTCTTTTTAACGGTAAAATTGTACAAGACAAGTCAATTTCCTTTATTTAACGGTAAAATGGTATTATAATCCAACAAAGGTTGATGGATTACGTTACTTCAAGCTTAAATGGTGAGTAGTTACTTCAAGCCTAAATGGTTCACAGAAATGAGTAGTAAATGCTAACTAATTTGAAATTAAACCTGTTTTATTGTTTGAGACTAGCATTATAAATGTAGAATCCGCTCGTCCTTAGTTAAGAATAACATTACAATATCGTATACCCTTTTCTACCATTAATGCTTATTGGAAACTTATGAAAGTATACTGATATGATTCTGATTTGATCTTGTGGCTCTAATTTATTTTCAATAAGTTGCCAGCTGGCATTGACGGTTATTTTTCTTAGTTTAAGAGCAATAGAGATCTGTATGAAAAAGTATCTCTCTTTGTACCTGAATTTTTCGATTCTCTCTCAAGAAAATGATCTGAATTTCTCAGTTGATTTCTTCTTGACTATGATTGCCATGAATCAGCTCATCATGGTATCAGAGCATTTAGGTTACTGAAGGTTGATCTTAAATTCTTTTTCTTCTGCTTCTTCGGACTATGTCGAATTGCCAGAATCAGACCTCATGCATGGTGATCAGAGCATATTAGGTTAGCTGAAGGTTGATTCTTGAAATTCTTTTTCTTCTGCAGTCAATCAGAAGCAAATGACGAATCCCGATGATTTTGGAGCTTCAAACATATCTCAGATTGCAAGATCAGAAGCTGATCTGACGGAGATGACTCCTCTGATTTTAACTAATTCAGATCATCCTGGACCTGAATCTAGTCAGTTGTACCTTGAATGGAAACAATTATCAACTCTTGGAGCAGATCCATAACTATAAGCTCTCTAGAGCCGAAGAGAATAAGCTGATTTCATTAATGGAAGGTATGAGAAACCTAACTCCCTATCTCCTGTGTATGAGAAATGGATGAGAACAGACCAGTAATGGTAGTTTCATGGCTTTGAACTCGATATCGAAGAGATATCGCTGAAGTTTTTTCTATAATTCATGTTCAGCCAAATGAACTTTGGGGATGAATATTCAAAGAATATATGAGTGATAGTAATAGGGACGCTGCTTTCTTTACAGATCACAAGCGGAGTTCCTTAAAAGAAAAGGGGTTTTTTTCTTTTTTTATTTTTTATGAGCCAAGGAAATATAGCTCATAACAGTGTAGATTTTCACAAATACTTAAGACAAAAAGTGGGATGAATTGGCTATTTAAAGAAGTTTTCCTGTTATGCAGTTGCTGGTGCACAGGCAAAATTTTTTAATGGATTTGAGAGAATGATCTGCGTAAGGTTGAATGCAATTTTTTATGGAGGCCTAAATGATCAGTTGATGAGAATCAAATTTTACTGATGGACCCCTTGCCGTCAATTAATAAAGCTTATTCAATGGTCTTGCGTGTGGAGAAGCAAAGAGAAATGAACCATTTTACTGTTGAATCTAGTGAATCTTCTGCAATTTTGCTTGCTCAGGGTAATTCAGGTTACAAGAAAAGAAATTTTAAGGATACCAAGAACAATTATAAGAGAAGGGAGAGTACTGGAAAGGAGAACCAGTTTTGTGACAATTGTAGAACCAAAGGCCATACAAGGGAGACATGTTTCAAGATTGTAGGATATCCTGATTGGTATTATAAATTAAAGCAAAAGAAAGGTCAGTCACAGGCTCATATGGTTGACAATGCAGGAGAAACTCCTTTTGATGTCCAGAATGAAAACTCAAAAGGACCTACAGCAGAATGGAGTGAAAATCTCACTAAGATCATTCAACAAGAAGTTATGAAAGCCATGAAGGGCAATAAGCATCATTCAACAAGAAGTTAGTGAAAGACCATGAAGGGCAAAGCAGAATAAATGACTGTAACTGATGGAAAATGTATATGTGACAATTGTTCTTTTATACAGGTACATGCATCTAACAAGGTTCTTTAAAGGTACTGATGATAAAGAACAATAGGTGAAATGGAATCATGTGACACAGTGGTGTGACTGACCAATGATGACCTATAACATATTCTTTTGACATCATTACAACAAAATTAGCCAACCAAATTGTCAAATTACCTGATGGGAAGACCATAAAACTAGTTCGATTATATGAAAGGCAAACAATACAAGCTAAAATGACAGAGATTATTTTGACCAATTGTCTTTACACATACCTTCTTTCAAATGTAATTTGATCTCAGTACACAATTACAACAAATAAATGCAGTTAATCCTTACCAAATTTTGGTTGCTATTTTTCAGGATTTGCAGGAGTAACGAGAAGATTGCCATTGGGTTCCATGGAGAAGATGGGTTATATTAGAGCTGAATAGAGAAGTCTTTTGATATGTAATAAGTCAAAATGTATGACTAACTTGTAACTGAAAAATAGTAGGCAAAATACAAAACTTGAAACTTTGGCATCTAGACTAGGACAATGTTTTCATAAATTCAAAGACTGAGCAGCATATTATCAGCTGATGCTGGTGTAATCACATTGATCGATTGATGAATGGTGTGACATATGTATGGCTCAATATCTATTTCTAAGCAATCAAGAGTGTCCTTTTCCTGACAAAGTTACAAAATAAGAAAAAATTATTCACAAGTTAATACAGCATAACTGCAGAGCTATGGGGTCCTATATGGTGTCGCAGTCTATAACATGGTAAGGCACAAATTCATTGGTAACGTATTTGTGGAAGAATAAATCTAGGTATAAGCGGACGCATGGTGTGATAGTGATAAATCACTAAAGCATAACAGTTTTGGTTCAGGCTTTAAGCACCATGTCTAACTTGCAGTTAAATTGAAACAAATTTGGAGTTAAAGTTGCAAAAGGTTAGACAACTGACAAATGGAACTAAGAGTTCATTGGAATAATGGCTCATCTTAGGGATTTATTTCAAAAATCTAAAGGGTATAGATGATCAAAAGATCTCCAGAATACACTCCCCAAAAAAATCAGGTAGTGGTAGAGAGAATAAACAGTAGGCAATTGTTACAAGATAGCAAGGGCATTTATGTTTCCAAGGTCATTTTTCCTGAAAGAAAAATTGTCTGAGGATCCTGAATGTCTATAGGCAGCAACTCCATGTTATATAGGAATAACCTATGTGTGGTTTTAGATCGGAAGTCACCTATATGAGGAATTGAATGAGTAAAAGACCATCCTGATATCTCATATTTCGAGAACACTATTGGTTCCTTGTTTTGCAACAAATTATCAAAACCTTCAACAAGATTCCGATCAAATGAGAGCAGTAACATTGCAGTTTTACTTGGTTACTCTAGATCCCAAACAACCATTATAAGCATATTAAATTTTCAATATGTGAATTCTAAAAAACGCATTTTTTCATTCTCCGAAGATGTACTTTTTCATGAACAAATGCAATTATCCTTTCCAAATTTCCACACTCATTACCCGCATGAACGTAGCATCCTATATTAAAACCAAATATACTAGAACAATTAATTGAGATTTTCAACCAATGATCTTGAAAAAATTCCTGCTTGATTAATCAATTCTCCTTCTTGTTCCAGCCTGTCAACTTGGTTAACGCCATTACGTCGAAATTCTTTAAGATATCAGGAGAGTCATATTATACTCAGATGCAGCATAGATATTCAGGAGAGTCATATTATATCAGATGCACATAGTCATTCAGATCATGAAACTAGATTAGAACATATAGATTCTCAACCAGTCATTAGAAGGAGTAATAGAGTGACACAAAAACCATCTTGGCTTCAAGATTTTGTGGCAGCAGCACATACCAATGGTACATCATCTGTTACTCAACGATCCATCTCAGGTATTTCTACTCTCCATCCCCGTTCTACACTTTTACCTATATCCTTATGCATTAGTTCATCATATACTTCTTTTGTATCCAATGTGTCAAAGATTCCAGAGCCTGTTTCTTTTCATCAAGCTAATAAAGACCTTAATTGGGTGCAAGCCATGCAAAAGGAACTTGCAGTCTTAGAGGAGAAGAAGACTTGGGTTCTAACTGATTTACCAAAGGGTAAGAAACCTATTGGTTCTAAATGGGTGTACAGGGTAAAGTACAAATCAGATGGGAGTGTTGACCGGTATAAGGCACGTTTAGTTGCCAAGGGTTATACATAATTATTGGGATTAGATTATACTGAAACTTATTATACTCGAAACTTTTTCCGCCTGTTGGCTAGAACTAGTGACTGTTAGAATAGTTTTTGGCAAGTTGTATGCTTCTAAAGGGTGGTCCTTCGCACCAATCCATTGGATATCAAACTAATGCATCAATCTCCATGGTTTATGCTTGATGAAAATATATAGTATGATCACAATTGGATATCAATAATGCATATCTCCATGGTTTTCTTGATGAAGATATATATATGATACCTCCAGCAGGTTACACAAAAGCCATTCCAGGACAGGTCTGCAAGTTACAGAGATCTTTGTATGCCATGAAGCAAGCAGGCCATCAATGGAATAAAGAACTTACCAAGCATTTAGGAGAGTATGGGTTTCAACAGTCCCAAAATGATCATTGTCTTTTTACAAAAGGTACAAACAATGATTTTTTGGCTTTATTATTATACGTCGATGATATTTTGATTACTGGATTTGATGAAAAGTTGATTGTTGATGTCAAGCAGTTTTTACATGACAAATTTACTATCAAAGATCTAGGCTATGCTAAGTATGTCAAGCAGTTTTTACATGACAAATTTAATATCAAAGATCTAGGCTATGCTAAGTTTTTCTTAGGTTTGGAGATAGCTAGATCAGAAACGGGCATGTGTGTTACACAAAGAAAATATATAATGGATTTGGTACAGGAGGTTAGTATATAAGATGCCACAGCAGTACATACTCCTTTGATCCAGGGTCTAAAACTTAAACCAGATGATGGTGATTTATTGAAGGATCCTGAACAATATCGAAGTTTAGTGTGCCGCTTACTCTATCTCAATTTAACAAGACTGGATGTAACTTACTCAGTTCAGCAATTGAGTCAATTCATGCAAGCCCCTACTACAACACACTTAAAAGTTGCTATTCATGTGTTGAAGTACTTGAAAACTTATCCAACAACAGGATTGTTTTTTCCTGCCACTAATTCTTTTCAACTACAAGCTTTCTATGATGCTGATTGGGCCTCTTGCCTCACCACTAGAAAGTTTCTTACTGGATATTGCATTTACTTGGGGACTTCCTTAGTTTCATGGAAAACAAAAAAGCAAAACGCTGTTAGTAGATCTACTATAGAGGCTAAGTACTGTGCCATGGCTGTTACTGTGTGTGAGTTGAAGTGGATTTCTTATGTGCTTCAAGATCTCCAATTATCTTTGTATCTTCCCATTCCATTATTTTGTGACAACAAGGCTGCTTTACACATAGCAGCAAATCCCGTGTTCAAGAACGAAACATATTGACATTGATTGTCATGTGGTTCGTAATCAGCGTCAAAATGGGTTCATTACCACTGCTCATGTGCTGTCAAAACACCAATTAGCAGATGTGTTTACAAAGAATCTGAGTGCTTCTATGTTCTCTCGTCTCCTTTCCAAGATTGGGTTGGTTGATTTCTCACCAACTCCATGAAAGAACGAAACATATTGACATTGATTGTCATGTGGTTCGTAATCAGCTTCAAAATGGGTTCATTTTTCTTAGTTTAAGAGCAATAGAGATCTGTATGAAAAAATATCTCTCTTTGTACCTGTATTTTTCGATTCTCTCTCAAGAAAATGATCTGAATTTCTCAGTTGATTTCTTCTTGACTATGATTGCCATGAATCAGCTCATCAACTTACCTCTTCGTATCTGATCCAGAAACGCCTGTTCTGGTTATGACCTCAACATTACCACACTGACTCTGCTCTGATTCAACAACTTCGGAGTTGTCAAAACAATCAGTAATTACAATTCAAGAATGTTGGTTTTCTTTTTTATCTGTAACCAAATTAGATTTTCTTTCACCTTCGATCTGTTCTTCGTCATAACTAGACGGATTTAGCTCTGCTTCAGAAACACCTATACAGCTTATGACCTCAGCATTACCACACTGATTCTGCTCTGATTCAGCAACATCTGCAGATTTCTAAGTTATAATTGATTCAATACTGTCTTCCTCCCCAGCCCTTTTATTGTCAGCAGGTAGCATTCCTTCGCGACTCATATAGTTTAGTGTCTACCTGCAAGCAGAACTAATTGTCTCGGTTTCAAGGAGCTGCTGAACGCTGCCACCTTCTCCTCCGAATAAACCACAATTTGTTCAAATATGAGCTTTTGCACCATCACAGCTGACATGAAAACATGCTTAATTAAAGATAATGACGTGGAACCATTAAATTGCATGCGGAACCTGTTAGTATCGTCAAAGCAACACCGAGAAGCTTCGCTAAAAGCCATGGTGAAGATTCTGGTTTCATCATCCATCTCTTTGGCCGATTTTGTGGGGATAGTCCAACACGATCCCCTCACTATTACCTTGAATGTAGATAACAGACTGTATCCCCTCACTATTTTATAAATTAGTCGTGTTCAAACTTGTTTGATAAACTACAAAACGTCCGAGTTTTGACTGGTTTTTGAGCTTGGCTTGGGCTTTTACTTAATACATATTTAACAAGTCCATCACTGTTGAATTTGAAAACAACAAAATTTGATTTTACTCGTAGTAGTCAACTCAGCTAGTGGCTCAAAAACAATCATAATGTTTTTATTAAATTTTCCTTAGAAAAATTTATGTATTTGTTTCCTTAAAATACAAAAAATTATATTTTGCCTCTGAAAAATTTTAAAAATTTCACTTCAGCCAAAATGTTGCTATTTTCTTACAGTCAATTTTAAGGACAATTAGCTTGGATTATTAATTTTTTGTATGGAAAAAAAAGGAAAAGCATTTAATTATTAATTATTAGTGCAAACCATGAGTATCGCAAGATAAACGCAAGGCTAGAGATTTCTTAACAATAAAACAGGTTTAATTTCAAATTGGTTAGCATTTACTGGTGGACATACTAGTCCTTTCTGTGAACCATTTAAGCTTGGAATAATGTAATCCATCAACCTTTGCTGTGTTGGATTTTGCTCAGCCATAACTCCCGAATTTCTTCTTTTCTTTTTCCTTGTCTATCTTGAAAGAAAATGTTCAATCTCAGGCTGATAATCTTCTAATTCATTGGTTGAAGATCTAGTACTTGTTTTTTTTTTTCCTTTAAAGCTTTCAAAATTAAGCTAGAAATCAATTTTCTTATTGGATTTGATTAGTGCAGGTGGAGGTTGATTTCCTGATGAGTTTGTTCGAAAAATCTTTAAAATCAGAGATAAATAATTTTGTGAGGTAATTCTCTCTACTTCGAACTTCAGGATTTTGTAATTGAGGGTGTTATCGTTACAAAATGGCGAAATTACAGTAAAAACGTCGAAACAGAGTGAAATTGCAAAAACTTACAAAATTGAGGATATTCTGATTTGTTAGGCTTTAATTACATTCCAAAATCCAAATTGCTTGTCCCATCCAAACTGTTGTATAATTACCTTTTAGAAAGCATGAAAAAGACAACTTTTAACAAACATGATTTTGACTTGCCCAAGAAAGCATGCAATCAGAAAATTTTGCTGTTGTAGTTCCACTTAGTGCTAGAGTCTCTTTTTTCCAATCTAAAGATTAACTGAAACGAGCTTTAGTTTAATTAGTGGTACAATAGTTATCTTTAAACTGTGAAGTTGCAAGTTATAACTCCATTAATATCCTCATTAATCAGGAAAAATGGTATGCATCTTCATGGTATAGCTAGTGAACAATTGCATCTTTGGAAATGCATAGGATGATTTCATTTATAATCTTTATTGGTTTAAGCATATTTGATATCTAAGAAGTTGAATTTATATAATTTCGTGTTATAGGCAACGTATTCGAATTTCAGTTATCGGTGATTCATCAAAGCTTCCACAGTCTCTGCAAAGATTAATAAATGAAGTAGAGGAGACCACTAAAAATTTCTCAAAACTCCACCTTCTGGTGGCGGTTAGCTACAGTGGGAAATATGATGTGCTAAAAGCCTGTAAAAGTATTGCTGCTCGGGTAAAAGATGGTCTTATTGAACCAGAAGACATTACCGAAAGCCTAATCGAACAAGAGTTGGAAACGAATTGCTCTGAGTTTCCTTCACCTGATCTATTAATCCGAACAAGCGGGGAGCTCAGGATCAGCAACTTTTTGCTGTGGCAACTGGCTTATACTGAACTTTTCTTTGCAGAAGAACTCTGGCCTGATTTTGGAAAAGAAGGATTCGTGGAGGCCTTAACATCGTATCAGCAGAGGCAGAGACGCTACGGTCAACGGCTTTCATAGTCCAATACCTGTAAAATGGGCATTCGTTGCAGTGAATAGCATTTTATACCATTCATATGTACGAATATGAGGTCAAGCTCCAATCTTGATGAATTGTGCTTCAGCTCTGAAATATTGGATTCAAACATAGCATGGTCAATGATGCACCTAATCAAAGTTTAGGTGCCTGATATAGATATGCAAAGGGAAAAAAAAAAAACAGCATTATACTTTAATTAATACAAAGATAGAATATACTTTTTACCTTCTTTATAATTCTTATTATTTGCGAATCTCCTTAAATTTATATCATATACATTAATGTTTTTTATAATTTCGGAATAATTTATTTCCTAAGAAATTGATTAATATACCAAAAAAATTCAAATTATATTTTCTAGAAGAAAATAATTTCCTTCGACATATATCTTATACTTTCTCGTAGATATACCGTTTTGAATCAAATGAAGCTTAAAAGATTATATATATATATAGTGCAACTTTGACATAGATTAAAGAAAACTAGTTAATGTAGTTTATTTAATTTTTTTTAAATACCCATTTATCAATATTAAATGATGTCTGTATAATTGAAAATATAAATGTGCTTTTATTGAATAGAAGTATATTAGTAATAATTTGACAATAAATTATCTTTTAAAAAGGAAAATTTTAACTTATCTAAGCAACAAATCCAAATTAATAGGCTTCTAAATACATCCAAACTTAGCCTAAAATAAGTGAAAAAACCTGAAAGAAAAATATTAATATTTCATTTGTAGTTTTCACAAGGTCACAACAAGCAGTTGCATCTACCGAAATTTTCAAAGCTTGTTGATATGGATTGGAGACCTCTCCAACTCGATTCATTCAACCAATAAAGAAAAATTAAAGCAAAAAAAAAAAAAAAAAAAAAAAAAAAAAAATTAAAAAAAAAAAGGCACTAAAAAAAAAAAAAAAAAAAAAAAAAGGCACTTTCCTTTTTATATATAATATAAAAAAACCTGAAGAAAATTGAAATTTCAATTAGGAGGCATGAATTGCAGTTTTTGAGGCATCCCCAATTTTTCTTTCTAAATGAAGCTTATGGTATTCCAAATGTAGAATAATGGCCCAATGTATATAAAGGATCCAGTGATATTTAGTTACATTCCGTGTACGAGTGATTGCATACGCTTAATTTAATTAAAAAAATAATTATTTTTAAATATTACTTGTTTTTTTTACTATATAATTTAAAAATTAAAATGTCATCCTTTAAACTAAAATATTGTTTAAAATTGATTTGATATATAAATAGATGAAAAAACTTACTTAAACCCGGTCCATAATCCACTTATGAACCAAACAAATGAAATTCATGATTTTAAAAAAAATGTTCCTGACTTTATCATTTTTTTTTAAAATGTATGGTCAGAAATACCCTCTTTCAATAAGAATATTAAATTTCATTGGTTTAGGCCATAGGTAGGGATATAGACCGGATTTAGGTAAGTTTTTCTTGAAAGTAGATAGGGAAAAACTTACCTAGACTGGATCCATGACCCTAGTTATAGACCGAATCAATGATATTCAATATTGTTTTTGAAACAAGAGTATTTGTGACCATACACTTTGAAAACAATGATAAAGTCGGAACACTTTTTAAAAAATTCTTAATTTTATTTATTCGGTTCGTACATGGGGTATGAACCTGGTGTCGACGAGTTTTTCTTAAGTAGATAAGTCCTTCCTGTCAAAATTTTTTATTGCATTGACTGCTGTCTGCTGACTTCGAAAAATGTTATTTTTTGGAAAAATAATTATTTCATACACTTTTTAAAAAATTCTTAATTTTATTTATTCGGTTCGTACATGGGGTATGAACCTGGTGTCGACGAGTTTTTCTTAAGTAGATAAGTCCTTCCTGTCAAAATTTTTTATTGCATTGACTGCTGTCTGCTGACTTCGAAAAATGTTATTTTTTGGAAAAATAATTATTTCATCTCTGAGGTGTACCATAATTATCTACATAGTCTAGTTTTTTATCAAAATATTTTAAATATCCCTGAGATTTGCCTCCGTGATACTGCTTGGTCATTCCGTAAAAAAAACATACATTTTCCATTAATTTTAAAGTAAAAAGACAAGACTAAAGTAAAAAAAAACACACATTTTTCTAAATTTTGGCTAAATTGATGTTGAACAGTTAAAATTATAGGGTCACCGCTCGTTTTGTAGATTCTTTGTCCCTTTTTTTTTTTTTTTTCCTTTATTATCCTTTTCTTTCTTTACCCTTTGAATTTGATGGTGGATCTCTGAAGAAATTCTTGTTACCCTTAAAGCTTCTCTTAAAGTGACAATTGAAAAGGCATCAAGCATCTTTTTTCTCTGGAGCTGGTGTTGATTAGTTGAGAATTGATCTTCAATTAAGATACCATTTATCTCTTTCTTTGATTTTGGTGCTTTTTTATACATGGATATTGTTTGTATTTACCATTTTTGTGAGTGCTGGAAATACAGAAAAGTGAGATTAAGAAAATCTATTAATTAGATATTCTCTAGGTTTTCAGATCTCAGTTCCTTCACGCATCCAAAAATATGCCTCAGATCTGCTTCACTCGTGAATCAACTGATCGAAAAGAAATGTATTTTGCGGAGATGCAAAGAAGAAAGGATAGCTTATCTTCTACAGCACTAGACGAAATAGGTGAGAGTTGAGAAAGGATAGCTTATCTTCTACAGCACTAGACGAAATAGGTGAGAGTTGTTCTTCTTCTTCAGCTGATTTCGTTTCAATATATCAAAGTCTTCCTCATTATCTCATGTCCTGCTTAGACTATTGCGCTATCGTTCTTAGAGGAGTAGATAATTTGACGAGGGCTGAGATGGCTCGGCTTTTATCAGCTGAAGATCTGATACCAGAGAAAGAAGGGGAACTCATAGATAATGTAGCAAATAACGTTATCGACGAGTTAATTCATCTAGGACTGCTGATAGAAACACACAAAGAGACATATATTTCTGATGATGGGCCTTATATTGACTTTAATGAATCACATGTAAATTTATGCGTTGTCGAGGTGGATGAAGTGGAATTTTTGGCTGAAGCTGCGAATTTACCTGTACGAGCTATAATACATCATTGCCGGAACAATATTCCTCCTGATTTCAAAACCCTTCAAATTCGTTCTCTATTTTTGACTTCATTAAGATCTGGTTTTTCTCGGGCCTATATGGAAACTATTTGCAAGTTGCAATATCTATTGGTGTTACGTTTGGATGGCGGCCTTGGGGAGGGATTACCTGACGAAGTGGGTGACTTGTTTCACCTGAGATATTTGAGCTCGAAATTTTTTTTTAAGGGTGAACTTCCACAGACATTAGGCAACCTTCAAAACCTACAAACTTTGAATATACGCAGCTACACTCTAGAGGGCATTAGATTTCCAAGTGGAATTGGAACATTGAAAAGTCAAACTGTTTTGAATATACGCAGCTACACTCTAGAGGGCAGTTAGATTTCCAAGTGGAATTGAAACATTGAAAAGTTCTTCTTTACTTTAGGTGAAGTATATGCTGGAGGCGTCACTTGCGCAGTGAACTAAGCTCGTTAACCCCAACCTTGCCAACTAATCATCAGTGTGTTGGCTGTTGGTCTGAAGACTAATTCACAGCCCAAACTATTTGCAGCCAGTCACGAAGATGGAATAATCTTTGTCTCCTTGGTCACTTCAAAGCAGATGGATTGTCTCCTTGTCACTCAAAGCAGATGAATGGGACTCCTTTCATTTATCTGTTCTAGATTTGGAATCATTTTCCCCTCCATCTTCTATTAAACATCTGAGGTTATATGGTGCCCTTGTTGAAATGCCTGCTTGGCTTGCCTCCATGGAAAACCTCACTGTGTTATATTTATTTAATTCCAATCTATTAGAGCCCCCAGCCCCTACACTTCAATTTCTTCCCAAATTAAAGGTTCTTCATATAGATCGTGCTTATAAAGTACGCTGCATCGGTAAAGAGTTCTGTGACGCAGGTGGGTTTCCAAAGCTTGAAATACTTACTTTCCATCATGTGGATATCCTAGTGGAGTGGACGGAGATAGGCCGTGGAGCTTTTCCTAGTTTAAGGTATCTTGAATTTTGGTGGTGTCCAAACTTGAGGTTTCTTCCAGAAGGCTTACAGAATATTTCTAGTCTTCAGGTGTTGAATTTGTGTTATACACATATCGACCTTAATAGGCGATTATTTGGTGAAGAGAGTTACAAGATCAATCATATTCCAAAAGTCAGCTTCTTCTAAAAAATAAGTTCAAAAAAAAAAAAAAAAAAAAAAGTAAAATAAGTAAGTGTCAAAAAAAAAAACAAAGAAAAAAAAGAGGAAGAAAGACTCCTCGATGTTTACTCTATTTCATTTAGGTGATTGTACAAGGCTACTTATGAATAATTATTATCTTATAGTATATATATATTATGTATAAAAGTATACTTCCTGTTGAATGACAATTAAAAATATCTGGCCACTCCAGGATGCAATTTCCATGTATCAGAATATTATTAGCCATGAAAGTTTGGTTCTCTTTACAGTCCCAAAAGACTTCTACATATTGGTTACTTATACCTCAAAAGAAAAAAAAAAAAAAAAAAGTCATTTTAGATAAAGACTTCACATGCATATTAGGGAAGTTGAATGATGCATTGAAAAACATTGATAATCAAGAATCGATATCAAGAATCTTGCCAGTGGTAGAAGCTTTAGGAATGGTTATATACAAAACTCCATCTTTAACCTCAGCTTTTATTTTCTCAAACTGTATGTTTTCAGGTAATGCAATTCTGCAGCTATATTTCCCATAGCTCTTAGCAGACCATCCTCCTTCTTCTTCTTCCTCTATTCCATTTTGTGCACCATTGACATTATTTTTCTCGGGCACCTTCTCTGCCTTCACATCTTCTTTAGTCATTCCAGGCATGTCAAATCTCATCTTGTACTCTGTTTCTCCTTCTTTTATCTCCCATGGAGTCCTTCCTCTGCTATACCCACTTCGTTCAACTGGTGATGGTGGCTCTGATGGCCAAGTAGCCGTATAGGCAAAAGGGTCTTCCATCATTCTCTCCATCGTCTCCATCATCTGCTGTACTGTTCTAGCTGTAGGAAATCTGTCCCATAGCCCTGCAATTCAAGATTTTTCACGTCTGCCACCTTCACTCTGCTGTACTGTTCTAGTACATTTATCCTGACTGAAAATAGAAAATAAAAAGAAAAAAAAATAAGAATTACAATCCAATATTCTT